TAGCTGTAGTCGTGGGTTCCAATCCTGCTAGAGACTAAAGTAAGCGTGATGCGGAATATTGTTGGTTACATTTAACAAAACATCTACATTTAGTCGCATGATAATGAAGCCAAATACCTACCAACCTATCTGTAATGTAATTTCACATTACTCAAATTTAAATGTTCCAATCTGTAACATTACAAGTTGAACACTGTTATGCTCGTTTCACCTCCCTCGCCGATGTATTGTTCGACTCTGTAACGCTACATTACAGGCAAATGCGCCAGGTGGGGGAGCAGTAGCACCTTTACAAAACCTACTACGACACTGATACCTAAGTCAATAATTATTATGCTTTATTACTAAGGAATAATAAAGCTTTTTGTTAAAATGTATGCTACTAATTCCACGTGAACCGCATAGGAACAAACCAACATATTCGCGAGCAAACCGTAGCATTGTGTTGCGTAACCAATCCAAATGTTACCTGCGTCATTAATTTCCATTTCACATAATCGCGATATCTACTGTGATTAATGACGTTTTCGTCGGCCGCGGCCTGACTGGCAGCGAGGAGCAACGGAACTATTCCCACCTATTGTTCCCACCGCTAAAACTCCTGTGTAGCTTGAGCCAAGATCTACAGCTTGACCGCCATAAAAATGTTTGCATGCCAGTCACGGAAATTGTGTCTATAGTCTGGTCCGTGAGCACGTAGAATTTTGTCCAATGACCCCTAGCTACCCATCCTTATCGCTCGCGCGTAATTATGTTGCTATCGCGCTCGCACACTCACTGCGGGTGCCAGTCGCACAGTCGCGACAGCAATACATATAATTACGCGCGAGCGATAAGGATGGGTAGCTAGGGGTCATTGGACAAAATTCTAAGTGCTTACGGACCGGGCTTTAGTCAAATTACACTAATACAACATGTTTGCATTTGCAATGAAATTTGCATTTGCATTTTCCAAAAAAAACTTTACCAAAAAAAGCATCTTTACATGTCTTCTTGTGTGTCTTCCAGGTAAGCTGAGCGGAGCTGTGCGGAGAGGAGATGTGGAAATAATGAAATCTGATTGGTTATTCAAAACACTTCTCTGCATCACTCCGGGCCTAAGGCCCAGTTTCCACTATGGCAGAGTGAATAGTGAGTCATAAGTGCCACTTGTGGTCTAAACTGAATAAATATTTTTTGATTTTGATTTTGATTTTTGATTTTGAAGCAGAAAAGAGAGATGTGTTTTTCTATATAATTTGACAGAGGTGTGGAGTGGTGAGGAAAAGTGGGCTTTGAGAGTATCCGCTGTCGCCTTTGTTGCACCGCAGCCTTATCCAATGTAACTCAATTATTACCAATTTGGATCATGCTCTGTTTATGTTTTGCGTTTGCGCTCAAATCTCGGCATTCAGTTAATCTGTCCGAAATATAATTACTTTGATACGAACGTACGTTTGATATTGTATTTTCGTCTATATCATTTCATTCTGCGTTAGTGGTTAAGACCATGTTTTTTTTTTTAAATCCACAACAAGGAAGCCCTAATTAGCCTACATCTCTCATGGAATGATGATGAATGCATTTTAACGAAATATTACTTTACTTCATTTTTCGTAACACTTTATAGCTGAAATGATGGTGATGATGATAATGAAATTTTCATCAAAATCCGTTAGTGTAACTAAGTTTTTCCTCACAAACTTTTGCGTTAGTAAAATAAAGTATAGTTTTAGCAAAAATGGATTGGCGAAGATTTATGACCACTATTTGACCTCCAACTCCGTAATAATTATTTATTACTGGACAATTTCGGGGCCGATCGGGCGACCTGACACCGATAAGGCGTTACCAAATTCCTAAGGTTTGCTGATTCCCTGATATTTATTAGGATACTAGTTTTTGCCCGCGGCTTCGTGTGATTCGTAGATTTTGATTTGCCATAGGTAGCTCGTAAATCCCATGTTAAAAACTGGTGACTAGGACAAGTATCTATACTAATATTATAAATGCGAAAGTAACTCTGTCTGTCTGTCTGTCTATCTTGCTTTCACGCCTAAACCACTGAACCGATTTTGATGAAAGGCATAGAGATAGTTTGAGTCCCGGGAAAGGACATAGCACAGTTTTTACCCCGGTTTTTGAAACAGGCGCGCGATAAAGTTTTTCTGTGACAGACAAAATTCCAAGCGGGCGAAGCCGCGGGCGGAAAGCTAGTGAATAATAAATGAATGAGTTTTAAATATTATTTTCCTAAGAAAGGTTTGATTTCATCCCCTTCAAGCTTTATTTTCACGACAAAAGTAGCCTGTGTTCTTTTACAAGATCCAATAGATTTTTTTAATAATTAATTAATTTCATATCTGTTACTTGATTCTCTACGTAGCCTTTCCCCCTATCCCCTATTTCACCCCCTTCGATATCCTACTCCAATATCCAATGTCTATGTTTACTGATTCATCAAAATTGGTTCAATGGTTTATGCGCGAAGACTGACAGAGCTACTTTTAAAATTATAATATGTAATAGTATGGATAACCAAGAAATTGATATAATAACAGCTTTGGGACCACTGGGTGGGTCATTAGACAAACAAAATTGGATTGGAAAAGGTTTGCGTTGTTGCAAATTAAATGTATTTCGATACCTTCAGGTTCAATTGTCGTATAAACCAAAACCCTACTTTTCAGGAGAGCCAAAAAACGATTTTTTTTTTAATAAAAAATTCGTAACTTTTTTATTTGAGAAGTTATAAACAAATGTCAAAGAGAAAACATTTTTCAATTTTTACAATGAAAAAGTCTAAATATTTAAAAAATGGGCATCTTCAGTAGTTTTAAAGTTAGTTTGGAGTTACATCGTTGAAAAAGGCACTTGGTGGTTTATACGACCCATTATATTTGACCTAAAAATAACTCTTTAAATCGTATTTGAATTTTTTGTAAACACGAGACTAAAATTGATGGCTTAAAGACCATTAGATGTATTTTTTTTGGTTTATATACCCATTGATAAAGTGATTTATTCAAATGTATTATTAAAACTATGTATGTAAATAGTGTATTGTTTACTATTTCCAGGCTTTTGTTGTTTAGAGAATTTGCACAAAGATATTTAACAGTGTAAAAACTATATTTGGTGGAGGTAGAAATAATAAATCTGCTTGCATACGAAAAATATCATTTTTTTTACAATTTTGCAGGAAAATTATGACAAAACAAATAATATTTCTAATAATTCTAAACAAAACTAATCACCATAAATTTTAGACAGCTTTCCTGGTTCTCTGCTGACGCATATTGATTTTGTTTGGTTATGATAAATTTTGCATGAAGAGAAGAGCCCCAGTATGCTCAGGAGAAGGATTTGTAATTTTTTGAGAATTTCTCTAAGGAATTTTTTATAAGAAACCCAAATTTAAATTACAGCTAAAAGTAACCACTACTGGCAACCATTAAAAGTTGGAGTACTTGTAAAGTAATAAACTATTACAGAGCATCTCAAAAGGGTATAAAATGAGCACACTATGGCTTGTTTTCTTTGTTTAAAAGTCTTGAATTCATCACATTTAGTCGAGATCAATAGGCTAGATGACAAAATTTCAATTATTTGTCCGTCAAACAGATTATTAGAAAATATGAGACTCATATTTTTTATTTTCTTTCATAATTTAGTAATATCAGTGCTACATCGAGTTGAAATGGCGCGATACGTCACTCTTGAGTAGAATTTTTACTCAAAAGTGACGTCACGCGACATTTCAACTCAATATAATACAGTAATTCTTCGATAATGAGAAAAATTAAAGTATGAGTCTAAATTTTCTAATTCTCTGTCTGACGGACTAAATAGAGTTTCGATTTCATGACCCGGTCATCATTACTATTCACGGATGTACTGGACCTGGAAAGCAACCTTATATTTTATATCTAGTAGCTAGTAAGAAAGTTGATTGTTTCTACTTTTAAAGATAATATTAAAAGTAGAAACAATCAACTTTCTTTAACTTTATAAATAAGAAAAACTTACTTACTGTACATACATACATATGTAATGCAATAAATAAATGAATATGAATATGTAACAGATAATTACCANCCCCAGATCACGTTATTAATGGACGGCCCCTTATACTGGTGATAATATCTAGAATAGTAATTATCTAGATAATTTCGAACCCTGCTACTTTGGGTGTCACGAACTATTGGACGCTGTCTGTACGTGTGTTTATGTGCACGTGTGCTTGTTTATGTGCACGTGTGCTTGTTTATGTGCACGTGTGCGTGTTTATGTGCACGTGTGCGTGTTTATGTGCATGTGTGCTTGTTTATGTGCACGTGTGCGTGTTTATGTGCACGTGTGCTTGTTTATGTGCACGTGTGCTTGTTTATGTGCACGCGTGCGTGTTTAGGTGCACGTGTGCTTGTTTACGTGCACGTGTGCTTGTTTATGTGCACGTGTGCTTGTTTATGTGCACGTGTGCTAGTTTACGTGCATGTGTGCTTGTTTGTGTGCACGTGTGCTTGTTTAAGTGCACGTGTGCTTGTTTATGTACACGTAAGTAAGTAAACATTTATTTGCTGCACACAAAGTCACATACCTACATTGTTCAACAAGATTACATAATTCAATATTTAACATGCACATTCAAAATAAATAAAATAACAATTAGAAATGAATAATGTGAGCAGAGTTGCGGCAGCAAAAGGTCTCCGTCTCAGCAATGTGTCACAAGCTAATGCCTGGACGCTGATTTTCAGACGGCGGCCGACGAAAGTGGAGAGCGGCGGTAATCGCCGCAGCAATTCGCAAGGGCATAAACACACAAAAAATAAAGAAAAATAAAATAAATAAAAAGTGAAAATTAATACGTGTGCTTGTTTATGTGCACGTGTGCTTGTTTGTGTGCACGTGTGCTTGTTTGTGTGCACGTGTGCCTGTTTGTGTGCACGTGTGCTTGTTTGTGTGCACGCGTGCTTGTTTGTGTGCACGTGTGCTTGTTTGTGTGCACGTGTGCTTGTTTATGTGCACGTGTGCTTGTTTGTGTGCACGTGTGCTTGTTTATGTGCACGTGTGCTTGTTTGTGCGCACGTGTGCTTGTTTGTGTGCACGTGTGCTTGTTTGTGTGCACGTGTGCTTGTTTGTGTGCACGTGTGCTTGTTTGTGTGCACGTGTGCTTGCTCACCGTTCTCGTTGACGGCGAGGCTGTAGGTGGCGCCGCAGTGCACGGAACGCACGCCGCGCGCCTGCGAGTCGAAGTACTTGATGAGGCGCGGCACGCTTTCGTCCTTTTGCTCGGCGTGCCCCAGCCGCCCGAAGCCGCCGAAGCCCCAGCTGAAGGCGCGCTTCTTGGAGTCTATGGCCACCTGTGGAACACAAGCTTTAGTTAGTTTTGCCACAGAACAATAATAAGTACTAAAGCCTAGCGTGCTCACGGGCACGTAGAATCCCGTCCAATGACCCCAAGCTACCCATCCCTATCGCTCGCGCGTAATTATGTTGTGTACTATGTACTGTGCGACGGGCGCCCGCAGTGAGTGTGCGAGCGCGACAGCAACATAATTACGCGCGAGCGATAGGGATGGGTAGCTTGNTGCTTGCTCACCGTTCTCGTTGACGGCGAGGCTGTAGGTGGCGCCGCAGTGCACGGAACGCACGCCGCGCGCCTGCGAGTCGAAGTACTTGATGAGGCGCGGCACGCTTTCGTCCTTTTGCTCGGCGTGCCCCAGCCGCCCGAAGCCGCCGAAGCCCCAGCTGAAGGCGCGCTTCTTGGAGTCTATGGCCACCTGTGGAACACAAGCTTTAGTTAGTTTTGCCACAGAACAATAATAAGTACTAAAGCCTAGCGTGCTCACGGGCACGTAGAATCCCGTCCAATGACCCCAAGCTACCCATCCCTATCGCTCGCGCGTAATTATGTTGTGTACTATGTACTGTGCGACGGGCGCCCGCAGTGAGTGTGCGAGCGCGACAGCAACATAATTACGCGCGAGCGATAGGGATGGGTAGCTTGGGGTCATTGGACGGGATTCTACGTGCTCACGGACCAGGCTTTACCAGGCCTGTTCATCTCCAGGAGTTTGCATCGAAAACGAAACACGCGCGACTACCCCTCCTGCGGTACCTAATCGACAGGACAATCACGAGCAAGTATTGACGCCCGCACGTATATTCTTCACCCATTTGCATTGTAAAGACAATAAAAACGGTGGTGTAATTTATATTGTGCAGTATTTTTTAACAGCCTGAATATTTAATAGAAACACAAAATATAATTCATGCTCATTCATGTATTTCCTCCGCCATTTTCCGCAGTTTGGCACCTCACGTCACACATCATTTTACCGAAGCCATAGGCTTCGGCGCAGTACCAATCACTGACGTTTGTCAACAAACTGACGTTTGTTTGTCAACAAAATGGTGCTCGTCTCTTGAGACAAGCTAAATTACACCATATTGTTAAAGACATTGAGCATACATTTTTTTAAATACCTTCGCGAAGAAAATCTTTTGTACGTAGTACTTATTATTATTCTATGGAAGGAATGGTGTCAAACAGTCTATTCTGAAGAGGCAATGGGCAGGGCACATAGTACGCAGAACCGACGGCCGATGGGGCTGCAAGGTTCTAAAGTAGGCCGCGTACCGGAAAACGCTGCGTGTGACGTCCACCCACAAGGTGGACCGACGACATCATAATGGTAGCAGGAAGGCGCTGGACGCAGGCCGCTACCAACCGGGCAGCATGGAAAGCATTGGGGGAGGCCTATGTTCAGCAGTGGACTTCCTATGGCTGAGATGACGATGGTGAAAAATGTTATCATTCAGTAGCTTTTCTGAAACAGAAGTCCAAACCCTTTGAGCTCTTACCGTGTGATTGTTTCCACAGGAGAAGTCCACGATATCGACGTCCCTTACGGGCGAGACGTGACCCTCCTTAGACTTCTCGAAGAACAGCGCCACGTGCTTCGGCACCGTCTCGAAGTGATACGACAGCTTGGTGGACGTCACGAAGTACTTGCCGTCTGTGTTGTGGCCTGTTCAACATTAAAACGGCTTCAGAAGTTTAGAACGGTAAGAAAGAAAATACATTTAATTGGCACACGAGAACAACAAATTACAGAATATTAATACGATAAAAAAAAAGTAGTAGAAGATCATAGCAAATATTGTGATAGGGATAGATACGATTTTTGGTTTTACAAAGGTAATACGATAAAGAATAACAAAAAGTAATAAAAACCACCCGTTATGCGGGCATTTTTTGGAGAAATTTATCAAATAACCAAAAAAACACGAATTTAAAAGAAGATTTTTTTCAAAAGTAGATTTTTTAAATTATTTGTTGGCATTTTCTGAGTATTTTATGTATTTTTTTAGTATCGCCTGTTATTTAGCATTATTACTGTTTTTGTTTTATCAGGACATACCTCTTAGTTTAAAAGTTATTACGTTTTCTTTACAATAAGTATGTAATTAACACTTTTTCTTTACGATGAAGCCCAGACTGTAAACTGTTTGTATACCTATTACAAATAAATAAATAAATAAATAAGTAATCGGAAGAAAAATATGGTTCGAAGGCAATAAATAATTTTTTTTTTAATTCTATAAAAAATTAAAAAAGAAAACAAAAAAATTTTGACTTTTTTTTTTGTCGATAAAAGGTAAGGTCTATTTTCATAATATGTACACTTTATCGTGACTCACACGGTAAAGGTTACTAAACCTTTGTCACCTGTCATCCGCTTTGAAATGGAGGGAAGTCGAACCTTAACTTCTACTCCTCCTATGTTCTTCTTATTGATTTCGTTGCGGGTCCAATGACAGTTTAACTTTCCCCCGGGACAAACTTGACCTTCACTGGTTGGGTTTTTATTGGCGGTCAAGCTGTAGATCCTGGCTACACATGAGTTGCAGTGGTGGGAAAGAGAGGTGGGAATAGTCCCGTTTAAGTGCTAGGAGCCTCAAATTTTGCGTGGGGGTTCCTTTTAGAATGTATAGGTGCTCACTAAGCTCCTAGCACTTGTGGTTTCTGAGATTTCGTGATGAGTGAGTGAGTCAGTCAGTGCCATTTCGCTTTTATAAAGCCTGGTCCGTGAGCACGTAGAATCCCGTCCAATGACCCCAAGCTACCCATCCTTATCGCTCGCGCGTAATTATGTTGCTGTCGCGACTGTGCGACGCGCGCCCGCAGTGAGTGTGCGAGCGCGACAGCAACATAATTACGCGTGAGCGATAGGGATGGGTAGCTTGGGGTCATTGGACCGGATTCTACGTGCTCACGGACCAGGCTTTACATATAGATGGAAGTCTTACCAAGTTGTCCGTACTCGGGCAGCCCGAAGGAGTGCAAGGCTCCGTTGCAGTCCAGGATCATCGAGAACTCGGCGCCGCAGCCGACCTTCACAATGGGAGCTCCACTGGAAAAACAAATATTTGTAAGTGATGCTATACTATTAAAAAATAACTTATGCTTCAACAGGGTTCGAAAGAATAATTTATCAATGATAATAATAATAATAACAGATGGATAATTATCGGTTGATAATAACAAAAAAAATGCTCTCGTGAAAATGAACTGTATTCGAAGTTTTCGAACGTATATTTCACTTGCGTCTAGTGGTGGGCGTTAATCAACATAGATAGTTATAAAACCTATCTATGTAGCTCCACAATGGTCACTAGTTATCTAGCGTCAAAATGTTTATCTATTTTCCAAGCTCTATGTGACTAGCGATGGATAACTTGACAACAATCAGCAACCAAAAACATAAAGCAACATTCGCAATCAAAATTTCTTATGAAACAGTATGACAAACGTATCTTATACTGTTGATAATTATCATGGAGCGTAATTATCTAGATAATTTCGAACCCTATGGTTCAATCACACCAATGCGTCATCGATCGCCATCGCCGGCGCGATCATAGGCCAATGACAGGTCGCGCGACCCATGACCGTACACGCGACCTGTCAATGGCATACGATCGTTTGGCATTTTTTTAGTTGCTACTTGCGCCCTTTTAAGCCTGGGCGCAGACCACCGACTTTTAGTTGGCCGATAGTTGGGCCCGATTTTAATTTGAATGAAGAATCGGGCGATACCACATCGGTGAAATGTGCGCACTTTCATACATGTCCATACTGATTAACAGCCCGACAAAACTGTGGTCTGCGCCTGTCTGTGGTGGCTCAGTCAAGGAGAGAGAAAATTAAAGAGTTGCAGCTCGATCAAAATATTGAAAACTTAAAAAATTCGTTTACTTGGTATACAGGGTGTCCCAGAATGGGTGAATCAAACTGCTAGGGGAGATAGCTCTACTAATGTACTATCCCTAAAAAATATGAAAAAAAAAAAATTTTGGCGCAAGGAAACAAAAAAAAATTTTTTTTGAAAAAGTGAAAATAAATCAGCTTTGCCTAAGTATCTGGCTATAATTGCTGCATTTATTTGTACTTTTTTCTTACTAATATTAATTGTACATGATCGCTTTGTTTATCTGTAAGCAAACTTTTGAAAATAATGACTACATTTCGAGTTTAGAGCACTTTAATAAAACGAAAATCCGAACTCAAATTTTTTTTTTCATATTTTTTAGGGATAGTACATTAGTAGAGCTACCTCCCCTAGCAGTTTGATTCACCCATTCTGGGACACCCTGTATATTCGTCTCACTTGTATCGCACGCGGGTCGGCTTCAGCACCTGCGGCGCCGTGCTGCCGAGGCCGCACTGGCCGCTCTTGTTGTCTCCACACGCGTACACCGCGCCCGTGTCTGAAACAAGAAATAAAAACATCCATTTTGGTCTAACCAGGCCTGTTCATCTCCGCGAGTTTACATCGAAAACAAAACACGCACGATGGCCCACCTACAGCATACTATTCGACAAGGCCTCACATACGAGCGAACATTGACTCACGCACGCGTATTCTTGTTCATACACAATACGCGTGGAAGAAAATAAAGAAAATGGTGTACTAAATACTGTGCAGTATTTAACTGCCTGAATAATAATAAAAACACAGAATGTACTTTTTTAAGTTGCCTCAAGACACTGAGAGTTAAATAAGTAATGTTAATCATGATAATTCATGCTAAATCATGTATTTCCTCCGCCATTTTCCGCAGTTTGGCACCTCACGTCACATCATTTTACCGAAGTCAGCCCTATAGCTTCGGCGCAGTGCCGATCACTGACGTTTGTCAACAAAATGGTGCTTGACTCTTGAGACAGGCTAAATTACACCATATTGTAAATGACATTGAGCATACATTTTTTTAAGTACCTTCGCGAAGTAAAACTTCTGTACGTAGTACTTTTTATTATTCTGTGGTCTAACACAACAAAATCAAAATCAAAAATATTTTATTCAATTTAGACCACTGGTGGCACTTATGAACGTCAAATCATAGACTAGCTTTCCGCGTGGAATTTTGTCTGTCACAGAAAAACTTTATCGCGGCGTCCCTGTTTCAAAAACCGGTAAAAAAACTATCCTGTCCTTTCCCGGGACTCCATCTCTAAACCAAATTTTATCAAAATCGGTTCAGTGGTTTAGGCGAGAAAGCAAGACAGACAGAGTTACTTTGGCATTTATAATATAGAAGTATAGATAAAAAAAGGTAGCCCTTATGGGGCACTTAACATGTCTCCTTATCTTTTGGGCCCTATCAGCGCATCGAGACAAACATATGACAAGTGCTAAAAAGAAAGAAGAACAATTTGATTCAATTCAAAGATGTGAGACATTTATTGAAATATTACTTTTTGTCCGCTTCTTACGATTATTTTACAATAAAAACAAATATACCTACAACTAAGAACAGAAGCAAATCAATAAAGATTTTATGTCTCATACCTAAAGTACTCAAATGATGACACATAATTTTATTATTCAGATATAAGATCAATTAAACCAGGGGTGACCCAAGATTTACGATTTTAGATTCATTTATACCTATATCGCAGTTGGTTTATTTCCACAAAAAATACAAATAAGTACCTACCTTTATTTTTTTAGATAAACTCGTTTCTTGCTATAATTAGATTTCCATTACGTCACTAGTGCAGTATTGGTAATTAATACGTACGCGTGTTACTTAAGTAGCACTGCGAGTTTACACAATGTTGTTTTTAATGCATAACAAGGCAGATATTTGACCACAATCGCACCTGGTGTTAAGTGGGATGCAGTCTAGGATGGTACATTATCTGCCCTGTAAGTGACTATTCACTCTCGCCTTGAAAACGCCCGGATTATAGTCTTTGGTATACGAGGTGCGATACAAGAAAACACTATTTCTAACGCCCGTATTCACAAACATTACTATGAGATCTCATAGTGCGCATGAACGCACAGGGTGACATATGAAACAACAGAGCTCTATACAACGATGTGCGTTCGAATTTCCGCTTCACTTATGCAAGCATCGTTTGTAAATACGTGTGTAAGTGTTGTACGTATATTACTTTTTATGCATGAGGTAAAAGCCATTGCAATTAATGAGGGTTTTCGCGAATGAAAAATCCGCTAAATGGCGGGACGTGGATGTGGGGTCTGACTGCTGCGTGATTGGTGGATTTTGACATATCTGTCAATGTCATGTCAAAAATAACCAATCACGCAGCATTTGGACCCCGCGTCTATGTATTGCTATCTGGCGGATTGTTCATTTACGAAAACCCTCATTGAATCAGATCTTATTTATTACGTATCTATCGATTTGATTAAACCCATCTTTGATTGTAAGTAAAGTGATTTTAAAGATACCAAGACCGCTTTGTAGAAGCGAGTGGTTCCTGCACATTGCCGCGTGTATGATATTGTGGTCTCTCAGGCCCGGGATGATCTGCGACTCGTAACGGGTTATCAAAGTCAAAGTCAAAATTTCTTTATTTGTTTGGACTAATAAATAGTTCTTACAAATCGTCATTTTGCTCTTAAGGAGCCTCTACATGTCTCATAATCTTTTTACCCTACCAGCGCTTCGAGACCAACATTTGGCAAGTGCTGAGAAGAAGCGCCGCAACAAACTCAGTCACCACTGTCTGCCGGATAATATCTTCTTCTTCTTCTTAGTCGTTACGCTCTTGGCAGAGCGGTCGTGGTCACGTTGAGGCGTTGTTTACATCGGTTGTAGAGGCGGATACAACTCTCCGCACGATCTCCCTCCATCTCTCTCTATTGGCAGACTTTCTGGTGCAGTCACATAAGCCGTCTCCTACTGCTGCTTTCACTTGGTCAGTCCAGCGCATTGGTGACCTGCCACGCGATCGGGTTCCTTCGACTTTGCCCTGGACGACCAGTCGTTCTATGGAGTTGTCATCCCGCCTCGAGACATGTCCGAAGTATTGCAGTATGCGCGACTGTACTACGGTTGATAAACGCTGAGTGACACCGAGCTCCTGGAGTATGGACACATTGGTACGGAACTCTGTCCATGATATCCCGAGCATCTTTCTCCAGCACCACATCTCTAGGGCATCTATCTTCCTCTTTTCCAAGTCGCGTACTGTCCATGTCTCTGCTGCGTAAAGAAAGATGGGGAATACAAGCGCTCGCACAAGTCTAACTTTGGTGGCTTTGGTAATGTTGCGATTTCTCCATAACTTCCTTAACATCTCCATCGCAGTTCTGGTTATGGCCATACGACGTTTTACTTCATCTACGCAGCCGCCATTATTTGAGATGAGAGCTCCAATAATATAAATAAATAGAAATAGTAGTAGTAGCCGGATAATATAAATAAATAGAAATAGTAGTAGTAGGTACATTCGATTCAGGAGCAGTTCACTGAATTTACCATGCATTCTTGTATGGTGTATCTTATAAGAATGGGTATACAAGATTGCGTGGTACATTAAACAAGGTAGTGACGTGCTAATATCTAGACTTACATATTATCGTGTCGCCGAAGCCCAGCTGCCCGCAGTTGTAGCAGCCTAGGTAACGCCAGCTTCTATTGGTGTGTGCTACAAAGCCATGTCTCACCTGTGACGAAGAGCGAGTGGTTCCTGCCCACTGCCGCGTGTATGATATTGTGGTCTCTCAGGCCTGGGACGATCTGCGGCTCGTTGCGCGTTATCGTGTCGCCGAAACCCAGCTGCCGAAGTTGTAGCGGCCTAAGTAACGCCAGCTTCTATTGGTGTGTGCTACAAAGCCATATCTCACCTGTGACGAAGAGCGAATGGTTCCTGCCCACTGCCGCGTGTATGATATTATGGTCCATCAGGCCCGGGACGAGCTGCGGCTCGTTGCGCGTTATCGTGTCGCCGAAGCCCAGCTGCCCGCAGTTATTGCGACCTGGGGAGAGCATTTAGATATAAATATAGTGGGATATCTATATATATAAAAATGAAACCCGTTTCGCGTTGTCACGGCATCACGTGTGAACGGCTGAACCGATTTCGATAATTCTTTTTTTTAAATGTTTGTGGAAGTCCAAGGATGGTTCTTACGGAAAAAAATATTAAGAAAATCTCTACGCTAAGGCGGTACGAAGTTCGCCGGGTCAGCTAGTTGAGAAATAAAAATGACGTAGAGACGATGGCCGTTGCGGCAGGAAAGTTCTCGAGTGGCGACCACGGGCTGGAAGACGTAGCGTGGGCAGGCCTCCTACTAGGTGGACCGACGATCTGGTAAAGGTCGCGGGAAAAGCCTGGATGCGGGCAGCGCAGGACCGTTCATTATGGAAAACCTTGGGGGAGGCCTTTGTCCAGCAGTGGACTTCATTTGGCTGAAAAATCACAGTTTATTTACACAATATTGTTTTAAAATATTACACAGTGCATCTCGTTATGGTCTCTACGTTGTCTGTCAGGCCTAGCATGCAACTATAAGCTTTCTGTAATACATTTTTATTGTTCATACATCATCAGCCTCCCCGACATCATGCATCGCATTCCACATAGGAAATGATATTTTAAAATGGATTTGTATGCAGAAATTCTAGTTTCTATATACGGACATTATAAATTAGTAACTGAGTGAGTGGTGACTTACCAAATGTATAAGCTTTTCCGTCATCAGAAATAAGGATGGAGTGACCAGCGCTGCATCCGCTCACTATCAGTCGGTACTGAACAAAAATTACAGGAATAAGTACGAAATAAAGAATCTTTTCCAAAAATATAACGCAATCTGATCACTCTTTGATTTTCATTAAAATTTCTTGACTCGTTGAGTAATAATAATAAAATCATTTATTTGCCAGAATACGGTTACAAATGGTTATAGAGAGAGAAGTTTCCAACATATTCTATCGTACATACTTACGTAATACCTTTTTTATTTACATTGTAAGTGAGCTTACAGTGATTGCCAATTCGAAAATACATTTAATGTTGTTGTTATTAAGTACAAAAAAGTAAGTGGAAAAAAACAATCTTTATACCGGGTGTTAGGTAAATGGGTATATGAGCCGACACTAGCCCATGTTAACATGGTCATATAAATGGTATGGTAAAGTCAGAAAATTGATACCTTCATTTCAATTTTCATACAAATCGGATTTTATAAAATTTATTTTCATATTATCTATTTCGACATCGTAAAGGTAGCAGGGAAGCGCTGGACGCAGGCCGCTACCAATCGATCAACGTGGAAAGCATTGAGGGAGGCCTATGTTCAGCAGTGGACGTCCTATGGCTGAAATGATGATGATGATGGTGATGACTTACCCGGCGATCAGTGAACTTGTGGAAGGTGAAGAGGTTGGGGTGGCTCCGCTTGGTGGGGTTGTTCTCCCGCTTGGCGACCAGGTCCCACGACACCATGCCAGCTATCATCAGCCGGCCTGGGGTCTTGTAAAACGACCGCAGTAGTTCCTGTAAATAATAACGTTTGAAGCTTATAAAAAGCTTTTATTTCCACAAACAAAGGCTACAATCAGTGGCGGATTAACGTATAAGCACTACAAGCACGTGCTTGGGGCCCCTGTTCTCCAGGGGCCTCCATCCTCTGCTGGCGCGCCAGCAGAGGATGGAGGCGTTTTATTTCATACCTACATTTTATCGAGATTTAGCCTATGTTACTCGTAAGTAATGTAGCTTTCAAATGGTGAAAAAATATTTAAAAACGGTCCAGTAGTTTTTGAGCCTATTCATTACAACCAAACAAACAAAGTTTTCCTCTTTATAATATTATAGTGTAGATAAAGTAAAGTGCGTTTTCCCAAATACGTCGAATTAAGTGGCGTTTAAAGAAAGAAAGAAAAATTTATTACGATGAACATCACTTATATGTACATGACAGAGAAAAATACAGAAATGGCACATAAATATTACAAGGAAATAAAAAGTGAACTGAGCAGTGCTATCCTGTCGCAACAGCGATGCCCATCGCAATGGGATTCCACTCAGCATATGCCGTGGCCCACGGTGGGGAAGGCCACGACGCTGGTTTTCAGTGGGCCCCATGCCCGAGTGGAAGTCACGGACACTAACCTAAACTGCCTATCAACAAGGCCGTTTAAATATAAATATATAACAATAATAATAATGTGCAAACATTTGTTGAATAAACATAATTATAGTAAATTAATCCTTCAAGGCCCGCGAATCTAGACACAATAGATAATCAATTGTTATGACATTAATTAATGCCGTCTGGGACTCAAGCGGTTAAAGATACTACATATTAAAATAATACCAGTATTAAAATAATAATAATTGTGTATACAGGGTGTCCCGTAATGCAACGTCAAGCCGGAACTGGGTGTTGAGGCAAGTTATAGTTCCAAAATACTGGACTGTCCTGTCGATGACATTGACAGTGGGGCGCCACCGTCAATACCGGATCGCTGGTTCAGATTTTTGCCATGTTGGAAACCATATAGTTGAACGATGGTAGCGCCCCCCTGTCATTGAGTTTGGCGGGACAGTTCAGCGTGGGTCATCTATATGCTGGTTATCAGAAAAATATAAAAAACAATCTGTGTGGCATTTTGTCAAAGTAATAGGCATTTAAAAAAAAACAAGAAATTTTACTCCCGGTGACGGTCTTTTTACTCGAGTTGCCACAAATCTTCACTTTTTCCAAAATTTTTTTTTGTTAAGTAACCCTGAATAATGCTTCTCTAAATTGTTATCAAAATTACGAAACCAGCTGCTCCAGCTTGGATGAAAAAAAATACATTATTCCCAAAAAAATTTTCAAAATAAAAATTTTGCCTAGTTTAAACTGACTGTACTGAAAAAAAATTGTACTACGCGAGTATGGCAAGTGACGTCATAATTTGGCGCATTTAATAAGGATTCCAAAATGGTATAACACTTGGTAAATTCTTGCTGTGATTGTCGACAATTTTTGTTTTTTTGGAAATAATCCCGTTTTTAACTTTATCTACCTTGGTTAAAATANATGAACTTCATTTTATACTTTATACCTTCCATTCCATTCCTTCCATTTCCATTTAAGCAATAGAGGGCCTACACAGGCTCTGTGCTTAAGGCCTCGGATACTCTTAATCCGCCACTGGCTACAATAAATTAAGTTAATTAGAAATATTTGTTTGTTCATTCTTGTGGCACCCTGTATGGAAAGCCTCCATCTTGCTCCACTTTTGCCTGTCCTGGGCTAGGTCAAGTTTAGTGTATCTGGCATTAAATATTATTTAATCTTCTGCAATTGGCCACTTGAATTGATGTTGATTTGCTGATTAGAGGTATTGTGAGACAGTTTAGATCTGGGCTCGTGACCAGTGGCACTGTGTGTGTAAGATGGTGGTAGCTGCCACCATCTTACCTAAGTCTGTCGCTATGACAACAATGTTAACAGCATTGTTGTGTTCCGGCAGTTAGGGGTAAGATAGCCAGTTCCTGTGGTTGAGGATTCCGGGTGAAGCTCGCTTCCACCTTCGGCCTGATCATCACTTACCATCAGGTGAGATACAGGCCAGCCAGCTTCCCCATTGGAGATAAAAAAAAAACGATAATAGGCCAATGACAATCCTACCTCCGACAATCAGAACTGACGGCCGATGGGGCAGCAAGGTTCTGGAATGGAGGCCGTGTCCCGGAAAACGCAGCGTGAGACGTCCACCCACAAGGTGGACCGACGACATCATAAAGGTAGCAGGGAAGTGTTGGACACAGGCCGCTACCAATCGATCATCATTCAAAGCATTGGGGGAGGCCTATGTTCAGCAGTGGACGTTCTATAGCTGAGATAATGATGATCACTTACCATCAGTTGAGATACAGGCCAAAAGCTTCCCCATGGGGATAAAAAAAACGATAAAAGGCCAATGACAAATGACAATCCTACCTCCGGCAACTTGACCATGGGCTCGTCGACCATGGGCGACGGGGTCCTCGGGGGCTCCGGCGGCAGCTGGTCGGACAGCGACGAGTCATTGCTGTCCTCGTCCTCCGACACCGGCTTGCGTGGCTTCCGTGCCTTGGCGCTTCGCCCCGAAGCTGGCGCGGCGCGCTTGCGGCCGTTGCTCGACATGATGCTGCTGGAAAAGTGGAAATATTAACTAAAGTACGGCCAACGAGAAGCGATACCATATGTAAACAAACCCAATGTCATGGTCATTTGGAATAGTAGGGGTGGGTTGCACCACCTATCTTTAACGGTAACTATGACGATAACCGGTGCTTTTTGTATGGAATTTGATAGATTTTTGACGGTTGTCAAAGTTAAAGTAAGATGGTGACTAACATTTATAATATTAGTAATGGATTTAAAAATTATATGCACATAAAACACTGTACATAAGACGGACATAATGCCATTCGGTGGGCGGGGCACATAGAGACGATGGCCGTTGAGGCAGATAAGTTCTCGAGTGACGACCACGGGCCGGAAGACGTAGCGTGTGCAGGCCTCCCACTAGGTGGACCGACGATCTGGTGAAGGTCGCGGGAAGAGCCTGGATGCGGGCAGCGCAGGACCGGTCGTTATTGAAATCATTGGGATAGGCCTTTGTCCAGCAGTGGACGTCATTTGGCTGAGACGAACGAATGTACGAACGCATGCCATTCGGCATTCTCCTCCAGTCAACCTCAAGATTATTATATTAGCATTTATGGAATTTCACGCCTAGCAATTACGTATTAGGCCGGTTTCTACCAAAGCGGAGCGGAGAAGAGCAGAGAGCAGACGAAACGAGAGATATGTGAGCAGGGCGTAGCTGTCAGATATCAGTCTATTGCAGTGTATGAAACACTGCACCACGACTGCACCGTTCCGCTCTGTGTGGAGTGGAGATGTGGAAATAATAGAATCTGATTGGGTGTTCACTGACTTCTCCACTCTGCTCCGCCTTGGAAACCGGAACTTAGAACTACGCCATCAGCCATTTATTTATTATTTATTTATATCAAAACCTCGCACAGCTTTGTGAATGATAGGATAGGATTGAAGGGGAATTGAAGCATAAAAGATCCCAATAGGTTCACCTTTATTCTACGCTTAGGCGTGACCCTACCATACCGCACCGTACCGTATGACTATCGTAGCTAGGTTCCGAATAAGATCCTAAGTTTCATTAATTTTATCTGTATAAATGCAATTCAAAAATCCAAGATGCCTAATTTAGATTTCATACCTCTTATCTGCTCTTTTAAAAAATCTGATCTTCATTTCACTGCCAATTGACCTCTTAACGATATGTCAACGTCGCATAAATTATTGATGATGAAAAAAACATGCAAAATTCAAAGTCTATATACAGTGTGAGTCACGTTAAAGTGTACATATGAAAATAGATGAAACTAAACCTATTTTTATCGACAAAAAAGAGGTCAAAAATTTTTTGAGATTTTTTTAAAATTTTTTATAGAATTTTTTTTCTTCCAATTACTTATTGTAAAGAAAACGTAATAACTTTTAAACTAAGCGGAATATCCTGATAAAATAAAAACAGTAATAATGCTAAATAACAGGCGATACTAAAAAAATACATAAAATAAACAAAAAAGCCAACAAATAATAAAAAATGATACTTTTTGAAAAAAATCTGCTTTAAATTCGTGTTTTTTTTTATTGTTTGTTAAATTTCTCCAAAAAATGTCCCTATAACCGGTGGTTTTTATTACTTTGTATTATTCTCTATCGTATTACCTTCGTAAAACCAAAAATCGCATGTCTCTATCCCTATCACAACGTTTGCAATGATCGTTTGAACTAAGCCTCTCCGGGCGCGCCATTCAACGCTTCGTTAACAACGAAACTGAAAATGGCTCTAGATTTGTAATTTTTATAAAGACAAGTTAGATTTCAAATAAAAACAAAAGATTTCGAAGTAAAATAAGCATTTTAGTTCAAATTAAAATTGTCTCTACCTGTAGCGGAGAATAATGTTGTGGCAGGCCATTGTTCAAACGATCATAGCAAATGTTGTGATAGGGATAGAGACATGCGATTTTTGGTTTTATAAAGATAATACGATAGAAAATAATACAAAGTAATAAAAACCACCTGTTATAGGGGCATTTTTTGAAGAAATTTATCAAATAACCAAAAAAACACGAATTTAAAAGCAGATTTTTTTCAAAAAGTATCATTTTTTATTATTTGTTGGCATTTTTTGTGTATTTTGTGTATTTTTTTAGTATCACCTGTTATTTAGCATTATTACTGTTTTTATTTTATCAGGATATTCCGCTTAGTTTAAAAGTTATTTCGTTTTCTTTACAATAAGTAATTGGAAGAAAAAAAAATCTATAAAAAATTTAAAAAAAATCTCAAAAATTTTTTGACCTCTTTTTTGTCGATAAAAATAGGTCTAGTTTCATCTATTTTCATATGTACACTTTAACGTGACTCACACTGTATATAAAAGAAAGTCGTGTTAGTTACTTCGCTTATAACTCAAGAACGGCTGAACCGATTTACCTGAAAATTGTCAGAGAGGTAGTTTAGAGCCAGGAGAAGGACATAGGATACTTTTTATCCCGTTCGAAATAAAAAAAAAGTCTGCTTATTTATTGCTATTAAGGCGGAACAAAGTTCGCCGGGTCAGCTAGTTATTTATAAAACTTGAAACTGCTTCTAAATGCAGAATGGTTTCTGCTTCAATAATGTAAAAAAAAAAGTTGGTAAAGATATTATTTCTTTACATACCATCCTCCATTCATTGTGGTAAGATTGTTATTTTAGAAATCTACCAATATAGTATATGATCACTTAGTAAAGGTTTAATTGAAGATTTAAGATGAACTTTAAATATACATAATGTTCAGTATTCTCTGGACAAAAGAAAGAGCCCATCTGTCGCCACATGTTATCGGAAATTCCATAAGTAGGTAATTTCATAGTCAAATTTGCTCTTTAGTCCAGTCATTAAGCTTAAATTAGGTAAGAATCTCGGAATTAGAAATACCCAGCTGTAAGTCTGTAAATACTTGTATATTGACACCCTAAAAGTTGTCTCAAAACCTACATATGGTAGGGTGTAAGCAACTATTAAATTTTAAGGTCAAAGGTCACAAAAATCGGTTTTTTGCGCTTTTTTTGGAAATATCTCATTTCCTATGGGTTTTTTGCTATTTGTATTTATTATCAATATTGTAGAATACTAAATTCTCTACAAATTTTGTTTAAAAAATTTTTTTATACGGTGAACCGTTTTCGAGATAGAGGGCGGAGAGCGCGCGGTCACTGCATCACTTCAGGTCAACTTAAGCGGTTTAGGTTTTTCATACAAAAGGATTTTCCCGCTAATTCCCGTGGGAATTTCGGTAATTACTTGTTGTAAATAAGCTTTAAGTTTACTAAGGTACCTACATGCCAAATTTCAAGCGTCTAACTTCTGTTAAGCGTTTAGATTTTTCATACAAAAGGATTTTCCCGCTAATTCCTGTTCCCGTGGGAATTCCTAAGTAAACTATAACCTGCCCAGGTGTATGAAGAATAATTGTACCAAGTTTCGTTAAAATCCGTCGAGTAGTTTTTGTTTCTATAAGGAACATACAGACGGACAGACAGACAGACAAAAATTTTACTGATTGCATTTTTGGCATCAGTATCGATCACTAATCACCCCCTGATAGTTATTTTGAAAATATATTTCATGTATAGAATTCTGTCCGTAATAGTTGCTTACACCCTACCATATGTAGGTTTTGAGACAACTTTTAGGGTGTCAATATACACGTATTTACAGACTTACAGCTGGGTATCTCGAATTCCGAGGTGAACTTACTATAATGACTGGACTACTTCTACTTCACATCTCAAACATGCCAATAAACAAAATAGAATTAGTAATATTTTCAATCTTATTGCTTTGCAATAGGGTCCAAAGGTATTGTTGGACCAGGATGCATCCTGAGTGCATAAGTAGGTAGGCAGATTACATAATTAAGTACAATACGGGGTATTCAATCTGAAATCTTATTGTTTTTTTTATGCATGACAAGGCAGGTATTTTTTTTTCCCTTTTTATATCTGCAATCGACTTAGGTCATAATCAGATGTTTTGTCTTGCTTTTTTGTTTGTGTTCATGAGGAGGGGTATTCCAGTAAATTCTCTCCCTCGGTTTTTACTAATTCACGTAGCAATCTAGTCCAGCCTTCCAATATTCAGTCCAAGCCACTAGCATCTTTGGTCCAACTGTAATATTTGCCATCTTTTCAGTCTTGTGGTGGTCTTGTGGGTTTGTTCCACTATTTCTTTAGCGAGTTGGTTTGTGTGATGTTTCAGCCTTTCCTTATATTTGGTACAGTATTTGCTCACCTCCTCCCTGACTGTCGGCATCTCCAAGTACTCGTGTATCTCTACATTTCTAGCGAACCATGGTGAATTTGATATCGCCCTCAGTGTTTTATTCTGAAACCTTTGGAGAATTTCAAGGTTGGAATTACTGGCAGATCCCCAGAGTTGAATCCCATAAGTCCATACAGGTTTTATTATGCATTTATAGACCAGCATTTTGTTGTTTAAACTGAGGGATGATTGTCTCCCAATCAGCCAGTAGAACTTCTTAAATTGTAAATCTGCTTCTTTTCTCTTTGTTTTTATATGGGTTGCCCAGGTTAACCTCCGGTCCAGATGGAGTCCCAGGTATCTTACACAATTTTCTGTAGGCAGTTGTTGCCCCCGTAACGTTACAGCTGGGCAGTCTCCTTTGCGGAGTGTGAACGTTATTTGTAGAGATTTAGTAACATTTGGCTTTATTCTCCTATTTATATAAAAGACCTTTGTGCCAAACCCTAAGGCAGGTATTTGACCACAATCGCACCTGGTGTTAAGTGGGATGCAGTCTCAGATGGTACATATCTGCCCTGTAAGTGCCTATCCATCTCCCCTTGAAAAGGCCCGGATTATAGTCTTCGGGAAAGACAGTAAGTTTGATAGCAGGGACAAAGAAAATAAATCCATATTCAGTCTAGATTCTACACTCCAGAATGATTTACACTACGATTTCTAACACTATTGGTATTAATATTTGGTATTAAAATGGAATACCGCTTTATGTTAACTATCACCTTTGCATTACTATAAATAAATATGAGTAATTTTTGTCAAAGTCAAAGTCAAAATTTCTTTATTTGTTTAGACTAATAAATAGTTCTTACAAATCGTAATTTTGCTCTTAAGGAGCCTCTACATGTCTCATAATCTTTTTACCCTACCAGCGCTTCGAGACCAACATTTGGCAAGTGCTGAGAAGAAGCGCCGCAACAAACTCAGTCACCAGTCATATTGAAAGGTGATTTTTTTGTATTAAACTTTAATTTAAATGCTAACAGGCTTGGTAACTTCTTTTCTATTTTTGTTTATTGATAAACAAGCATTACTCAGGCTCTACATGTGAGAACATGTTAATTAGATTTATCCACACATTCGGACCCCAGGGCATAAGAGATATTGGATTGTCTTTGACATCAAATCCTAAAGTCAACAAAGAATGTGAAGCAAAATTGGTAGGTACAAAACTGCATACCCATAAGAAAATTTAGAAGTATTTAGCAGCTATGTGCAACAAGACAAGCCCTGCCCAGAAATGGATAAAACTGCTAATTTTCTGTAGTAAAGATAAATAAATCAACTATCAGATTATTAAGAAACCTACCAAAAGTTTGTTGGTGAATAGGTTTCCTACATTGTTTATTAAGATAAACAAAACAACTATCACATTATTAACCCACTTGTTACTAGCGTTGTTTTAAAAGAACGCCAGTTTTTACATAAATATTTTTACTAATGTGGGTAGTTTAAACAATTTTTATGTGCAACATTTGAAAGATGAGGTGTGTCGCAGTACTGTCCAAGTCTTATAAGTACACTGACGTAAATAACTATAAAGTTTTGGAGCGATTGTTTAGAGATAAATTTATCATGACTGATTTAAGGTAAGTGATAGAAAAAGTGAATTCCGTAACAAGTGAAGTCTTGCTACTTGCTTCTGAATGTATGTAACTTCCTACTTTTTTATATTTTTAAACCGGCAGACAGTGGTGACTGAGTTTGTTGCGGCGCTTCTTCTCAGCACTTGCCAAATGTTTGTCTCGAAGCGCTGGTAGGGCAAAAAAAGAATGAGACATGTATAGGCTCCTTAAGAGCATTTGACGATTTGCAAGAACTAATTTAATTAGTCTAAACAAATAAAGATAATTTTGATTTGATTTGATTTGAGTGGGTTAAGAAACCTACCAAGTTTGTTGGTGAATAGGTTTCCTACATTGTGTATTAAGATAAACAAAACAACTATCACATTATTAAGAAACCTATCAAAAGTTTGTTGGTGAATAGGTTTCTTACATTGTGTATTAAGATAAACAAAACAACTATCACGTTATTAAGAAACCTAGCAAGTTGGTTGGTGAATAGGTTTCCTACATTGTGTATTAGAAAGCACGGAAGAAAATGTACTAAGGCTGTATGAGATTATCATTATGGCAAACAAATAACAAGGAGATTGTTTGTTTGCATTATGAAACCTTGAATTTAACTGCATAGAAGTTGATAAGAGTAGCAAAACTATTCTATTTATCACTTAGTAGGTTACTTCAAAACCTTTTTTAGTTGTGAAGAAGCGATAACAAAAAATAAGTAGTAGGTATTTAAGTTTTTCTCTATTTGACCAATAATGAATGATTGTTAAAACGAAGCTTGTGCAGTTTTAATGATATTGTAAAATTGTGATATTGCATTTTATTGACTATGCCCTTGAATTGTATTACATTGCAATTTTAAAATATAAATTCTGTAATATAAATGCTTCTACCAAACCATAAAATAACATGCCCTGAATCAAATAAGGCTACTCACAGGCTCACAGCAGATAAATGAAATTTGAGATGGTACACTAGTATTATTGAAATGCAATAAATGACAAAATAACACATCATGAAAAATTACTTTGTCTCAACATGCTTAACACATTCGCATAGATCAGTACCTGTACAAAATTATTGATTTTATATACATACAAACAAAGTTCAAGTCTCATGTATTGCAACATACATGGCCAATGGAAGTCTAAAAAAATATTTTAATATTGGAAATGTTATTGATTCAGATTTAATAACAAACACTGAATAGCACTGTAAATTAAATGCAAAAAACGTTAAGTAGACCAACGAAATAGTGAAAACATTTACTTACTATCAAGGTACAAGGATAGGACAATAGGCTCGCTTTGCAGGGAGTAGGTGACGAGACACGAGCGGCCCGAGAACCGTTATTCTCGTCAAACAATAGCCGCGACTATAAACTTTACATTTTACAACATTGTTAAGTACAACATTCTCAAAGTAAATGGAATAGGTAACACAAAAACTACATCTTCACGTAATTATTCGTAACGCGCTCGCTCACAAAATTATTAGACGGTAACTACAAAAAAGAATCCCGAATACTGATCAACACGTGCATGTTTTGATAAATACGATATTAATACACACCAAAAAAACAACTTTGATATCACATTCCGATTAAAACAAAATGTAAGACACTAAAAACACACTTACCGTTACAAAACAATAATTGAATCTAATAAAAATTATCTAAAAATTCAGATGCTATGCGTTTGACGAATTGACGAAAGTGACAAGAAGGAGGGATGCCGCGAAAAAAAAACATTTTTTACGGCACTGGGACCGTGCATCGGATGGCAAAGTAGCAATGCGTTATGTACAAATTTTTATTTTATTGGCTATTTCAAATTATGTTGCGGAGCCAGGAGACTGAGTACTTGTCATTTAATGCATAGAAATAAAATAAAAACAGCATCTTTTTATGATGATGACAATATTATATTCTAAACTCTTGTACATGATTCTATAGAACCATCTTTAATAAGTAGTTTTATGCAATTTATTTTAACACGTCCAGTTTTGCGTTCTGTTAAGACCGATGTCTTCTGTCTGGCTACTGCGAATACAGCGATACATACACGCATTCGCTTAGTGCAGAGAGCGCTATTATTTTAAAATTGTACTTATAGAAATAAATACATTTTAACTCTGACTTTACTTTATTAGAAAATAATTGGATTTATGTAAGATATAGTTCGTGAAAGTACCTAATATTTTATGAATATTTTACACACTTTTTATATTTTAGGAGTGGCATGAGGCATCGAAAGTTCCTAATTACCAATTATTAACCATAAAATGAACACCTTTTTATTGAATTTAACAATATTTATTCTGTATTATATTCAATTACATATTTCATGTTCGCTTTATTAAACAATAACAAACTAAATGTGTACAGGTAATTTACAAACTTAAAAACTATACTATATACAAAAAAAAATACAATATTTACAAAAAAGGAATAAATTCTGAAACCATTATAATATCTGCAACAATGTCCAGGAAGTAATCAAGTAAAGTATTTAATTTTAACAATATTTTATTATACAGGCCAGGCCTAACAGCCTAACTAAAAATAATATAGTAGGTAGATAAATTGTAATTTTTTACATTTAAATTTCATTGTCCAAACTGTTGTCGATTAAGTATAAATAATAGTTTTATTAAGTTTACCTAATTCATTTCCTACTTATTTGTTAGCCATGATGTGTAGAAATTCATTAAATTACTTAATAAGTCAAATCATAAATAAGTTCATTTATGTATTTTGTCGTATTTCAGTCAGTGATTCAAATTTTTTATTGCTATAAAATACTTCTGTTTCTTCTTGTGCAGGTGATGAGATTTAATAGGCTAGCCCTCTGTCTATAAAATGTTACCATTTGCAAAATCAGCCACTGAGCACAGACAAGACAAATGAACGCTTGGAAACGCCTTTCAAGTAATATCTAACAACCAATGGATGACTAGGTTACTGCCGTTAGCTGCTGCTAGCCATTGGTCGAATAATTAAAAAAAAAGTATGCAGTCGATTAGGGATTTTGTGCCTAGTATTTTTGCCAATGACACACTACTTTATTTGTTTAATTAGTAAAATATGTTGAATGTATCATTTTGTAAGGTTGCGCAATGTGGGGAAGGATACAGATGGGCCGTAAGTTCAGCAGAATCATTTATATTCATTTTTTTAAGCGCCGAATTGTCACTTCTTATATCTCGAAGTTCGAGATATAAGAAGTGACAATTCGAGACTCGAACCTACTTTTGTGTTGTCATATCGTACCATGTAATGTCAAACTTTAACCATAGATGGCGGTGGTTGTAACTTGACTCGCGATTCTTTTTGATTTTTTCCGGATTATAAGTATGCCGGGGCGGTTTTCACTAGTCATCGTTTCAGTCCGCTGGACATAGGCCTCCCTAAGCCTAAAAAGGCTAAGGAATTTTTGACGCACTTCCCGCATTCGAACACCTCGATGCGATAGTGCATAAAAGTACCATATTCGTCGTCACCGTTGCATTAATAATATTTTTTTCAAAATCTTTATTATTTTGATAAAGGACTTTTATCTTACAATCAGTGTTGTTAATATTACTACAATGTTATGTTATTGTTAGGCTCTACGACCGATTACGCCTATACTATCAGCGCGCGCCCAAAGTTGCTCGTTCACAAGTGATGAGGTTCTGAAAAATTAAAAAAAGGAAGTAAAAGTGACATTTTATGGAACACTTATCTTTAAAGATTTAACGAAAATAGGTATAAAGATTCTATACGTTAATAATGAAAATTAACCCTAAATTACTGATAAAAACACATTTTAATAAAATTAAAAATAATAAAATCAGCATTTTTTTTTTACAATTTCTGTTTAAAAAAAATACCTATCGATAGGGTATGTTATTCTAATGAATAAATATCATTAAACGTTTTTCTCTAAAACCAACTAATTTTTTTTCATAGAACCAACTTTCTAGAGATAATAATAATTATAATCGGTCCAGCCATTCTCGAGTTATAATAAGTACATTCTAATAGGCATCCTACACATTGAGTTATAATATAATTTTTATTAGAAATGACCTTAAAATCTCTCAAGAGAGAGAAACTGTGTTCACTAATTAATTACAAGTTCCTTGTTATTCTTCTTTGAAAAAAAAAATACAGTTTCACTGGAACGAAATAGAACAATGTTATACGAAAAATCGAACAGAGCCATCTGGTTGCGATTGAAAGTACTAAGTTACATTTCATGCGCTGGTTTTTTCATGTAACACTTGTTCTAGTTTATTTGCTCGTGGGTAGGTGGCGCTAACCTAGACTTATTCAGTCTACATTTTTGGTAAACATAGTCCATGACTTTTAGTTCCGTCATGACATGAGTTCCATGAACCCCCCTCTCAGAAAGTTCTCCAAGGGATTTGGTTTCAACGAGACACAATTTCAACGGGACACATTTTCAATCCGACACATTCCCACGTGGACACATCAATTATTGTATCATCAGTTAAATATTTTAATGAAATAGGTAATAACAGTGCGTAAATCAAAAAATGCCCTTGCATTTTACAGGAGATTGGTCGGGGAAAAAAGCACGCGTTCTTTTTTTCATCCAATGGCATCAAAATTTAAAAACAGTAAAACAAAATGACTTAACTACGCACTGTTAAATTGTAACTTGTACCACTTATACTTAATATAACTTCACTGACGAAATGATGAAATAGGATGCGTATGGTAAAGTAAATAAAATAGAAAAAACTAAAAGGATTTTTTCGAAAAATAGTCCTACTTATTAGGATTTATGTATGAATGTTTGTTACTCTTTCACGAAAAAAAGAAACTACTGAACGGATTTTGATGAAACTACAGTGTAGGTACTTATTTTACATCCTTCAACTTATAACTAGGTATGCGAAAAACCGAATTACACGCGAGCGAAGCCGCGAATGAATAAAGCTAATTAATTAATTAATTAAAGAAATGTTGAAAACAAGGATTTTACTTTAAATGACTACTATCTCGGAAATTTGAAAACCGCTGCATCCGGTTGCTTTATGCCTATTATTACTATTATACTCGTAAGCAAGAAGGTCCCTATATCCTGATGGAAGCAGACCATATTAAGTAGGTACTTACAGTGTGCACGTAGCTTGTATCTTTTGAAAATTAAGATTCTCTAAGATAATGGTGCGGTGGTAGAATTGGATTAAAGAAAATCACAAAAGTTGGTCTTTGATATAAAAATATATTTTACCAAACAATATTTTTGTACAAACATGGACATTATGGACAGACGATAGTCGGGAACACTTGCTTTGAAGTTCTGTAGTGAGGCATGGTAAATGTTGGCGATTGGTTTATTTGAACGAAGTACGTGAAACATTTTGTATCTCTACGAGATCAAAACAGCAAATTCCAGTAAGTCCTTTAGATCCGGATCCTTTACCTCCAATGACTATCTTGAAGCCTTTGAGAGCTTCTTCAGCTTCCGAACCTGCAGTAGCGCCGCCGGCTCCTTCGGCGTTTTCTCCCGCTCCGGTGCCTGCCTTGCCAGCGGCGCCACCCGCGCCACCCGCGCCACCAGCGCCGCCGGCGGTTTCATCAGGCGGGCAGATGCAATCAGGATCAGTCTTCGATGGAGGAGGGAGTGGAGGCAGAGGACCATTACACTTACAAGCATCCTCAATAGGAATCGCATCGCTTTCTTCAGGAGTTGGAATGTCTTCCGGATGCTCCTCAAAGTACTGCAACGCATCTTCAAAACTCATTTCTTCAGAATCCATATATGACAGTTTTCTATGTAAAGGCCTCTTCTTGAACTTGAATCTGAAACCTGATGTGGTCTGAGTCATATTAGACTTCATTTTAAGTTCCTCCATCATTTCCCGCTTGTCGATTTGATCAAATTCTTCTTTCAAATATTTTAGTCTTTCGTAATCGATTTTCAACTCTTTTGGTGAACTCGAAATGTCGAGTATTTCTTGATCTGCAGGGGCTGGAGGACATTCGCAGATATTTTTCTTTCCTTTGTTACAGTCACATTTTTCTTTACTTTTTCCTTTGCAAATGCAGCATTGGCAGCCTTTAGACTCTGTGATGAATCGCTGACATGGGCATTGCTTTTTCCTCTTCTTTTTCTTTTTCTTTTCATCATTCTCATCACATAGGCAGGCACCTCTCTTGGGTGCAGTAAGGCAAGTGGAGGCTTTACTTCCTTCTTTGGCACCATCTGAAACAAATAGGAAGAAAACTATGTTTTAATTTTATTTACTCCATTAAATAATAAGATCCTGCTGAATACTACTTGAAAATTTTAGATGAGTCTATCTAAACAATCTAACTTGATACAGATATAACCAATAATTCCTCGTATAACCAATAATTACCTACTGAAGGAATCAGATATTGGCCATAATGATTACTCATTAATCAAAAGATTTCTTGAGAGATTTGTTTTATTAGATGGTAGAAATAATAATAAAAAATACCTTTTGAACAAGGTAACGTTGCTTTGCGCTTGCGAATAGCGGCGTTCGGATTTGAGTCGCCACAACTAATTGACGCCATTTGCTTTGCAGCTTTTTCGAATAGTTCTTTTAATTTGTCTGGATCGCATTTGCAGTTATCCGATCGGCCTTGCTCTCGAGGGACGATCGATACTTGAGTGCCCATCGGCTGGTGACAAACTTCTTGCCCAGCGCACGGTGCAATACGACAAGACGCGGGTCCACCTGATGGTTGCTTTAGTGCTGGTTTAGGAAGCCTGGGGGGGCAAGCCTTGCTTCTTGCAGGGCAGCCGTTGTCATGCATGGATGTCTCAATCCTGACTGATTGTTTTGGTGGGTGGTTAACATGCAAGGTAGTTGGTTTGTGAGGTGGTGGGTGCGGTGACGCTTTTTCCATACGTGATTGAGAAGGGGTTGCTGCGTTGTGCGGTACACGACACACTCTTATGGGAGTTTTCTGGGCGGTGAATTTCCTATGCTGTGATGATGTCAGAGATTTTGAGCTTTTACGAGGACACTTGACGTATACTTCACGATGTAAACCTAAAACAAAAATTACCTATTATGCTATAACATTGAAAGCTGATATTTTATAATGCTTTACACAAAAGCGTGCAGATCGCTGCATGGTGCGATTACAGCGCGATCTAAATCTAAGGCCGATGACAGGTCGTGTGAACTGTCATAGGTCGCAAGACCTGCCATTGGCCTTTGATCGCACCGGTGATGGCGATTTGCACGCGTCGGTGTGTTTGAAACTTATGACATGTTTGTAAGTTCCGAGTAATAACCTTGAGCGGCTCCTTGTTTTGCTATTATGGGGGTAATTAATTCTGAAGCAATCGTTGGAATACTTGGAACGCATTCTTCGATTATCGGTATAATTTCTGTGCTCTGTTCTTTTGGTGTGCAACAGCACGGCCTGTCTCGGATCGTATCGACGCTTACAGCTCTTAGTTGTTTTACTGGCTTCAATGTAATAGTTTCTTTAGTAGCGTAGTGACTAGTTATTTCATCGTTTTTTATTTGTTTCTCCATACATTGCTGTAAAGCTTCTTCATCAACCAACTTCGATATATCTCCGTAAATGTGTGGTCTTTTACCTTTCGATCTGAGTTTTATTCCTCCGGGAGCTAGAAATATGGAAAAATAATGCCAGATTTTGTATGGAAAGTGGCGTCTTTTTTTTTTCGCGCGGCCATCGACCAAACTTTGTTTTTTGATTACAAAATCCCAACTAATATTATAAATGCGAAAGTAACTCTGTCTGTCTGTCTGTCTGTCTGTCTGTCTGTCTGTCTGTCTGTTACGCTTTCCCGCTTAAACCTCGCAACCGATTTTGATGAAATTTGGCATAGAGATAGTTTGAGTCCCGGGAAAGAACATAGGATAGTTTTTATCCCGGTTTTTGAAACAGGGACGCGCGCGATAAAGTTTTTCTGTGACAGACAAAATTCCACGCGGGCGAAGCCGCGGGCGGAAAGCTAGTAGTGTAATAAACCAAACTTACTATGGCATGTATACCTCTAAACTCAGTCTGAACTGAGTTACGAGCATTAGAAGTTTGATTATTTTCATACTAGATTTGCTTTTTGTGCGCAAGTTTTATAAGAAATTGCTACAAAATATTGCGCTATTTTTTTATTGCGCTGATTCTGCTCCATACTGATGTCTGGAGCCTTTAATGAATGATATTGTTTGTTTACACATACAATATCACTATTTTGTTGCAATTTCTTACAAAACTTTGCGCGCAAAAAGCAAATCTAGTATGAAAATCATCAAACTTCTAATGCTCGTAACTCAGTTCAGACTGAGTTTAGAGGTATGCCATACATGCCATAGTAAGTTTGGTTTATTACACTATTTTGTAATCAAAAAACAAAGTTTGGTCGATGGCCGCGCGAAAAAAAAAAGACGCCAATTTCCGGCATTGTCTTTTGGGTTTTGATACAAAAGTAAGTTTTGTAGTAGAACCTAACTTTTGTATCGATACCTAACCTTTATTAGTTACGTAGTACTTATTGTTATTCTGCCTTTATCTCGTATACCGATTGCAAACTATTGATCATTTTGTCCATTGAAAAAATTACCAAGTAATATGATTTTTATGTAGGTATTTAGTTGAATTATTATTGGTAAATGCATCAATAATGTTGTTTTGATTTCAAAGTACTCTCTACATGCTTTTAATTTTGGGTAATATACCTACTATGTGTAACATGTGTTATTTGTTATCAATGTAACTTACCGTCATAGCGACTCATTTTCCGGTCCCATTTAGAGATGTTTTCGGATATTTGTATGCAAATAGTAGAATCTGCTCCATCAACAGAACTATCGGTATCATATTCGTCGGATGTTGGCACTACCAAATAAACAGACGAATCTTCTGGCAATTTCTTTCGTAACAACAATTCATTCACGACATCTAACATGCTGTGATCACTATTGAAGTCATGAATAACCATGACAGAGTCTTTTCTATTATAGCTTTCACTTCCTTCTGCTCCATCTTTAGGTGCATCAGTTTGAGACAATCTGAATATTAATACGTCGTTTGTATCTTTATTCTTTTTCTTGCGTTTTTCACAATGCTGGTTATTGTACTCGTCCGAGGAAATAATCAGAATATCGCGAATGTAACTGTGGCTGAAAATTTAGTACAAATTAGAAAATCATCAAATAAGTAACATGTCATTAAAATTGTCTAAAAAGTACCTTTTCAGTGTTTCCGATGTGTCGTAGTCAAGCGTGTCTGTTATTATACCAGATTCATCCATTGTGAGTACGCTGTACGTATCACGTGCAGATATTAAATAATGACTTGCGTCTGAAGAAAATTCACTATCGATAAATGAAACCACACTTATGGTGTCTTCTTCTGCGATATAAGAACCTGTAGATAAACTCACTGAAGAATCGGTCTTTACTATGAATATAGATTCGTAGCTCGATGATCTGATAGATGTAGCAATCGTAGTTTGCGATTGGCTTTGGAAGATGGGTGGTGTTGTTTGACCTTCAGAAAATAAGCAGTAAGAGTGGTCATACGACTCTGTGATGTAAGTATTATCAGTTTCAAGTCTGTGCAAATCTATGTAAGAGTCATAAATATCATCGAAAGAGGTATCTTCAAAAACATATTCAGAAGTTTCGGAAAGATCTTCTTCTGATGTAGTTGTAAAATTAACATTATACTTTAATAAATATTCTATGTCATCTTTTTTCCGACTATTGCGATGTGCTTTTATTTTAGGTTGTGAGTAAATACCCTTCCTCTTATTAATAGACTTATGGGCTAAATTAATAGACCCTAAGTTTTCTTCGTTTCCATAATATTGCGCTGTCTCGTATCTTTTCCTTCGTGATTGTTCCATTGAAAAAGATGGAACACCTACAGCTCTTCCAACAGTCACCTTAATTCCTTCATTATCTACAAACACCCCTCCTTTAACTCCTGGCACGCATTCTTCAGGGCATGGGCAAAGAGAAGATATATCTGGGGATGTAACTCTTATTTTGACGTAACTGTGTTTGAATCTTATTTTCTTTTTATCACACCCACATCCTCGATCACATGTTGTAGTTTTTATTATATCTTGGAATTCTTCCGATATGCCTGCTACTTTTGATTTTACAGCAGCAACACCTTTAACACTTTTCCTAGCTCCAGCTACTCCCACCTTTTTTGATTTAGTTCTGATTTTACCCTTTTTTTCAGATGGTGTCGGTTCAGGCGGAAGACCAGCTTCAGTACGTATTTTCTTTATTAACTCCTTTTCGGATGCAGTTTTGCCTTCAGGAATTGGTAATCCAGCCTGAACTAAACCTCTTATTATTTTTTCTTTTTGAGCTGGAGTCTTTCCTGTTAATGGTGTTATTAAACCATCAGCTTTTGCTTTTTTAACTATTGCTTTTTCTGAAGGGGTAACAGCCTCAGGAGCTACCCCAAATTCTGGTGGTTTTTTTGCTTTAGTTTTAATGCCTCTTCTTTTTTCCGAAGGAGTTGCTTCAGGCGGAAGACCTACTTCAGTCCTTATTTTCTTTATTAATTCTTTTTCGGATGGGGTTGTCCCTTCGGGTATTGGTAGCCCAGCTTCTGCTAAACCCCTTATTATTTTCTCTTTTTGTTCTGGAGTCTTTCCCTTGAGTGGCGTTAACAAACCTTCTGCTTTAGCTTTTTTTATAACTTCTCTTTCGGATGGAGTTTTTGCTTCAGGAGGTATTCCCAATTCTCCCCGAATTTTTCGAATCATTGATTTTTCAGATGCTGTCTTTCCTTCTGGAAGTGGCAAGCCTGCTTGTGCTAGTCCTCGAATGATTTTCTCTTTTTCTGCCGGCGTCTTGCCTTCTAATGGCGTCAATAAACCTGCAGCTTTTGCCTTTTTTAATTTTTCTGATGGAATAGGTTTTGCAGATGGTCGAGCTGCTTTGGCAGACGGCTCTCTTTCTGCCTCTGGGGTCAACAAAGGACATATACATTCGTCGCTAGGCCCCTTGCCTTCTTTCATTACTTTTGCAGTTTTTTGGTCCAACTCCCTGGCCTGATCAGGAGGTAATGCTGGTGGCCCGACATATGCTGGCTTTTTAGGTTTTCCTTTTTCAGCTTCAATTTGAGCAATTACGGCTTTTTCCGAAGCAGTCCTTCCTTCAGGCAGAGGAATTCCCGCTTCTGCCATGCCTCTTAAAATTTTTTCTTTTTGTGAAGGGGTCTTACCTTCAAGAGGGGTAATTATTCCAGCTGCTTGAGCTTTCCGCATTCTTTCTTTTATAGATGGCGTTTTGGGTTCTGGTGGTAATCCTAATTCTGTTCTGACTTTTTTTATCAACTCTTTTTCTGATGGTGTTTTGCCTTCTGGTATAGGCAGGCCTGATTTTGCCAAACCTCGTAATATTTTTTCTTTTTGTTCCGGAGTTTTTCCTTCTAATGGAGTTAACAACCCTTCTGCTTTTGCTTTTCTTAGTTTTTCAGATGGGACACCTGCAGCAGATGGAGCTCTTGGCGTGGCTTTTATTTTGGCTATCAAAGCTTTCTCAGAGGGAGTTCTACCCTCTGGCAATGGGATGCCCATGTCGTGTTGTGCTTTTAACATTTTTTCTTTCTCTGGTCCTGATTTTCCTTCTAATGGGCCTATAATTCCCGCTGCCAATGCTTTATTATATTTCTGTTTTTCTGAAGGTGTTTTAGGTTCTGGAGGTAATCCTAAGTCTGCTCGAACTTTGTCAATTAATTTCCTTTCGGATGCTGTTTTTGCCTCGGGTAGTGGCAAACCTTGCATAGCTAGCCCCCGAATAATTTTTTCCTTTTGCTCTGGAGTCTTTCCTGTTAATGGTGTGATAAGTCCAGCAGCTTTAGCTTTTCGTAATTTTTCAGATGGTATTGCCATCGCTTCTGACGGCGCTCGACCTTTGATTTTAGCTATAAGAGCTTTTTCGGATGGTGTTCGACCTTCGGGCAAGGGAATACCCATGTCATGTTGAGCTTTCAAAATTTTCTCTTTTTGGGCTGGTGTTTTCCCTTCTAGTGGTTCTATAATACCTGCAGCTAAAGCTTTATTATACTTGTCTTTTTCAGCGGCTGTCTTTAGTTCCGGCGGAAGGCCGAGGTCTGCTCTAACTTTGTCAATCAATTTTTTTTCAGATGCAGTCTTGCCTTCGGGTAGAGGCAAACCTTTCATAGCTAGGCCTCTTATTATTTTTTCTTTTTGATCTGGAGTTTTGCCTTCTAACGGCGTCAACAAGCCTTCTGCTTTCGCTTTTCGCATTTTTTCTGATGGTATTGCAGCTGGCGCTACCGAGGGAGCCCTCGGTGTAGCTTTAATTTTTGCTATTAAAGCTTTTTCTGATGGAGTTCGACCTTCGGGTAGTGGTATGCCCATGTCATGCTGAGCCTTTAAGATCTTTTCTTTTTCGGGTCCAGATTTTCCTTCTAATGGTTCTATTATTCCTGCTGCTAAAGCTTTGTTATATTTATCTCTTGCTGCTGCGGTTTTTGGTTCTGGTGGAAGTCCTAGATCTGCTCTGACTTTATCTATAAGTTTCTTTTCAGATGCCGTTTTTCCCTCTGGCAATGGTAAACCTTGCATAGCCAATCCTCTTAAAATCTTTTCTTTTTGTTCTGGCGTTTTCCCTGTTAGTGGAGTAATTAATCCCGCGGCTTTAGCTTTTCTTAACTTTTCTGAGGGTATTGCTACAGCCGAGGGAGCTTTAGGCATTGCTTTAATTTTGGCTATTAAAGCTTTTTCAGAAGGTGTACGACCTTCTGGAAGTGGAATACCCATATCGTGCTGCGCTTTTAGAATTTTTTCTTTTTCTGGACCCGATTTACCTTCTAATGGTACAATGATTCCGGCTGCTAAAGCTTTATTATACTTATCCTTTGCTGCCGCTGTTTTTGGTTCGGGTGGAAGACCCAGGTCAGCTCTAACTTTGTCTATTAATTTTTTTTCTGAGGGTGTCTTTCCTTCTGGAAGCGGCAAACCTTGCATGGCAAGGCCTTTTAATATTTTCTCCTTTTGCTCGGGAGTTTTGCCTTCTAAAGGTGTAATAAGTCCCGCTGCTTTAGCTTTCCGTAACTTTTCTGATGGTATTCCAACCGCTGACGGAGCTCTTGGCGTAGCTTTGATTTTGGCTATAAGTGCTTTTTCAGACGGGGTGCGCCCTTCAGGTAGCGGGATGCCCATGTCGTGTTGGGCTTTTAACATTTTTTCTTTCTCTGGACCGGATTTTCCTTCTAACGGTGCAATTATACCAGCTGCCAAAGCTTTATTGTACTTTTGTCTTTCAGCAGCTGTTTTAGGTTCTGGGGGCAAGCCAAGTTCGGCTCGCACTTTGTCAATTAGTTTTTTCTCGGATGGTGTCTTAGCCTCAGGAAGAGGCAAACCTTGCATTGCTAAACCTCTTATAATTTTTTCTTTTTGTTCGGGTGATTTTCCTGCTAATGGGGTGATAAGACCAGCTGCCTTAGCTTTCCTAAGTTTTTCGGATGGTACACCCACAGCTTCTGATGGCGCTCGGGGCATTGCTTTAATTTTAGCAATTAAAGCTTTTTCAGATGGTGTTCGACCTTCAGGTAATGGGATACCCATGTCGTGTTGTGCTTTTAGAATTTTTTCTTTTTCTGGTCCTGATTTTCCTTCTAAAGGTTCTATTATTCCTGCTGCCAAAGCCTTGTTATACTTATCTTTTTCTGCTGCAGTTTTTGGTTCTGGTGGAAGCCCTAGATCTGCCCTTACTTTATCAACAAGTTTCTTTTCTGATGCCGTTTTCCCCTCTGGCAATGGTAAGCCTTGCATAGCCAATCCTCTTAAAATCTTTTCTTTTTGCTCTGGGGTTTTTCCTGTTAACGGAGTTAGTAATCCTGCTGCTTTTGCTTTTCGTAATTTTTCTGACGGGATCCCCACTGGTGCTCCTGGAGGTGCTGCTTTAATTTTTGCTATTAACGCTTTTTCCGATGGAGTCCTTCCTTCTGGTAAAGGTATTCCCATATCGTGTTGGGCTTTCAAAATCTTCTCTTTCTGGGCTGGTGTTTTCCCTTCTAGCGGTTCTATAACACCTGCAGCTAAAGCTTTATTATATTTGTCTCTTTCAGCGGCGCTTTTCGGCTCGGGGGGAAGGCCAAGGTCGGCCCTAACTCTGTCGATCAATTTTCTCTCAGATGGTGTTTTCCCTTCTGGTAATGGTAAACCTTGCATGGCTAATCCACGTAGTATTTTTTCTTTTTGTTCTGGAGTTTTTCCCGTTAATGGAGTAATCAGGCCGGCTGCTTTTGCTTTTCTAAGTTTTTCGGATGGGATTGCAACAGGAGCTGCTGATGGCGCCCTCGGCATTGCTTTGATTTTAGCTATCAAAGCTTTTTCAGATGGCGTACGACCTTCAGGGAGGGGTATGCCCATGTCGTGCTGTGCTTTTAATATTTTTTCCTTTTCTGGACCGGATTTGCCTTCTAGTGGAACTATGACGCCAGCCGCCAAAGCTTTGTTGTACTTATCTCTTGCTGCCGCTGTTTTCGGTTCGGGTGGGAGTCCTAGATCAGCTCTGACCTTGTCAATAAGTTTCTTTTCAGAAGCGGTTTTTCCTTCTGGGAGTGGTAAGCCTTGCATAGCCAATCCTCTTATAATTTTTTCTTTTTGCTCGGGGGTCTTTCCCGTTAGCGGAGTGATTAATCCTGCTGCTTTTGCCTTCCGTAATTTTTCTGAAGGGATTCCCACTGGTGCTCCTGGAGGTGCTGCTTTAATTTTCGCTATCAAAGCCTTCTCCGAGGGAGTCCTTCCTTCTGGTAAAGGTATTCCCATATCGTGTTGAGCTTTCAAAATTTTCTCTTTTTGGGCTGGTGTTTTCCCTTCTAGCGGTTCTATAACACCTGCAGCTAAAGCTTTATTATANCCCATGTCGTGTTGTGCTTTTAATATCTTTTCCTTTTCTGGACCGGATTTGCCTTCTAGTGGAACTATGACGCCAGCCGCCAAAGCTTTGTTGTACTTATCTCTTGCTGCCGCTGTTTTCGGTTCGGGTGGGAGTCCTAGATCAGCTCTAACCTTGTCAATAAGTTTCTTCTCAGATGCGGTTTTTCCTTCCGGGAGTGGTAAGCCTTGCATAGCCAATCCTCTTATAATCTTTTCCTTTTGCTCTGGGGTTTTTCCTGTTAGCGGAGTGATTAATCCTGCTGCTTTTGCCTTTCGTAATTTTTCTGAAGGGATTCCCACTGGTGCTCCTGGAGGTGTTGTTTTAATTTTCGCTATCAAAGCCTTCTCCGAGGGAGTCCTTCCTTCTGGCAAAGGTATTCCCATATCGTGTTGGGCTTTCAAAATCTTCTCTTTTTGGGCTGGTGTTTTCCCTTCTAGCGGTTCTATAACACCTGCAGCTAAAGCTTTATTATATTTGTCTTTTTCAGCGGCACTTTTTGGCTCGGGGGGAAGGCCAAGGTCGGCCCTAACTTTGTCGATCAATTTTCTCTCAGATGGTGTTTTCCCTTCTGGTAACGGTAAACCTTGCATGGCTAATCCACGTAGTATTTTCTCTTTTTGTTCTGGAGTTTTTCCCGTTAATGGAGTAATCAGACCGGCTGCTTTTGCTTTTCTAAGTTTTTCGGATGGGATTGCAACAGGAGCTGCTGATGGTGCCCTTGGCATTGCTTTGATTTTAGCTATCAAAGCTTTTTCAGACGGTGTACGACCTTCAGGGAGGGGTATGCCCATGTCGTGCTGCGCTTTTAATATTTTTTCCTTTTCTGGACCGGATTTGCCTTCTAGTGGAACTATGACGCCAGCCGCCAAAGCTTTGTTGTACTTATCTCTTGCTGCCGCTGTTTTCGGTTCGGGTGGGAGTCCTAGATCAGCTCTGACCTTGTCAATAAGTTTCTTTTCAGAAGCGGTTTTTCCTTCTGGAAGTGGTAAGCCTTGCATAGCCAATCCTCTTATAATTTTTTCTTTTTGCTCGGGGGTCTTTCCCGTTAGCGGAGTGATTAATCCTGCTGCTTTTGCCTTCCGTAATTTTTCTGAAGGGATCCCCACTGGTGCTCCTGGAGGTGCTGCTTTGATTTTTGCTATTAATGCTTTCTCTGATGCGGTCCTTCCTTCTGGTAAAGGTATTCCCATATCATGTTGAGCTTTCAAAATTTTCTCTTTTTGGGCTGGTGTTTTCCCTTCTAGCGGTTCTATAACACCTGCAGCTAAAGCTTTGTTATATTTATCTCTTTCAGCGGCAGTCCTTGGTTCAGGAGGCAGACCAACGTCAGCCCTGACCTTATCAATTAATTTTCTCTCAGATGCTGTCTTTCCTTCTGGGAGCGGTAAACCGGACATGGCCAATCCACGTAGTATTTTTTCTTTTTGTTCTGGAGTTTTTCCCTCTAAGGGAGTAATCAATCCAGCTGCCTTTGCTTTTCTAAGTTTTTCGGATGGAATTGCTACAGGAGCAGCTGATGGTGCCCTTGGCATCGCTTTAATTTTAGCTATTAAAGCTTTTTCAGAAGGAGTACGACCTTCAGGCAGGGGTATACCCATGTCGTGTTGTGCTTTTAATATCTTTTCCTTTTCTGGACCGGATTTGCCTTCTAGTGGAACTATGACGCCAGCCGCCAAAGCTTTGTTGTACTTATCTCTTGCTGCCGCTGTTTTCGGTTCGGGTGGGAGTCCTAGATCAGCTCTGACCTTGTCAATAAGTTTCTTTTCAGAAGCGGTTTTTCCTTCTGGAAGTGGTAAGCCTTGCATAGCCAATCCTCTTATAATTTTTTCTTTTTGCTCGGGGGTCTTTCCCGTTAGCGGAGTGATTAATCCTGCTGCTTTTGCCTTCCGTAATTTTTCTGAAGGGATCCCCACTGGTGCTCCTGGAGGTGCTGCTTTGATTTTTGCTATTAATGCTTTCTCTGATGCGGTCCTTCCTTCTGGTAAAGGTATTCCCATATCATGTTGAGCTTTCAAAATTTTCTCTTTTTGGGCTGGTGTTTTCCCTTCTAGCGGTTCTATAACACCTGCAGCTAAAGCTTTGTTATATTTATCTCTTTCAGCGGCAGTCCTTGGTTCAGGAGGCAGACCAACGTCAGCCCTGACCTTATCAATTAATTTTCTCTCAGATGCTGTCTTTCCTTCTGGGAGCGGTAAACCGGACATGGCCAATCCACGTAGTATTTTTTCTTTTTGTTCTGGAGTTTTTCCCTCTAAGGGAGTAATCAATCCAGCTGCCTTTGCTTTTCTAAGTTTTTCGGATGGAATTGCTACAGGAGCAGCTGATGGTGCCCTTGGCATCGCTTTAATTTTAGCTATTAAAGCTTTTTCAGAAGGAGTACGACCTTCAGGCAGGGGTATACCCATGTCGTGTTGTGCTTTTAATATCTTTTCCTTTTCTGGACCGGATTTGCCTTCTAGTGGAACTATGACGCCAGCCGCCAAAGCTTTGTTGTACTTATCTCTTGCTGCCGCTGTTTTCGGTTCGGGTGGGAGTCCTAGATCAGCTCTGACCTTGTCGATAAGTTTCTTCTCAGATGCGGTTTTTCCTTCCGGGAGTGGTAAGCCTTGCATAGCCAATCCTCTTATAATCTTTTCTTTTTGCTCTGGAGTTTTTCCTGTTAGCGGAGTGATTAATCCTGCTGCTTTTGCCTTTCGTAATTTTTCTGAAGGGATTCCTATTGGTGCTCCTGGAGGTGTTGCTCTAATTTTCGCTATCAAAGCCTTCTCCGAGGGAGTCCTTCCTTCTGGTAAAGGTATTCCCATATCGTGTTGGGCTTTCAAAATCTTCTCTTTTTGGGATGGTGTTTTCCCTTCTAGCGGTTCTATAACACCTGCAGCTAAAGCTTTATTATATTTATCTTTTTCAGCGGCAGTCTTTGGTTCTGGTGGAAGACCAAGATCAGCTCTGACTTTATCGATAAGTTTTTTCTCGGATGCTGTTTTTGCCTCTGGTAATGGCATACCTTGCATGGCTAATCCTCTTATAATCTTTTCCTTTTGTTCAGGTGTCTTCCCAGCTAGTGGGGTAATCAAACCAGCTGCTTTTGCTTTTTTCATTTTTTCTGATGGGGTCGCTACTGGAGCCGCTGATGGTGCCCTTGGCATTGCTTTAATTTTAGCTATTAAAGCTTTTTCAGATGGTGTACGACCTTCAGGGAGGGGTATGCCCATGTCGTGTTGTGCTTTTAATATTTTTTCCTTTTCTGGACCGGATTTGCCTTCTAGTGGAACTATGGCGCCAGCGGCCAAAGCTTTGTTGTACTTATCTCTTGCTGCCGCTGTTTTCGGTTCGGGTGGGAGTCCTAGATCAGCTCTGACCTTGTCTATAAGTTTCTTTTCAGAAGCGGTTTTCCCTTCTGGGAGTGGTAAACCTTGCATAGCCAACCCTCTTAAAATCTTTTCTTTTTGCTCTGGGGTTTTTCCCGTTAGCGGAGTTAATAATCCTTCTGCTTTAGCTTTTCGTAATTTTTCAGACGGAATACCCACGGGTGCTCCTGGGGGTGTTGCTTTTATTTTTGCAATCAGGGCCTTTTCTGAAGGTGTTCTTCCTTCTGGCAAAGGAATTCCCATGTCGTGTTGAGCTTTTAGAATTTTCTCTTTCTGGGCTGGTGTTTTTCCTTCTAGTGGTTCTATCATGCCGGCAGCTAGTGCTTTATTATATTTGTCTTTTTCTGCAGCAGTTTTTGGCTCTGGAGGCAGTCCAAGGTCTGCTCTGACTTTGTCAATTAGTTTCTTTTCTGACGCTGTCTTTCCTTCTGGTAAAGGCAAACCTTGCATGGCGAGGCCTCTAATTATTTTTTCTTTTTGCTCTGGAGTTTTACCTTCTAATGGAGTAATTAAACCTGCAGCTTTGGCTTTTTTCAATTTTTCTGATGGTGTTCCAACAGCTACAGATGGTTTTCTTGATTTTATTTTGGCTATAAGAGCTTTCTCAGAAGCCGTTCTTCCTTCAGGTAATGGTAAACCCATATCATGTTGGGCTTTTAATATTTTCTCTTTCTCCGCTGCAGATTTTCCTTCTAGTGGCGTGATTATACCAGCCGCTGTGGCTTTTTTATATTTTTCTTTTTCGGCTGCCGTTTTAGGTTGTGGTGGCAAACCAACTTCGGTTCTGACTTTATCTATCAACTTCTTTTCTGACGGAGTTTTTCCTTCAGGTAAAGGTATACCAGCCATTGCCAAACCTTTGAGTATTTTTTCTTTTTGCTCTTTAGTCTTGCCATCTAATGGCGTCAACAGGCCAGCAGCCTTAGCTTTACGCAGTTTTTCTGACGGTACTCGTTTTTCAGATGGTGCTACACCCACTGCCGTTTTGATTTTTTGAATCAAAGCTTTTTCAGAAGGCGTCCTACCTTCTGGAAGTTGAATACCAAGTTCGGCTTGTTTCTTCAATATTTTTTCTTTTTCTGCTGCAGTTTTACCTTCTAATGGAATTAAAGCTCCGGCAGCCTCTGCCTTTTTCATTTTTTCTTTTTCAGCTGCAGTTTGTGGTTCAGGCGGTAAACCAAGTTCGGTTCTTACTTTATTCATTAAAGCTCTTTCGGAGTCTGTTTTTGCTTCCGGCAAAGGTACTCCGGACATCGCTAGGTCTTTAAGAATTTTCTCTTTTTCTGCTGGTGATTTACCTTCCATGGCGGCAACTGCTTCTTTGGTTCTTTTAGCTATTTCTTTCTTTCGTTCCCTTACGCTAGCCGTTTCTAAAGCTGCGGCGGATTTTCTTATTTCACCTAACCGTCTTTCTTCCCTTGGCATGTGACCGCAAAGTATACAGTTACAATTATCACAGTTCTTCTTCTTATAGCAGTCATAAAGACTTTTCATTACTTCAAACATGGCATCAGAATTACACGAACAGCAACAACTTTCTTCTTTAGCACCAAATTGGCATCTGTACACCCTCCACCGTGCTTGCATCATGGGGTTATTGTACGTCTTTAAGCATTCTGGTACGTTATAATCAGACACTATATTTACTGTGAAATTTGTATTAAAAGGGTTGTAAGACTTTTGTCTAATTATATCGGAGCCCTTTACAATGAACTTAGGCTTACCCGAGCAACTGTATTTTAGATCAGGCATACTGTAGCGATTATAATAATCTCTAGATTTCTTTGAAGAGCTAACATGATTTAGCAATAATTGTTCCTTAGAATATTTGTACACTTTGTACTTAGTTCGCCTCCTGTGTTTAACTTTCTTATTGTGAACGTATATACAAACGTTTTCACAACCATTACAAGGACTCTCTTCATAGTTTTTGTACGCTGTTTCTTCAGTAATAGTATAATCGGTTGGTGGTTGAAATTTCATCTTTTCATTTGTGTACAATATTTTCAGCTCTTTGCTTCTGTATTCTTTGTTCCGCTTACGAGTATTTTTAATGTAGCAAAATTTTCGTTCGGTGAATTTACAAGCCCAGCTATCGTCTGCCATAATGTTTTTATTACTAATACTTTACATTGATTTTAGTTGATTCAATTTACATATTTTTTTAAGTTATACGTTTTAATTATTTTGATTGTGGTCAGATTCAGCAATCTGAAAAAGAAAAACATATTATGTATTATTATCTCTGTATAAATTAGCAAACTATTGCTTAGTACGTTACATTCCACCAGCTCGAACTGAGGTTTCGATGACTCTTTTATAACGCCAACAGCTAGGGACTGGAATTCGCTGCCTGCTGCTGTCTTTCACGAAGACTATAATAAGGGTCTTTTCAAGGCGAGAGTGAATAAGCACTTACAGGGCAGATAATGTAACATCCCAGACTGCATCACACTTAACATCAGGTGCGATTGTGGTCAAATAACTGTCTTGTTATGCATAAAAAAACGTATATTTTTAGTTATTTCGATTCGTAAGTTTTTATAGTCCGTAACTTGGGGCAATCCTAAATTAAAATAGAACGTTTCATTTTCCTACTGATGTCGCAAACCATTTAACTCGTGTTTAATGCTGTTAACCAATTTAAAGTTTACCGCGACACAAGCTTCGCTTAGTGCGGTATCCGCTAGATATAAGGACTTTATGTATTTGGTTTTACTGGCAATAAACGTTTTATTATTATTATTATGTTTGTACGCTTTGGAGCTCACGGGTCAAAAGTGGCCCGGTCCTTTATAAGGCTTGCGTGGGGATACAGATCCAACACGTAGAGGCCGTTTTAAGCGCAAAATAATCGACAAAAGTGAAAGTAGTTTATTATTATTATTATTATTAAGTAATTATCCAATAATCTATATATATAAAAGAAAGTCGTGTTAGTTACTCCACTTATAACTCAAGAACGGCTGAACCGATTTAGCTGAAAATTGTCAGGGAGGTAGTTTAGAGCCAGGAGAAGGACATAGGATACTTTTTATCCCATTCGAAATTAAAAAAAGTCTGCTTATTTATTGACATTAAGGCGGAACAAAGTTCGCCGGGTCAGCTAGTATCAAATATTTTTCTACAAGTTATACCTAGCTACAAGTTAAACAGTTTTCTACTTAAAGTGTTTCACTAGGTTTATAATTTCCCTACACATCATTTTATACAAGGTAAATCTTTTGGTACGTTGATAATTATATTGTAAACTATAATAGTTTTACCTGCAACCAAGTTATTTGGGAAAAGAAGTCACGGACGGAGCCACTATTTTTACAGTAGGTATCTACCTACCTAAAGTACCACACAAGACCACCTAAGTTTATGCTTACCTACCTGCTGAATAAAGGTAATCAACGACCACCTTCATGGATAAAGAAAAACGCTCCTTTTACATTTCTTCCGATGTTTATGTCTTTTAAAGTTTCTACAAAACAATATTGTATACTTATTTATTAAAAATATATTTTTGTAAATATTTTTGCTTACAATTGTCATTGACGATTTTGATTTTTGTCTAATTTTGAAGAAATTTTCTGAAAGAACTTTACGGCGTTGATAAGTATATTAGGCCAGTATTATTTTAGTACATTTTTAGGGTTCCGTAGTCCTGACAAGGAACCCTTATAATTTCGTCATGTCTGTCTGTCCGTCTGAGGGTTTGCTTGGAAACTATTGGCACTAGAGGGGTTTTTAAGACTATTTTTTGATTTAGGGATCCCCCCCATCTAAAAACTAAACTGATTGCTTGAAAATCTGAAAAAAAAAAACATAATAATAGTTAGTGCTTTATATGAACTTTCCATGAAAACTATAACGGTTAAGATAGATCAGTTACTTTAAGAGTAATAGACGTTTAACTTAAGTGTTATAAAATTTCATGTCAAAGTGACTTTAGATGAAGTAGTGAGGGTTTTCGCGAATGTAAAATCCGCCAGATGGCAATACGTAGATGCGAGGTCCAAACGCTGCATGATTGGTTATTTTTGACATGACATTGACAGATATGTCAAAATCCACCAATCACGCAGCAGTCAGACCCCACATCCACGTCCTGCCATCTAGCGGATCTTTCATTCGCGAAAACCCTCATTGCTTGCTTCTGGAATACATAATTGTGGTAATGACGGCCAACTACGAAACCCTGCACTGCGCGTGGCACGACACGCACTTGGCTATTTCTTTAATAATTAAATGACTGAATTTATTTTATCCAGTGCACTAATGGCATAGACTAGAATCTGTTTGTCTCCGACATCTATCAATGTCTATCAATCACCTGTCAAAGACCAAAATAAATATAAATCATAATATAGATCATTCAGTTAAAATTGAAAATCAGGATAACCTGCAGCAGCAGTAAACCCTGTTGACTAATGGAATGCTGAGTGTCCAGGGTTCGTCACAATGCCCTGCAAGTGCTCTGGGGTTCGATATGACAAATGCAAGTGCAGGTTTCTGGGTACGGGTTTCCAGGTGCGATCTTAAATATAAATTAACTCAAAGGTGACTGTCTGACTGACTGACATAGTGATCTATTAATGCACAGCCCAAACCACTGGACGGATCGGGCTGAAAAGGCATGCAGGTAGGAAAGAATTTTACGAAACCACTCCTAAGGGGGTAAAACGGGATCCACGCACACACTTCCCACCAATATTGGTACCATTTGAAAGCCTAGTTCTAAACTTTCATTTAATTAAAGGAAAGGTTTTTACCCCAAAATGTGTTATTAGAAGGATCCAGTCTCTTTTTAAAGCGACAGGTAGTTAATCTTGAGCCATTGAAGTAATACTACTATATTAAAACTCATAGCTTGATCTATATTTTTTATCATTTCCAGATGCCCAATGGTGCCAACAGCAGGGTGATGATACTCGCACAGAAGGAGAGCTCATGCTGCATCCACTCTTCGAGGCCGAAACGCAACATTTTCATTAGAGTCTTTGAGTGCGTGTATGAGAGGTGCGCTGGTTATAACTTGAGGTATGTAAAATATGTTATTTTATTTATTACATACAGGGTGGAAACGATAAGTGATCTCACTCGATTATTTCTAAACTATACAAGATAGCAATAAACTAGTTACTGATCCTGAAAGTGCTTCATGAGCTCTATCAAACGGTATTAATAATAGGTTACAGAATAATCTGGATCTATCCGAAAATTCAATGTTTCCAGCTTCCGCCGACACTAAGAAATATTGTATTGGCCGACACTAAGTTATAATTGTATTGGCCTGTAAAATGTAATAGGTAATCGTGTGGTCACTAATAATCTCAATGTTCACCTTTTTGTGCTAGCAAGAATTTTTGGATTGTAGGTATATTTGATTATTTGCGTTCGTTCAAATGTGCATTCTAAAGCATTGTTTAGATATACCTACACCTATGTTACTAGCTGTATTGATGTAGCATGTGTTGCTTGTAACTTCAAGAATATTGTTAGAGCCTTGCCTGTGAGAGGTCCCAAGTTAGATATCTGGAACATTGGTTCCCAAACTTATTTGAGACGCCCTTTCGACCATACAAAAAATTCCGCGTCCCCCCTCCTCCAGTTAAGATTATTTATTGGTCGTATTGAGCAGTCTGGAATGCATCTCTCAGCGGTCGCAGGTTTTTTATACTTAAGTACACGATGGCCCGCGCCCCCCTATACAGGTCTTTGCGCCTCCCCTGGGGAGGCGCGCCCCCCTCTTTGAAAAAATTGGCAAGTGAACACTTTGTGAATTATTTTAAGAGACGAGGTAGGCATATTTATAAATGATCGAGTAATATGGAATGACTGCAACGAGGCATGTGTGTGGTGAAAACATTTGTGCATAGGTATACCTGGCCACAAGCAAACATGTTCTATAGTTCCATAAATGGTAGTCTAGCGGCTCAGAGGTTAGCTGCTGTTTATAAAACAACGTAGAAAAGAATGAAGGCACTGAACCCTCAGCTATGACTCGTTTTCTTCCTAAAAAAGAAATACCCCGTTAGTACTCGTATAATAAAATTGATTCAGTACTTCAAACTTTGTTATTGTTTGTCGAAGCCGTGGAAACTAATTGAACAGTTTCTTCACATTCAACAATGCCTGAAATTCGTTTCTTTTTTTAAACGCTCGCAGGTGAAGTGTAGGATAATTATTATGTGTTAAAGAATGCTGTTTGTTTTCCTAACAATAAAATAAATAAAATTAAATTAAAACGAATTTTCCAATGTCTTCAGACTGAAAAAGAGTCGCTAAAATAGGCTTTAAATTGCTACAATAGGTACTTAAACGAATTTAAGCTACACAAATTACCTCTATGTGGAATGTGTGATTTTTATAGCGTGCAGAGCTGACGGATGATGGGGCAGCAAAGTTCTAGAATGGAGACTACGTACCGGAAAGCGCTGCGTGGGACATCTACCCACAAGGTGGACAGAATTTAATGGTGTATGTCAGTATTCTACCTTTTTACAGATACTGCCCAATCCGTGGGTTCCGCATGAAGAACTGCATGAACGAGGCTCTGAGGGATCTCCTGGTGCTGATGTGCTTCATGCTGGCCAACTTCGTGGTGTTCCTGACGATCTTCGCGCGGATGACCATGCACATGTCAGCGGTGCTCGTGCAATCGGCCAGGTGGGTCAGGAGGTGAGTTAATATGGTGGTTTTTTATTTACGGTGGTTTATATCAAATCTGTTTCTTTCATTATCATCTAGGACGTCAACTGCTGAACATAGGCCTCCCCCAATGCTTTCCATGTTACCCGGTTGGTAGCGGCTTGCGTCCAGCGCTTTCCTGCTACCTTTATGATATCGTCGATCCATCTTGTGGGTGGACATCCCACACTGCGTTTTCCGGTACGCGGCCTCCACTCCAGAACCTTGCTGCCCCATCGGCCGTCAGTTCTGCGTACTATGTGCCCTGCCCATTGCCACTTCAGCTTGCTAATCCGTCGGGCTATGTCAGCGACTTTAGTTCGTTTACGGATCTCCTCATTTCTGATTCGATCTGTTTCTTTACTAGTCCCTTATCAGGGCACGTCCCAAATAAAGCTGTTCCAAACCAACACCACGTTTAGCGCCATCTCTATAAACAGTTTGAAAAGTGCCATCTATGGTACTTCTTACTTTTTTATCGAACTAACATGAGTAACGACCTAATTCATTATAAAGAACCATAGATGGCGCTACACATTACGTCCGTGCTGCTTGCACGGTATTGATGTTATGGATATCTAGTTTTAGTTATGGATACGGTTACGGATAATTAGGAATAACATTATACCGGTTTCGGTTACGGTTACGGATATCAGTGCTTTAGAATGCAATTTGTAATAGTTGTCCAACACGGTTCATTCATGGCCGCACACTTTACATCGAATAAAAAGCAATAAAAAATTAAAAATTGATACTAGATGGCATTATAAAGGTATATCAGGCTGTTATATCTTTGCATAAGTATAATGCTATACAAAAAACAATTTATACTGCCTACATCCAAAACTATCCGAAACTTTTGAATCGGTTACGGTTACGGTTACGGATATCCATAACAGCCCTGGTGGAAACCAAATGACCTGATGATGACATGACCATGAAATAGCTCGCGTTAGCTGATAAAATAGGGGAGTTCTAATCTCCTGAATCCGAGGAACAATTATTCTCCTTGAACAAGCTTTAAGCTTCTTTTCACGTGCTTATCTACTTGTGTGAGGCTTTTCCCGTAGAGAGGAGCCTAACCACTAAAATATCTATGAATATCCTATTCGACACGCTTGTCAGTTGCAATACAATCTCTTTCTTTTAAAAAATAAAGGAATGTTTTCTTTGAGTAAAATTTTCTATCTACAGTATTAAGTAGGTACTTTCCATCCAGGTGGCATTACAAAAATCCACCCTGTATAAGTAATATAACTTGTCTAGGGCATCTATCTCAGATGATATTCTATTATTTATTTGCTTATTTTCAGATTCCTACTCGTGAAAATGGTGGAGAACAAGAACGATATATTACTATCCAGCGTGGGTACTCAGCAAGTTCACAGTTTCACACCACCCAACAAAGTGTTCTAAATTATCTGCCTTTTGTCATTTTTATTCTTTATACGAATAAGGGAACGAGAAATTTTATTAGAATCGTTTTACACGCTTTATTAAAACTGTTTAAACTCTTAACTTGTTTCTGTCTTAGCTGTTATTCTTGCAGGATCAGTTCTGGATCTTTTTGTTAAAAGATAAATTACTAAGGCCGAGTTGCACCATCTTACTTTAACTTTGACAAACGTCAAAAATCTGTCAAATACCATACAAAAAACACCGGTTATTGCTATTGTCACGGTTATAATAAGGTGGTGCAACTCAGCCTAATAAATTGGTATTATAACAGGGTTCCGCAAAGAGTTCACCGTGGCACACTGGTGTACCGTGATCATTAAATGGTGTGCCTCGGAAAAATAAGGTTATCTTCTAAAATTTATTTTTAGTAAGTAACTAACAACAGGTAAGTAATTAACTTAAAAATTCATTTTTCATTTGTGGTGTCCTCCAAAAAAATTCGTTTTCCTACCTTGAAAACAAAAATTTTGCGGAACACTGAATGTATCGTTCAGAGCGTTCATGAAATCAAATCTGTAATTTTAGGTATAAATAATATTTGACCCGTTACATTGTTCCAAACTTCTAACGGAATCATTACGAGTAGTAATAAAGAATAAAAAACAATGACTTAGGTTCTACAATCTACAGTTTGGAGAGGGTTCGATAAATAAAACACGCTTATGTATTTTTCCGTTTTTATAACAAGTAGTTCCAATAAAATTTTACAAGTTCCTTTTGTACAATTACGGAGTAATCCCCGAGACACGAAACGTAAACGCGTCAGGTAGTAGTTGCATACTGCGGATGTGCTTAGAAATTATTCGGACACAGGTAGTCCGTCCATGCATAGTGCTCAACGAGCCCATCACTATGCAATCGCTCTTCTCGCCTCGGACTATTCGGAAACCAACTCGGACGTGACCTCACTAGCTTGAGCAAACAAACTTATGGTCATGGGAAATTATTCCTACACGCTACTTTGAGCTTCAATCCGGGCCTTAGTAAAGTCAAGTTCATAATCCAGTCTCGATCTCATATCGACTGTCAAATATGGTACATCCGCGTTGCAAGTGGTACACAATTGACAATCTTAAACGTTAAATAATTAGATAATGCGCCTTTATTTAATGAGGGCTATCGTTTTTATACTTAACAGTTGGCACCCCTGGCGATTGACAGGACCTTACTCTACAGTAGCGCCATCTTGATGAGTGCAAATGCGATAGTCCTCCTACCACTTTCGCGCTCACCAGTTGGTGCCACTGTCTTCGCTACTAGCAAGTGACAGGACCTTACTCTACAGTGGCGCTAACTGGTGAGCGCTAAAACGATAGCCCTCATTGAGACGCCATACTTTAACTACGTAATTTTGACATTCAGTAATTTTCAGAAAATAATATTTCGTGTAGTTTTTAACTAAAAGAAGTTACCCGTCTGGTTAACTAGTAAAGTAAAGGGCAATATAAATGGCTAAAGCTTATAGATTGTGTTGTAGTTTTGGTGAATTGACTTTTTGATATAAGATGCGTGTTAAGAATGTTCAGCGAGCAAAAGTAGACACATACTTATCATTTACTTTCGCTAAGCACATTTAGAGTTAAAAGAAACAACGCGTTAAATGCTACGGGAACTTGTGACGGAGGCACATACAAGGATATAGGGCGGGTCCACTGTCCATACACAAATTTGACGTGCCAGTTTGAAAAATCAACTGTATACCGCGTGGATTCACTCAATATTGAGGCACTTTAATAACTGAACACTATATAAAAAGATAACGCCATCTTTGTAAAATTATGTCACAGCCATAATCACCCACGCTAAATGGATGCAGGTTAGAGTTTCATTATATTTGCCTCAGATTTCTTGGACGTCATTTGATTTACAAATAAACTGCGAAAAATATATTTAGTTTTTTATATTATGATGTAATCGTCACAGCCTATTGTTCTATCATTGTACTCGTATTGTCATCAACTTTAACGTTAATTGTTTTAGATGGTTTGACAAAATAAATAACTTATGGACACTTAAAATTGCTTCGTTTTGGATCTGAGATTTAGGACTTTTAAACAGTGAGTGGTTCGTCAGAGTTGGTTTCTTGAGCATATAAAAATTGAGCTAGATACTTACAATGAACCGAATTGACGAGAAAACTATAGTTACTTCGATGGCTTAGGGATCATCACGGCTAACAGGTCTCAACTTTTGTTTCAAAAATAATCTTTATCTTAATAATCTTTACATAACTGTGATTAACTTTAAAGCATGATAAAATCAGAGTTTTCAATTTCATTTATTACACTTTTGATGTCGAAGTAACATTAGGAAATTAGTATAGTAGCTCAATTCTTGCGTCACTTACAATTAGTTCACTTAATAATATGTTAGATTATTGCAACATAGCCCATCATTCCGAGGCGAACATTCGCAAAGGCATACTTACAAACTTAAGACAATACTACGTAATATTTTAGAATATTCGCCGCCTAAAAATACGATAACTATGATAATATAATCAATAACTTATTGAATATTAATTTTAACATTAATAAAACCTCTCTTTTCATTGTCATTGAAAATCACCTCATATTTTTATAAAATTATACGATTCAAATGATTATAATGCTGTGTATTTTAGGTACATTCTCTTATTTGGACTTATTGAATAAACTAGTAACAGGTGGTATAAATTTCAAACAATTTTAAACAAAAATATAACAGAAGTTAAAACAATTTTGCTAATTTAATCAATTGGTTACTTAAATTTACAAAAATCTACATCGACACCCGATATGGGCATTTGGGAATACTTTACAAGGTCAAAGTAATATTTACTATGAATTAATAAAAATAGATTTCACCCCAAATAGTGATTTTATTGAAAGTGCTCTTTATGGAAATCTAGATAGAAATATAGTTCGTATAAGCGGCAAAACATTAATACCAGTCCTGAGCTTTACGAAGTTCTAACCCTGAACGAAAAAGGATCCAAACGTGTATATATATATATATATAATATTAAACCTTAAAGATTGAGTAGATATTCACAGATAACAGTTGACAGTTCATAATATGATTTCCCCGATTTCCCATTATTCCTTTGGAGAAAAATGGATTATGCTTAATGAATAGGATACTATGATTTCACTACTAGTTTCCGACGATTGCACTATAAATAATATTACTAATTGGGGATCAGTTATAGGCTCTCCTTACCAACAATGCGCACAAGAAAATAATATCTCCTCAACAATAAACAAATCAAAACAATATATTTCAACTAACTAAACAACATACTGTAAATATGCCGTTACATCTGAATTTCACATTAAATCACGATATTTATTACTTTATGCTTATCTAAATATTATTAATTTAACAATATCGTACATACCTACATACATACATTTGATATAATGATTGTACATAGCAATGGGCTCGGCGGCCGGGTCATCTGTTAGATATTATCCTTTAGTACAGGCCCTAAATATGTACACATCGGAGCGTTGGTGACCCGGCCGGTTTATACATTAACTATAAATTATTTATATACATCGCAATATAAGGACCGCGCCTGAAATTGAAAGTCCACTTTTATATCGGTATAGTTTCGAGGAATTTTACTCAATTGCCTAAACTTTTTAAGATCTGGTTCATTTAAACAAGTTAATAATCATTAATAGTGTGATTATTTTTATGATGACTGTTTATGTCTATGTCGTTACATATTTTGTCACTGAAAAACTGATTTAATCAATATCTCAGTGATGAACTTCACCATCATCGTACATTCAATTATATTATTTATCGAGGAAGTTACCTACTACTTATGTTTCTGTCTGTATTAGTAAAGTAGGTATACCTAAGTACCAAGTTTCATTAGGGACTTAAAAGGAGCCGGATCTCGGGTAAAATTCCTCCCATATCGATATCAAAGTTGTTCTTTTTACCACTCTGTGGTTTTGCTTCACTCAATGTATATCGTCCAAAATGCGACCTCTTTCCAATAGAATTTCAGGACTTGCATCACAATCGTTTACTTCTAATGTTTGTACTGTATTCAATAACAAAGTTCAGTTATTAGACGTGTTTTTAATCACATTTAGTTGTACTCCAATACCCAATAAAATTATAATAAAAAAAGGAGTTTAAATAGTCTACTTATTGCATCAAGAGTCTCGTTAAATTGAAAGAGAAACGATTGTAATGCAAAACTATCAATTCAAAACGATACTAATGCCTACGGCATTACGTGCCTGGTTGTACTATGATGAATAATAAATATATTTACATATAATATTGGCAGTTTGCTAATTTATTGATACCATACTCCTTTCACGTATATCTGCGATAGTTTCTTTGGTAAGAATGTAGGGTACTGATTGTTTCTATGAAACAGTTAGGTAATTTATACTTTTTTCATTAGTGTGTGTATTTTGTCAAATATCTCGCGATATACGTAATAGGGCAAATGGTCGAGCAAAAATAAGGCTATTGTCAATGATTTGTATTCATCTTTGCAGTGGGTCCAGTGCCCGGACACGCAATGAAAGGTGTTTTATTGATAAACGGTACATCTATTGTCATTAAGTCACGTCAAGGGGATAGACTTATTAAAAGTTAGTTGTTTTTGCACAAATGCTCGTAAGTCCAAATATAACAGCTTTTCGAATGACTTTTTCAAGGATTTTGTTCTTTCTCACAGCAATTAAAGTTAAATTGTAATTCCCCCTCTTTTTATTCTGATCTCGGTTACAAAAACGGGGTCCTAAGCACAAAAAACTTTATAGTGAACACACAAGTGCTGGCTGGCTTTTAGATATCATTTTACCCGAATATTCTGGTGAATAATTTGTTGTTTTCGGCTTACGAGCATTTGCACAAACATACATTTGTGCGCGTAGTAAAAATTTTGTGCGACAGTTTGTGCCAATGGAGGAAGCTTAGCGATGGCGCAATAAGTCGTAATGGCGTAAAATCGTCTCAGTTCCAAGGTAATAAACACGAATTTCAAACAACATTTGATCTAGCCTATTTACTAAAACTATACATTCATATATTTAAGCACACAAATATAAAGTAAACCAAGATATGTATTAAATCAACGCTCGGGCTCACCCAGTATACAATCAACATTTAATTTTATAAAGCGTTTATGGCGAAATTGCTTTAAGTTTCATAATATAGAGGACATGACAGCTGATTAGGTTACAACTATAACGGTTAAATGAATATTATTAATATCAATAAACATTATTAATTTATTTTCATTTCATAATAATTTAAGGCGATTAGAGTCCTCAATGACCTTGGGCGTTTGACCTTCACGCCGCGAGCAACACCCGCGTACCCCGCACCAAAAACTCCGATTTGACACCGATCAAAAATACACGGGCATAGGTAGATACAGAATAGAAGCTCTTTCTTCATACATTACTGCCTATTATTTTAAACTTAAATTCATGAACCTTGATGTCGGTGTCATTTAACTCAGGCGTAAAGGTATTTAATAAAGGGACAATATTATTTGATCCTCTAAAAACTAATTGATCTTTTTTGTATGTGCACTTTTAAAAATAAATGATGTTTTTTATTATATTTTATCTTTATATTAATTATTGGGTCTATATTAGTTGATCTACGGATAAATTATGAATGATCTTCATTAAAGGTAACATAATATTTATGTTTAACCTACTCTTTTAATGTTTGGTAAACAAAAATAATATTTGATCCTCTTTTTTAGTTATTGATCTTTAATTTTGTTAATTTGATGATTTTTATATCAAGTTTGCCTTTTAATATTGATCACCTAATAAATACATTTCGATCTATGTATAACTTAACTTTAAAATATATTTGATCTAACAAAAAATATTATTGGTTAATATTTTTAATTAAAAAATATCTTTTAATTTACGCGGTACTTTGTGGTTGAGTGTCAAAGTTAGGTCACGTCAGGTGGTGCAACTTAGCCAAAGAAAAAATTCATTTTGATCGCTAATGTCAGTTTGCAGCGAGTGACACAACCTCCCCGTCTGAAGGCCAGCGGCCGACTGCCGCCCGCACCCCGCGAAGGCCCCCTCAACAGCAAAACGTTCGGAATTTATCAAAAGTAAAATTTATGAATGAAAGTAATGTTCGATTGAAAAACGCAACGTGTCATTTAAAGATTAAAGAATTCCCAATCTATTCGTGCAAAAATCTTTTAAATTAACATAGCCGTTTTGGAGGAGTAGGGAATTTAAGTAAAAAATCGATGTCCCGTATTTATTTTTTTAATCCAAAACAAAGAGACGTAGCGAAAATTCAAACGTCACAAATGTAGTCCTTGAAATGTTGTATAACATATATTTTTTTCAACTATTTTTGTCCAGCAGTAAAAGAGGAGTAGTCTTTACAAAATGCCCATTTGGCGCGGATTGAGGACACTAATCGCCTTAAGAACATGTTACAAAATATTCAGGATTAGACATTGTAATAAGTAATTTTTGACTTTTCACATCACTGTCATGCCCGATTGGTTAGTAAATGAATTTATTAACCTAATTTTGGGAGTCAATTATTATGTGATTCATTGTTTCATAGCATATACATGATTTTCTAGATACATAATCTATATATATAAAAGAAAGTCGTGTTAGTTACTCCACTTATAACTCTAGAACGGCTGAACCGATTTAGCTGAAAATTGTCAGGGAGGTAGTTTAGAGCCAGGAGAAGGACATAGGATACTTTTTATCCCGTTCGAAATTAAAAAAAGTCTGCTTATTTATTGCCATTAAGGCGGAACAAAGTTCGCCGGGTCAGCTAGTTAAATATAAAAAAAAGTCACAAATCTGAACTCATTCCAGATAAGTTACTGATTTCTATGCATTTATAAATTCCAATATTAGTCAGCCAGTCAGCTTCGGTCTTAATTAAATTATTAAAGACATAAACTGTTGAATCCTCTAAACACAGACTATAAAACTTTACTTTTACCTTCGGCTTCGCTCATTTTTAAATCGTGTGCTGTGGCTGCGACGCTAACGCGTTGATGTCTTTTGAATGGGAATGTTATTTTGGGCGAACCATCTGATCCAACTTATAGAACCTTTACACTCATGTTATTATGAACTAACCGTTAAATTGACGTATTTGTAGGTTCTAGTTTTGTTGTCTGTGCTAGAGATTAGTCTGTAATATTCAATTAAGAGCTGATTTTTCAATCGTCGGATAACTTTTAACTGAAGAATAATTTGGCACATTGACAGTTTCAATATGGGAAATATGTCAAAATGACAAGTTTGTTCTTTAGTTAAAAGTTATCTGACGATTGAAAAATCAGCCCTTAATCTTCATATAAGTGTAGCTTAATATTTTTTAATACCCACATACAACACATTTGTCAATTATCAGATTATCATCTATCATACTAGGTTCTGAAGTGGTGGGGTCTTTTTGCGCAATTTGTGTAACAATATTTTAATAACTTGTCATACAACAAAAATAGCTACAATTTAAATCACTGATGCGAAGAGAAGTTAAAACCACGTGACTCGAGGACCAAACATTGTTGTAATTGTTCATAAGTGATTTAGGGCTGATTTTTCAATCGTTGGATAACTTTTAACTGAAGAATAAGTTTGGCATATTGACAGTTTCAGTATGGGAAATATGTCAAAATGACAAATTTATTCGCCAGTTAAAAGTTATTTGATGATTGAAAAATCAGCCTTTAGTCAACTATCATGGATCATACAGGGTGTGTCGTAAATAATGGTCCAAACCATGGTCAATTCACTGTACACTGAGGTACCACATACCAGTATTTAAAAAAAACTTTTTTCAAGGTTGTTAATATATTTTTTTTAAGTTGGTACTTTGCGTTACAAATTTGATTACATTTATGTATTAAGTATTCCAATCACTTTTTTCACAAACTGAATTAAAATAAACAAGTTTGTTTCGAAATTCAACACTCACTAATAGCAAAACGGTTGACTTTACCTTTACTTTTTGAACAGCCTTTAACATAATATATTTTTTAAATACTGGTATGTGATACCTCAGTGTACAGTGTATCGATCCTATTTACGCCACACCCTGTATGTAACTCATGGGCGTTACAAGCCGGGGATTTTTGACAGAGCCAGTCTAGTCTTCTACGAGATGGATGTGCCTTCAGCCTAATATTTAACATACATACATTGGCACCAGGCTATGCTCACAGCCATCGCGTGCTATTATTGCGAAAATACTATCCAAAAATTATGTTCACATGGAGATGCCACAATGAAGGTAGAATGAAGTTGTAGGTAGTCGTAACGTCACTTGAGGGTATTCAAAAAGCCTCTTTACACTACACTGTAATTCAGATAATCGGTAAGGTGGTTATCACACTGCGCCGCGCTCCGCCGCGGTCCGCGTGATTTCATATAAAAAATCTCGCGCGCAGACGCGTTGTCAGTGTGAAGTGCCGCGCGTGTTTTCTATACAAACTGAGGTACTTGCATACAATGATTAAATCTGTCGTCCCGCGCTCCGCGGCGGAGCGCGGCGCAGTGTGATAATCGCCTAATGGTTTTAAGAGTACTTTTAGTAACGTCGAATGTTGAAAAAATTGTGAAATATTTATTTATTTTATAGTAGTGTAGTTTTTAGTAGTGTTGTGCTTTTATATGGTAAACTATAGCCAGCAGAAGGCTTTGCTCGGTGTAACATGAAGAGGCCAAGGACTGCGGGGAAAGCTATCTATGATCTATCTTCATTGTAGACATACTAATAACTTGTACTATTATAGTGCTTTTTTAGCCAATGGCTTCAACTAACTCAATATTTAACAAGTCTTGTAGCTCACAAGTACGACGGAGAATATTTTTTTGTATCTTTCCATCCTATTATTTTCTCCATATAATAGTAATTGCTTTCATCCTAGATTCATGGAAATTGGAAAATGAAACAAGTTTGCAATGTGATTAGGTATATTTGTATTTAATATTTTGACAGTAGCAGGAACAATTGAAAATAATTTTGACGACTTCAGGTCGTGGTCTTGTTCAGATTCTGTGCTTCAGAGAGCGCACTCGTAAGGCCTCAGCCTCGAACTTAGCGGGCAGCGGGGCGGCGGCGGCGGCGGCGCGCGAGCGGCAGGATCTTATGCGTAAAATCAAATAGACCGGTTCTCGAAAACAGCGGCGCGGCAGCGGGGCGGCAGCGGGCAACAAGCGGGCAGCGGCGAGGGAGCGGGCAACGAGCGGGCAGCGCACTCCTTCTTTAGCCCATAATAAATCGAGCGTTAGGAATAAATTTGAATCGAAATAAAATTGTCGCCGTTGTTCAGACATTTCGTTTGCGAATAAAAACAAATATCTCGATAACACAAGCCCGAACACAACACTTCGCCGCTAAAGCGCCGCGCGAGCTTCCCGCTTGTTTCGAGAACGGGTCTGCGTCGCCCGCCCCGCTCCAGCGCCGCCGCCGCTCCCGCCCCGCTGCCCGCTAAGTTCGAGGCTGAGGCCTAAGAGCCTTGCGAGACGCCTAAACGGTCAATATTTTTCTGATTACTTATGTAACAATTGCTTGTGAGCTACAAGCTATGCATCGTTCTTCACTTTTGCCAAAATTGTTAACGAATTTCTTCGCATTATTACCATACGTCGTTAGTGAGGTGACCAAAGCTTTCAAGCTTGCAAACTTTATTAACAATTTCGTCAAAAATGCTATAAAATGTCTACAAGTAGAATTTACTCTAAATTTCATAAGACGACTGTACTACTCGTAGTCTTATCGACTAAAACTCCGGGTTTCTCTTGCTTTTTATTAACTGTATAATGACAACATCTACAGACATTTATCAAATATTTAGAATAATTTCTTGGTTCATTTTCATGCGTGATTCCTCATATAAACACAGCGCCGACCGGGTCTAGGTTATTCTGTGACAATTTTCTTCAAAACTGCTCATTTTTGAAAGCCTCTTGACGATATCTGGTTATTAAATGTAAGGTTTGCAGAGCCCAAATAATGAAAATCGATCAGTAACAGATGACTAAAGACATATTCACATTTTTACATGGCATACGCAGGGAGATATTTGTATGATACCGCCGAAAGCATGCATACTGCATACTATGCATTGCATGGGTACGGGAACCTATGCACCGACTCTCATCAAGTCTTCCTACAAACATCTTTTGCCCCACGCACACCACATATCAATATAAAAAATACCTTAAACTAAACCATAAAACATAACTAAACAGCGACCGATCAACCAAAACTGTTTACAATATGAATACGATCCAATCCACTAAATAGTTCGCTCCTGTGTGTCGAAGCCTCGCGTGGAATGTTTGACGAAACTTTCGATACAAAATTTAACGTCGCTTACAACAAGCTTGCAGCTTAATTGAGCGTGGGAGTGTCGCGGGAACCGACGGGGCGTGGCCGCGGTACGGGGTCGGTGGGCCCTTGCATCTCGAAATAGAAAAGTTACTGAAAACCAGTTACACAAATCGAGCGCTGATATTTATTCGCAGAGCTACGCGAACGCTAGACAACTTTGAACTGTATTCCAACGAATTTTCATTTGAAATGTTTTCTATTTCGAATAGCCCCCTGCCACCTGTTAATGACGCTGCACGCGACACGCCCATTACTCCATCACTCACAGAATGACCTAGACCGCCCTCTACTCTTGTCGTACAGCCATACCTAATCAGACCCATGTGCTTATTGAGCTTTTTACATTAAATGATATATCGATCAGTCGTCGCAAGTGTGTTGGATGCATATATTTTAGGCCATGCAGTGCGGACGACGTGTCGACGAGCCTTATCAACAATTTGAGCAGTATAAACATGCATGGACGAACGTATCCTCCTATCCAGTAGTTCTACAGTTGCCTACCTAATTAGTTAGTAAACACTCGATCTTCCACTAGGGCGTATAGTTTTAAAAGCTTCACATTCTTAAAAGTCTTCACAAAATTGTATAACTTACCGTACTCTATTCATCTCATCGTCAATTAAAAAGATAATATGTTCTTTATTATCTCTTATGCTACAAACAAAACGGCTATACAACTCAAGTGTACCGTAAAATAATGCAGCAAATGTGAAATGAGACAGTTTAAACTATTTTATATTATCCTCAATTAATTACAATAAATAATTTGCATTTCTCATCAATTCCCGCGGTTGCAATTAAATGTATCTGATAAATATAATTTACAAGTCAAATATAATAATAGAATCTCGGTCATTTTAGATATGACTTTAAGTATCATTAAGTTTAACAATTATGAGTAAAAGAGACTAAAAACATTCGTAAAATAATATAATTGTATAAATGAACAGCACGTCCAAGTAGAGCGGCGCGCGCGCTGGGCGGCGCACCACACTCCCATGGCATGGTACCCATTTTACTTTAATTTCCCTACATAGAATTAGTTGGCATGTAACCCGTGTGCAGTGAACTGACGGCGTCATCAGATGTCATCCGATCTATTAGTCGATAAAATATCTACTATTTTTTATATTGAATATCCCTCCAACGCACTTATCAATAACGTTAATAATATCAGAAGCGAGTATCAGTAGACCGTTCAGAAGGGCCTTAAGTCCCCAAATCACTTCTGAGAAAATTCATGAAGACCTATTTTAAAATGGGTACAAGAACGCAACAGCACTTTACAAGGTGCATTCGCATTCGATAAATTATGTCATAAAATGACAGACTAAAGAGCTATAATTACGCCGTGACTTATCCTATTTAGCCTAATCACATAAATTTAGAACATTTGTTGTGTGGTAGTAATAGCGAGAGCGGCCGCCGGGCGCCTGAGTCCACGAAACAAAAAATTGGCGGCTGCTTTCAGCGGCGCTACCAGAGGCGCCGGCGCACGGACTGGCCATTGTCAGACGTTGCCGGGGGCGGGGAAGCGCGGGGGCGGCAGCGGCGGCGGGGGGCGCCCCGCCTCCCCCGCTCCCGAGGACTGTTCCGACACTGTAACGTGAAACCAAACATGTACTCACACTCATCATAAACTCTATGGTAAAAGGATCTAAATCTAATTGTAGTCTGGTCTGTGAGCACGTAGAATTTTGTCCAATGACCCCAAGCTAACCATCCTTGTCTAATTATATGGCGCCCGCAGTGCTGGTGCGAGCGCGACAGCAACATAATTACGCGCAAGCGATAAGGATGGGTAGCTTGGGGTCATTGGACAAAATTCTACGTGCTCACAGACCGGGCTTTAGGAAAGATGGAATCGATAAAAATTACATAAATTAGATGGGATACTCATAAAAATGTTAGTAGAGCGTTACAGATTTACATCAGACTCCAAGAAAACTTTATCTACCTACATTAAGAAATCTTAACAACACTATCTATCACGAAATCCTTTGACTACAAAAGATAGTATAGAAGTAAATTGGGAAATACCTCGCAGAGTCAATCTTGCTCTTCCCACAAAATCTAAGGCTAACGTTTTCAGATGACGTCATGCGATTTTAGAACCGTTCAAAGCCTAGTTACGTCACTAGATGACCATGCCGTATTTAGTTAATTAAGGATATTTACAGAGTTATAAGTAATTTTACGTGTATCTTTGTATCATAGTAGTTTTAGATTAAAAAGAATTCAAAAGATTGAATATTACAAATATTACATATTTTCATCTGTACAAAATTAAACTTGGCAACATATAAAGTTGGAAATATTTACAAAAGAACGCTGAAGTTCGTTCATACGTGGCTGTTTTTACTTCAGCAATTAAATTACTAGTAACTCTGTATCATTCATGTAACATAACTTAGAAGCCATAGCCTCCACTACCTCAGCCATGATGATGACCAGATGAATCATGTACGACAGCAAAAGGCTACGTATCATTACAGTGTCTTATGTACTGTATATTTATGTATACCTTCTTTTTGTCAGGAGGTTAAACAAGCAAATAAGAAAATAATAAAATAGACGAGACGAACATTGGTGTCTTGAAGTAGATGTTGGGTGTGATGGCACAAATACACTCAAATGATAGTTTAGTTCACATTTGAACTCATGAGACCCGTAGTCCAAGCGTTTTGCTTAGATTATGGCTAGATGTTGTATAATTTTATTTATTTTTACCAATGGTCCGTGACCCTCACTCGGCATGGGGCACACTGAAAACCAGCGCCGTGGCCTTCGTCACCGTGGGCCACGGCATATGCTGAGTGGGGTCCCGTTGCAGTGGGCATCTTGTTGCTTGTTGGTGGATGGGTGGCACTGCTCAGTTTACTCTTGTTTTTATTTTTTTCTTCTTCCATTATTATGTGCCACTGTCATGTCTATGTAATTGCCTGTAATTGTGTGATGTCCATTGTAATAAATGTATCTTTTTTTCTTTCTAATGTCCAAGGATTTTATTCAGTCTCTCCTATTTTTCTTAGGAATGTTATTTTATTCTAAGTTTTCGTGTTATGCTGTGAGTTTAAGTTTTGTTACAGTTTTTTTTGGGCGGACTGTTACGCTGACTAGTTTTAATTAATCCTACTTAATATACCTACTTAATATTATAAATGCGATAGTTTGGATGTCTGGATGTTTGTTACTCTTTCACGCAAAAACTACTGAACGGAGTTTGATGAAACTTTACAGTAATATTTTTTATAACCCAGAATAACATATAGGCTATAATTTGTGACGATCTGTGACCAACTGAATTTCACGCGGGTGAAGCCGCGGGCAAAAGCTAGTTTGTCATATTTTGATAAAGGTAGGAAAATTAGTGATTCCTGAAAGTGAGAAAATGCATTGGTTTTCTACAGTGGCCTGTTAAATGTTGCAGTTTTGGCCAAACTTTGTAGTTACTCAGGTATTTAGTAAGTTTTAAAGCTAATAAAGATTTTTATAGAAATCACAAGTAGGTAAATGTAATCATTTTATGTGAAAATGTAATAATCGTGAGCGTATTTGTGCCTTCGAGTGTTTGCGTCGTATTTGCTGGGGTGTCGTATTGACAATGATCGGCAGTGGGCAGCATGAAGCCGTGAACATAGCGAAAAGTCTTTTGCAGATATTATAGTCACACTTTTTCAAAAAGTAGGTTACTAGATTATTGAAAGGAACATACATTTCTAGCGGCATATTTACGTATGTGACTATAAAATCATTGTGATGACTGTCACGCGAGTGTCAGTCACGTTGATGGAGTCCGCCTCTGCATCAGTCACGCCGATCGTATTTCTTTTAAACCCCACTCCCGTAGTTTTCAAGATAGTGAGTACAGGACAAAAAAAGCAAATATTGTACAAATGCATTATGTTCATATTCAGATGTATGGTGTATTTTTTCGGATTCAAATGTACCCAATGTTCTACCTAATGTTTATTTTAATTAGCGCATTGTTGTTAATACGCACAGCAAGAAAACTATTTAACGAAGTCCAAAACAAAAGAGACCTAATTAAAAAAACAGGCAACCAAGAAACTCATAAAGAGAAGTTCTATAAAAGAAGACAAAAGAAAAACAAAATACGAACGCAAAAACATCCTAACGCTTCCATGTTTAAAATCCGGCGGTTTGAAATGACGCGCCACTCCCTCACAGCGTGACTGACGCGCCCGCGCATTCGACTTACGTGAATCGTGCTTCTCATCGACGGGCGCGGGCGGCGGGGGCGGGGGCAGCTGTTGTTCCAGTGCGTTCACGCAGTTCATCATGCTCCCGTAGAGGCGGTTGTCTCGAAAACTGTCCCTGTTGACACCACGACATCATGAACGGCCGTCTTCGAACTGAAGCTTTGTTATCAGCACATACAATTGGTCGCGGTCCACCGAATTCCGAAACGCCGCTCCTCCGCGCCCTCCGCTTGCTGGCTCGAGAGACTCCGAGTTTAACCTTGGGATGATATTTCATTGAATCCGTCCCGCTCATCGAAAAGTCCCCGAGTTAGTTCCGATCGGGGCAGGAACAATTAAACTAAAGCGTTAAAATACTTCCAACAAACTGGACTGACTGAAAACCGCAGCTCGAATACATTGGTTGCATACGATAATTGCTCATTGCATTTAACTCGAATAACAGCACTATCCGTGTTAGCTCTGGTCAGATTAATTACCAACTTTGCGTCGGCATTAGCGAGTGTCCAACAATTAATTGAGCCCGCTTTTAACGTAAATTGTTTAGTTAACGTCTCATCAGATGCTTTATACAGGAAATACAAAGTCGATTCGTGCTTTGCGTGCTTATGGTATGAGGTTATGACTTGCTCACGGTGTATTCATAGAGCTATGGCTGTTGATAGTCTCAACAGTTGTGGATGATTATCAGATTGGCATAAATTAGTCTTTGTTGACACTATTAGCAGCCATTATGCTGTCGGGTAATGCAATATGGCCGTGAGACAAAACATGATATCTGTGACTGTCAATGGTGAACAGACACACGGGTGCCGTATGTAAATAATAATTTAAAAAATCAATAGAAACAACAAAAAACCTTTCTTACCTCCCATTGGAATTCCTGAACAGTGCCAAAATCTCTTCGAAGGTCTTATTTTTTGTTTCAGGAACTTTTTTATACGTAAATATCCAAAAAATTGCAAGGAATACACTAAAAGGCAGGAATGTATAGTTTTCCAGTAGTGCCTGTAATTGAGAAAAAAGCGTTTGTTTTATTGTTTGGTTTGGGGCAAGTAGGTACATAATAACGGGACCGAGAATGTTAATTTAAAAATTTGAGTCATCTATGTAGATTGATCAATTCGGCCCATTAGAATTATATTATTTGGGGTCATCACTACCACGTACCTTCATGCTAGGGAAGCCGATTCCAACGACGAAGTTGGCCATCCAATTTACTAACACGGCGATCGCCATGGCGCTAGGTCGGGGTCCTTGCGAGAACAGCTCAGCGGTGATCAGCCAAGGAATGGACCCGGGGCCGAGCGCGAAGAATACCACGAAGCTGAGCGTGGACACCACTGACAAGTAGCTCATCCAGTCGATCATCTCCTGCACATAGCCAAAGAACTCCTATCAGGGGATAGCATGTACGCTCTTTCCCGTAGCCCTCCGGTTAAGAAAAAACCCACAAACATAAATGCACATCACACACATGTCGTATGTGTCACGTCGTGCTGCAAGTGCCAGGTCGCCCCTGGTGCCGTAGCGAGTGAAGTACCCTCGTCTATCAAGGCGTATGCTATAGTGAAAGTGCCTTCTGCTTTTGAGCAGTGTTCGTGTGAGTCAAATATATCGCATCGGTAAGTATGCGTGCGCTAGACATCCCCGCCGATATAGTCCGAATTCAACCTCATGTCTGTGAGAACGTGTGGTGCGGTGTGAGTGATGTCACTAACATTTATATTTGAGAATTTGTTTCTTCAAAATTTACAGCTTTCCTACCGAGTGTCCGGATTCGGGTACAGGAAAGTCGAGTTTGAGGGGGGGATCTAGCGGAAGCGAAGCAAACAAAAGATGGTAAGTTGTGGGAAAGAAACAGTTGCTGTGCTTGCTACTGTAGTAACTAAAATCTAGAAGAATGAAATGAAACTTGTGTTCTTGGAAACACAATCTGATGTAAGTAGAAAAAAGGAGATAGAACAAATTAAAGTATCGATGGATATGGCGAAGTTTGATGAGAAAGATAAAAAAAGTGATAGGAAGCGTCATAGAAGCGTGCGCAAGCAGATTTAACTAAATAATATGGTTTTGGTTGACAATAGAGTAACCTTATTATATTTTCTGTAAAGTTTTGTATAATGTTATTGTATAATGTGTCAACCAGAACCATACATAATGTAATGCTTGAAATATTTTAATTTACTTTGGAACTAAATTGCAATAATTTCGAGCATTACACTATGAATAACTATAATTTTTAATATGATATTAACATAGAAGTAGGTTTTAAGAACAAAATACAAAAGGTATAAAAGTAAATGAAAGGAGCGGAAGTCAGCATTCCTTAAAAGCTCCTCTTGATAAAATAATAATTACGGGAAATTAAAACTCAAAAAAAGATAATTTAATCGTTAAACAATTTTTACTGTCGATTATTCACTCTATGTTTATCAGGCGTTGAAAATTTTAATCCTGTATCAAAATTTAATAATAAAATGATTATCGAATTCTCTGAAACTGATTTTCATCCTTAGTCACTCCTCATATCATTATCCATAACCATTACTTTTGACATACTGAAAATACTTATTGTGTTAATGAATTACAAAAAGGATAACGGATAACATAAGACTGTCCTCAATAAATTATTTTCATACAAGCCAACTGGAGACCAAATGTAACTTGATTCATCAAAGTTTCCAATTTCCAACTCGATACCTTGCATTTCATTGACAAAACTTCTTTCTTTATTCCTTTCAAATCTTCACCAGATACCATACATTTTGAGACCAAACCTCTTCAAATCTTTAATCTAACATTCGATCTTACATAAACCTTACACCAATCCATGTACACCTTAACCACATATTCTCACATTCCTTTAAAAACTCTCACTCTATTTCTTCCAAACCTCCTCCACCCTCCGCTATATCATAGGACACACCTTGATCAGAAACGAGATGGTGATGAAAATTGAGAAGATGAACATCCCGCCGAGCCCGTAGAGGTGTAAGGTCCGTCTTCCAGTGCGATCCATGAGGGGCAGCGAGACCAGCGTCATTCCCACCATGATGGCTCCAATGCCCATGGTAGCGAACTTGGCAGACTCGTCCGTGAGGCCAGATGAGGTGAACAGGAACGTTGAGTAGTAGAATACCTGGAGGTGAAAGATATTTGAACTTGAACATCATCATACAAACAGAAATAACGACTGAAAATAAACTTTATTGATCTAATCTGACAGTTCAATGTTCAAGTTCAGATCACGTCAGGGTTACAGTGTCATGGCTTGGGGGGTGCCACCGTGAACTAGGGAACGCTTTATTTCGACCCGCCCGCACTTCGCGACTGCGTTTCGACAACTGATTTCGACCCCACATTATTAGACGCTCGAAATTTTAATTAGTAGACCTTATATTTGGTTCCCTTTAGAGTTAACAACTTAGATAGAGAGACTAAGCACCACTTCTTACCGCATTAATACCGCTCAGCTGCTGCGACAGTTGCATGACCACGCCGATGAGGAGAGGGGCTCGAAGGGTGGGTGAGCACAACAACTCACGCATCGAGATGGACGCCTCGGCTTGCTGGGCCCTCTCTTCGGCCCTCATCTCTTCGATGTCCTCTTCCACCTACAAGATATCAAAAGTTATTGAAGGAAAACTTTGTAAGGGCTCTGGGCCTTTGCCGGCCGAAGATCTAAGGATATTCTCACCTGGTTACTAGCACGAAGTCTTCGTAGAGCACGGCGAGCCTCTTCCTCCCACTGACGCGTGATGAGCAGGTACCGTGGGGACTCGGGGCACGCAGGTAACAGGATCAGCTGCAGGATTGCGGGACAGATCGCCAGGCCTGGAAATTAGACCAGGTTCAGCATGATCGGTTTTAAATTATTTTGAACGTTTATAGTTGAGCAATCTGGATAATTATGCATCATGTTCTTGTTCAACATGATAAAAAAGTGTCATGCCTAAAGCTGTAGGTTACTTGAGGAGCTAGATTGATGATAAAAAGTATAATGTGAAAAGGACCTAGGCTGTGTGTGAGAAAATAGTAGATATCAGTTGTAACTGATGAACTCACCCAGCAGTATCGGCCACCCCTCATCAGTACCGAGGATCTGTTCGATTCCGAGAACTTGGGACAGCAGCAGTCCGACGGTGACAGCCAGTTGGTTGACCGTACCCAGCCCGCCGCGAAGGTTGAGCGGCGCAATCTCCGATATGTACATTGGCACTAGTGAGGTGTTTAGACCTAGAAAAGAGAACGAAAGATTAATGCCATGATAGTGCAGCCATTAGGCCCGCCATACATGAGCAGCTCGAGCAGTTAGCCAATGATAAACTGCTTCAAGCGGTCCGTGTATTGCCGGCCTTAGTCGCGTCAAAAGCTGGTCAAACTGTCTGAAAGACATTAAAAATCTTCTCATACATACCACAATTGACTCCGATGATGAATCTTCCGAAGATGAGAAGTTCGTAGCAGTGGGATATCTTTGTGAAGCCCATGAGACTCGCGCCGCTGATGCCCAGAATGTTGTTTAGCAAGAGACCCCCTTTCCTATTAACAACAGGACAACGTTCCCATCAAACTTATAGGTGAACAATAGACTCTATTTTCGTAGAGATTTTTAAATGGATTTCTCAATGTCTTGTGTAAAGACAAAGAAGTCGCAAATGGTCATCAAAATGTTATGGTCTTGAATACAAGCTGAAAGTGCTTAAAAGAGCTGGTGCTATAAAGAACATACCTCCCAAACCGATTGGCAATCATCCCCCCAGAGAAGCCTCCCAGCATGCCTCCGATGGCGAAGATGCTGACCGCGATGGAATAGAGCTTGTTCACGGTGTCGTCATGCAGGTCCAGCCCGTACCGGTTCTTATACACGTCCTTCATGAAGTTGGCGATGTTCTGGAAGGTGGAACGGGGTGTGAAAAGGACGTTCGGTCTATTGGATATTATGAAGAAATGTTTCGGTCGATTTTATTTATCTAAATTGTATATAACTCAAAGGTGACTGACTGACTGACTGACTTAGTGATCTATAAACGCACAGCCCAAACCACTTGGACGGATCGGGCTGAAATTTGGCATGCAGGTAGATGTTATGATGTAGGCATCCGCTAAGAAAGGATTTTTACGAAACTCCACCCCTAAAGGGGTAAAACGGGACCCACGCGTACGAAGTCGCGGGCCGCTGCTAGTTTCTGAATAAAACGCTAAAACCAATTAAACTATTTAAACATCATCATCATCATCATTATGTCTTTTAGTCTCCATTGCAGGAGGGCGACTCTCCCTAATTTACCAGAGGGAAATGTGGTATTTGGCCTACAGTCTCCACGCTGGCCACACGGGTTGGTGTTATATTAGTTGCAATAAAGTAAGACACATAAGACATCAATATCGTAATACTCAAATAGGCGTAACAAGTTGTTACCTAATAGTGATCATCCACTATGATGGGAGCATGTGACGAGTCAATTATCGTCAGGTACACGCCTGCAGGTGGTTTCTAACCCTCTAATTTTGATGAGCTGCGATTTTCCCACCAGGACCGAATTTAATTTACTCGATCATGCAGAGAGGCGGCGTCTGGAGCAGTAATTTGTAGACGACGAGCATTAACTCAATAAGGCAACGATGTGGTGTTGATCTGTTGGCTTTATGCTATCGAATATTATGCTTTCGTATGTAAATAACTTCGAACTGTATTGTGTGATGGCCGATGACATCATAAAGGTAGCAGAGAAGCGCTGGACGCAGCCGCTACCAATCGATCAACATGGAAAGCATTGGGGGAGGCCTATGTTCAGCAGTGGACGTCCTATGACTGAAATGATGATGATGAACTTCGGACTTACTTTGCCAGGAGCGTTGATGACACCAGTGTTGTATCCGAACTGCAGCATCCCCAAGACTGCAGCCAGGATAGCGTAGGATAGGAAGAAGGTGAGGCCCTGAAACCAAACCAGATTGATCGTGAAACCCGTTCTAAGAAGCCAGCGAAACACATATACAAAATATCAAAGTCGCCAAGGCAGCGTTCACACAAAACATATTGTCAGCCGCTGACTATGAGCATACGCTCGCTGTGAGCCCTAGCATGAAATTAAACTCATACTGCGTTCTCGCGATATTGACAATATGATGCTACGAAGCTAACAAGCGTCGGTATGACAGTAACGTCTATTCTGCTGAAATTCAGCGACATTGCATAGCGTAATATCGTGTTATCGGTTCCGTGTAATTATTTAATATGCATGGAAGAAAATTGCACTGTATTCGCTCGTAGTCGGCAGCTGTTTTGTTTGAACACAGCCCAAAAAGACTGGCCAGTTTAAACGCTTCAAGATTTTCTTAATTGTCTTGGCGGCTCTGAAAATGGACAATACCCGTGCCCTAGCGTGAGACAAGTGATACACAAACTGACACAATAATACTCAATAACGCTTACATTTCTTTTCCCAGGCTGAGTGAAAAAAATAACAAACTATGTCAGAATTAATGGTTAACATTATTCTGCTGCAATTTTTCCCTCACAATTATAATACATGTACAAGTATCACAACTATTGATTAATAGTACACCACACACACATTATTTTGTGAGTCACGTCATTCATGTGTTTTGATGTTGTGTATCTTTTTTTATACCGGACACAACTTAATTAAATACATAGCAATTAAATTTATAATGCCAGTGTAAGTTCCTGTAACATTTCTCGTTCGAGTAGTCAGTCAGTAGTTCAGTTATGAAATAATGTAGGTATTGTTGCGAACGATCCTCCTTCCACCTTTATACTCTTTCGGCCTATAGATTTGTAGAAACCAAATTCTATTCAGTATCAACGTACAAGATAGGTAAAAAAAAATTACAACTTTTATATTCTACAATAATACCGAAAAGGTATGCCACTCAGCTTGGCATTGTAGCATCAAAGTAATACCACAAGCCTGGTCTTCCACGTAAGAGTTCACATATACACTCGACATCAAATAAATCGCACCTCCCGCGACAAGCACTTTCAAACGTATGCATCCCCATTTCCCACCAATATTGGCACCATTTAAAAGCCTAGTTCTAAACTTCATTTAATTAAAAGAAAGGTTTTTACCCCAAAAATGTGTCTTTAGAAGGATCCAGAGTCACTTCTTCAAAAAATAGGTAGTAACGCTTGAGCCAACTTTTATTGCTATGAAACGGTTAAGTTGGGATTAATCGCTATCCATCTGTTAAAGAGGACACGTGAGATCATTATTTGGTTTTTTAACCATAAAAATTAGTCTAGTTGAGAGGTGAGCTCCCAGAGGTGAGCTCAAAGTGAGGTCTTTTTTCAAGTCACATTTATAGTATATGTTAATCATTTATTTAGAAATTAAATGTGTATTTCTTTAAGGATATTTATCGGGCTTTCAAATAACACCAATATTGTTGGGGCACCATGATTGTGTCAGAAGAAAATCTTTAAAGTTCGCGTCGCGGAAGGTGCGGTTTATTTGATGTTGAGTATATTTATTTATACCACACAAAATACGCAGTAACCATTTGCCTATTATGCCACTTTCACATTGAACATTCACAAATTAGTACCAAAACAAGTTGCAGTAGTAAATAGCAATATCAGTTGTGATTAAGGGGTCAGAAATACGACAACAACGTGCATTAGCTACTTTGTTTACCGGCAATTTGTTTTTACAATATTTTTGTTGTCTTGATGTTTTATTACGACAAATATTAAATAGGTTATTACAATCTTTCTTTTATTTACAATACTCACCTTGGCTAAGTCCGTAAATTTTTAAGACTCAAATGATGAATTCCACGCATTATTTTGCAACACAAGTTCCAATTTATGCCTTAAATCTTTGGAAATGGTAATGCAAGAGTAGTTATGTTAGACCTCATTTTAGAGGCTTATATACCTACACGAAATATCGCATGAAGCACAAGGTAAACAACAATTAAACTATATCAAAAGGTTATGCAAGAGAAATTAGTTCAAAAATTGGTGTGTTAAGGAAGCTTAATCTCGTGAATATATTTCTGCTCGATCTCGCATCTCTCTATCTTTTATAACGCATATTTACCTCTATAACGCATATGTCCACATTTCGTTCACAACAGGTATAAATAAGGTTTTTCTTCTTTCCTTAGTCTCATACCATGATAAATGGCTTAGACACGTTGTTCTAAATATTAGAGATAAAAACTATAACTCTAATGAAACCTTTAAACACTTTGCTAATTTATTTAAAGTAGATACTTATGTCATTGAAAGTATTTATTTAAAGCAATGTCACAGTGCACCATGCCCCCCCCCCCTCACCTAGATCCTTCCACAACTTCTATCCAACCAAGACCCACAGTGGTGGGTCCGCAAAATGTTCCGTTAAGTGGACGGAAAATTTTACCAGCGAAGGTTGTAGCCCTGGGGATAGTACTATTTAAATCCCACCCATTGTACCCCAAGCTGTCTTTGAAGAAATAAATCCGTTCACTCATTGAATTCTATATGTGATTGATCTCGAATGGTACTAAATGCGAGTGACAAAGCGCCATAGTGGTAGCGTCCTTCTAATGTATGTCTTTTATGTGATATTGGTAAAATTAGTATTCATAAGAAATGTACGAGATGTGGAAAAATACAATTATTTGTGTGAAGTATCTTTTCACAAAGGTTTCTCGGTCTTTTGTGTAACGCAGACCGATTGGAGAATACGGTCTACGTTTTATCCCATTTATTGGTATAGTAGGTATATTTAAATGAATATTTTGGTATTTTGGTACATTATTGACAAACATTTTAATTTCAGCTTTCATAACGTCATCATACTTCTCGCACACATTTCGAACAACTTCTTTACACTAACAAATCTTCTGAACGAATATTACTTACTTTAAATTATTTATGATAACCTAAACTCACTATTTTTTTGTACAAATTTAAAATGTGAAACGGTGTTATAACTTATAACACTGTTTTCATTACTCTAGCTACTAAAACTTAGTTGAATTGAACTTAATATTTCTTCTTTTTCTACAGCAAACTTAATCACAGTTGCATAACGTAGTTTTCATATCGATATAATTCCCCGCAGAAAAATTGAATTACGTAAAGCCACTCCTGGCTAACCCAATCAAACAACAGCTTTAGTGCAGCCCTTAGATTAGCGCTCGGAATATTCTTATAAACCGTTTTAAATAACGACAGCAGCGAATAAATCGAATTCGAATCCCATCGGCTGTAATGGGCGAGATCAGAAATGCAATAAATTATCAACTCTGAAAAATATGTTTTCGTTCTACGCTCCACGTTTTTTATTTGCTGTAGTGGAGTCCAATAATACTTATTTAAGGACGAGATTGGACCTCGATGCACCTTGAAGGCTCTCGTAACTTCCTCTCAATAAAATGCAATCATATCTTGCCTTATTGCAGTTGTGGCACAAGGTTCTAAAATCGAATATGAAATCTGCCTTTTGAACCGTAAACAACTTGCAGTTGGAATAGGATTCTCATTTTGGATTATAAGATGCAATTGGATCTTCTCTGATATAATAATATTAAAATGGTATTTTTCCTACTTCGTGTGTTTCTGAGAGTGAAACACCACATAATATTTTAGAAAAGAGTAAATAATCGGAACCTAACTAAGTGTACAGTCACCAGCACTCATAGTCGTCAGTCGTCATCAAGTTACTAAGTTAAAACCTCACGGGATCTAAATCCGCAATCACAGCTGGTTAAGTCATAAATTAACACATTCCAGATAACAACAATCCTTTCATACAAGACATATAAGATACAATACTCCATAGTTAACCCTAAACTCGCACGATATTCGCGCAGGTACGAGTAACTCGACTATCACGCTACCACGTACAATGTATCAAATTTCCTAAACTACGTGTAATCGGTCCATTATGCGGTTATCGTCTTCGGTTAACCCTCACGTCAGTCACATCAACATAATCGCCGGTTACAGTTAAACCCATTAATATGTATTGCATACGGACAGAATTGAAACAATAAGTTAATAGCTTCGTAATAATTGACGTGATGAGTACTGCGTGCTGTTTGTGAAGTCTTCTTCCAATACTTTGGCGTGAAAATCATTCCTAATTTTCTTGGGCGAGTTTTTGTAAATTCATTTTCTGATTTGTTTTATATTTGTAGCCATGACTATTTAAGTCGTTTTCTAAAAGTTTACTTAAACCTGAATTTATATATAATTCAACTCTTTACATCTGTTGAGTTAAAAAAAATACCAGAAGTAGCACAAACTGTTACCCATTGTAGTTAATAGCTTAACCTAGCTTATAACTGTATGAAACGAAGACAAATTACTTAATACCTAGCAGTTTACTAATAGCTATTAGGTACGAGTGAGTGTTCGAATTCCTTCAAACCGCAGACCACATTCCACGTCTCTATCTATCTACATCATCGGCCGTCACTAAAGGTCACGATAATTGTCTGGAAACAACATATTCATAGCATTCTCTCAGCAAACGCCATTGTGGAAACATGTGATCCAAGCCAACAAGCTCGGCTAACTTAGTTTGAAAAGTTTGACGCGCGACAGGACAGGCTGAAGTTAAATAACGATGGTTGCAAACTTTCGAACGGCCGGCGTGAGTGTGGACGGTTTAAATGATAGTGTTTATGGCACTAATACTTGCCACCAGCGAGATTTGAACTCACAATAGCAACAAAAAAATCACGATAGGTCTATAACCTGATCTGACCACGGGTTCTGTGCGGCATGTAAGATTAAAAATCTTGTATGACGGTCATCAAATAGTCATTTCAATCAATGACAGTTTAACAGTCCACTGCTAAGTTTAAAGTTCTTGAAATAGTCCGTCCATCGAGCAGGGAGGCAAGCTATCTTACGTAAGCTGAGATGTGGTGGAAATCATTGGAGAATCCGTTTACAAATTCAAATTCAAATATTTTATTAATCGGACTACAGTTGGGTTAGTAACTATCATTGAAATAAATTTATCTGTTCTGCCACAGATGCATTCGACTCCGTGACAATTTAGCTAAATTGATTGCCAAATATAAAACTACTGGATGATTTAAAGTTCCCATATTACTGTCGCATGTTGCAGCTATAAGTCTGTCGGTAGATTCGTAAACATCCACCCGGCAAAATACTGCTCATGATATACTCGTAGGTTGTGAACGCATAAACTGGGCGGCACCAGCCCGGAAACGAACGACGAGTAGGTAGTTGTGAATTTCCGGCTAGGCTATCGAGAGGATGTGAGCAGTGAGCAGCCGTGTTGAGGTGGCAAACATTTCTAGTAATATTTTAAAATTTGAAGAGGAAAATATTGGGAGACACCAAGTTTTGCAAGCTTGAAAGTACAAGTAAACATAACTAATTATACTATTCAACTACTATGCTGTATTGTGACATCAATTTGTCTTATTTTTTTTATTAATTATCTGTTGTGTTGTGACCTGTATAAAATTAACTATCTATACGATAGCTATGTAAATAAAACTTTATTGTGTAACGCCCGTATTCACAAACATTACTATGAGGTCTCACAGTGCGCGTGGACACACAGGGTGACACGCAAACCAATCACAGAGCTCTATTCAACGCTGTGCGTTCGATTTGCTGCTTCACTTAAGCAAGCATCGTTTGTGAATACGGGCGTGAGTTTCCCCTCTAATGCGTTCCGAAACTATTGATCAGATTGTGATAAAACTTTGACAGAGTTTTCGGGTACACCTGTGAGCTTATATATATATATATATATATAACTAGCTAACCCAGCGAACTCTGTTCCGCCTTAAAGGCAATAAATAAGCTATCGCAATTCCTTATTTGCTCACCGTTTAGACCTACCCTGGACCTCGACAAACATTTTAAAACCAAAATCAGCTCAATCGGCCCAGCCGTTCTCGAGTTTTAATCAGACTAACGAACAACCATTCATTTTTATTTATAGATAGATATTGGGCTATCTCAAAAGATATACCTACAATTAGGAACATAAAATATGCCGGGCACAGTTAGGCCCAGAACAGACGGTGAAACGCAACTGCAATAAAACTGCAACTGCTAGTTACTTTTGAGTTGCATCTATCTAAGTTTCTGCCATAGCGTCCGTTGAGAGACCACACATGACGCGACCAGTTTGAAACTTTCAGTTTCAGTTTCATTCATCAGCATCATCAGAAAGTTGCAGTTTCGTTGCAGTTGCGTTTCACCATCTGTTCTGGGCCTTAGTAGTTATAAAGTTAGTAAAGATATCAGTTACAACAGTCCACAAACCTGTTCTAACAACCGCAGCTTCCTCCTCTGGGAGTGCTCCTCCAAGCGGTCCACGTACTCCCTCAGCTCTTCGATCTCCTCCTTCACCTGCTGTACCGTGTCCAGCTCCTGCTTGATGGCGACCATGTCTCGCTTCACCTGTAGACAGGGAACCACTTTGTAGAACCTTTCATCCACGAAGACGCGCCCCACCATTCAGCCGCTAATGTTTGAGTGTTATCGGTACACGCTAAATTATCTATGAGTGCACACTCTACAATAATGACGCTCAAATCCAACTCACCGCACCCCGCGCTTCCCTCGACCAAAAATTGGTGGGGCGCTTCTTTCTGGATGAAACTACATATCTATTATTGCATAAAATTCGATTAGTACTTTTATCAGACAGGTTGTCGGGCCGACCTACGCTTTCCGGAGTTCGTTCGAGACACGTCTTATAAAATTCTTAACGACACACCGACGGAAATCCTGTTGAACTTCCAGTTAATAAAACTAAGCTACTATTTTCTTCTCTTCTTTTCTGTTGCAACAAGATTAACTTGGGTTAACAAGTGCCATCGTAAATACTTTATAAAAGATTCACTGGATGCTTTATTTTTGTTGGCTTTTAGTTGTACTAAATAAATAAATGACTTTTTATTGACTAAAAGGGGCAGTGATGATTTTAAGATAAGTTTTAAAAGTTGTTAAACCACTGCTACTGACAGTTTAATTAATACAAAACAATCTCACAACGTTGAATAGCATACGAGTAGGATAACAATTTTATAATCAAAGCCTCTATGTAATAAGCATGAAGATTAATAGCCGTTTCCCTAATCATGTTTGCTACCTACTTGTTATCATACGATATCTGCAACCCAACTGGCTGCTAATTATGCATCCTAACACCAATATTAATTAACCGAATATGATACGAGCTTAAACGTGTCCATTTGCAGAGGTAAATCCATATTACATGCTGGGAGGTAATCGGCCGTAATACGAATGCTGTTGCGCTGGCTAACCCAATCCACTGAGCACGGCATTCAATAAACAAACATACAATCCGATTTGCTCCTGCTCCTCAAAGCGAATCTATTGCAAGATAGGTATGTGCACTATCTAAACAGGAATGGCATATCGATAATTAATCTTACACTAAGACAAAGAGTCTGCCAGAGACAAAGTAAATAATGCTAATTGTGTTACTAAGAACTGTAGCACAAATATGTACCTATATTGGGCTCTCATCATCATCATAATCATCATTAGGTCATTTGATCTCCACTCCCCACCCAGGCCATGTAGGTAAGGAAGAGCTCTATGTTAGTATATTTCTCCTTTAGTTGCTTCTACTAAATCAACGGATAGAGTTGGGAGGGTTCTATTCTACTCTGTCAGACCAACTTAGTTATATTGGGATCGTTCGTTTCACCCAAATGACGTTCACAGCTGGACAAAGGCCTTCCTCAAGAATTTCCACAACGAACGGTCCCGCATCCAGGCACCTCCCGCAACCTTCACCAGATCGTCGGTTCACTTAGTGGGGAGCCTGCCCACACTAAGTCTACTACCGGCCCGTGGTCTCCACTCGAGAACTTTTCTACCCCATTGCCCATCAGCTCTGCAAGCTATGTGCCCTGCCATGGCTATGTCGGTCACTTTGGTTCTGCTGCGGATCTCGTCCTTTCTGATTCGAGCACTGATCTGTTTTTTTTTCTTCGGCACTTTTTCGTAAAGTACCTAGTAATGAGCTCACAGTTCATTGAACTTCGGAAGTTCTGAGCTCAAAAGGCGTTTGATTGCAGTATGCTAATAATATATTGGGATACTATGATACAGAAGTGAACTCACCTCGGAGACTTCACTCTGGCATGACTCCACACTCTTAGTCAGCTCCTGGAGTTGGGTCCGGATCTCACAGAGAGCGACGGTGGTCTCGAGCTGCCGGTCCCCCCTCTGCAGGTCATCCAGCTTAGCGGAGAGGTTCATACTCATCACGCTCACCTGTCTCTGAAGGCTGCACAGAACACGCAAGTGCTTAAGTATTTTGAAGACAAAAATCAATCAATAGTAAAAAAAGATGTTTAGTTATCAAACTATTTGCAGACCAGTTTATTCAAAATTTCAAATAATACTGTCTTGTGAAAAATTATGGAAATCAATTTGGAGTATACAGGGTGTCCCGTAATGTAACGTCAAGCCGGAACTGGGTGTTAAGGCAAGTTGTGCTGGTTAACAGAAAAATATAAAAAAAAATCTATGTGGCATATTTTAAAAATAATAGGCATTTAAAAAAAAACAATAAATTCTACTCCAGGTGACGGTCCTTTTGCTCGTGTTGCCACAAATCTTCACTTTTTCCAAATTTTTTTCTTGTTATGTAACCCTGAATAATGCTTCTCTAAATTGTTATCAAAATTACAAAACCAGCTGCTCCAGCTTGGATGAAAAAAATACATTATTCTCAAAAAAAAATTCAAAATAAAAATTTTGCCTAGTTTAAACTGACTGTACTGAAAAATAAATGTACTACACGCGCCAAATTATGACGTCACTTGCCACACTCGCGTAGTACATTTTTTTTTCAGTACAGTCAGTTTAAACTAGGCAAAATTTTTATTTTGAATTTTTTTTTGAGAATAATGTATTTTTTTCATCCAAGCTGGAGCAGCTGGTTTTGTAATTTTGATAACAATTTAGAGAAGCATTATTCAGGGTTACATAACAAAAAAAAAATTTGGAAAAAGTGAAGATTTGTGGCAACACGAGTAAAAGGACCGTCACCTGGAGTAGAATTTTTGGATTTTTTTTAAATGCCTATTATTTTTAAAATATGCCACATCGATTTTTTTTTATAATTTTCTGATAACCAGCACAACTTGCCGCAACACCCAGTTCCGGCTTGACGTTACATTACGGGACACCCTGTATAAAGTTTAATGACATAAACTTTAAATATAAATCTTCCTATTTAGGAAGTATAACATCAAACCCAGATACATAGATTGAAAACTTTTTGCTTTACCAACCTCATCGCTTCCGCTATAATCATCGACTTGGCTATTGCTTATCATCAGATACTGCCAACCTGATGAGTCAACATTATATGATGTTACCAATTAGTTTGGGTACACAGTAATATATGTTTCAATGTCAGATGGAGTAAATAATGCTAAGCAATTAAATTTTGGTCTAAAATAAATTTTGATAAAAATATTATAAAATATTTTGCTACATAGATGACTTTCCCAATCTGTACTCTATATTCTCAGTTTTAAATTAAATAATTATTTATTTATCATAAGTTAATTCCAATAATTTAAACATTATTCATATAATTGTCTGTTGAAAATAATTTCCAAGATGTCTCTGTGAAATATAAATAAAATAAAAAGTAGTTCTTATCAAGGCTTCTATCACAGATCAATGATTTGAAAAAGTTAAATGAGGCATATACGATTATTAGATCGGTGGCTGTCCATTTTATTATTTGTGGAATAATTCACTTGAAAGTAATTCGAATTTATACCTACATGAATATACCGAGTACTCGATACAATAATCAGCACTTTTCCAATCGAGTGACTGGCGCACAAAAGCCTTTTGTATAATAGTATCTGAGATATGGAATTGTATTGTACAGTATATTTGCCAAAATGATATCGTATTCGCCCACTATATTATGGTAAATATGAAAAATTCGCCATTTATTATAGTGTTCAATGATTTCATGTTTCTAGGAGAGGAGGAGAAGAGCTCCAATATTTCAACATCATTAAATTCATTCGAAGTTTTCCTGAATGCTGAATTGTCAGACAATAAATAATACATTAATATTCTGAACTGAAGACACAAATATAATACATATTATTAATAATATAAGTATAAAACAAAGTGGATAGAGTTATACAAAGATGCGAAGCAGAGTGCTATAGACGCCATGGATAACTGTGAGACCGTGAAAGTTTGTTAATGGGCGTTAATTACAGTATCTAGTATCATAACTTGAGAACCTTAACTATTGCTACTTAAAAACACATGACAGTCACATACATGCAAGCCGATCCCGTCCTAGTGGGTTCTTTCCCACTCAATTGCAAGCGTCCGCGGAAGAATGACTCATAAAATAGCAAATAGTTTTGTCATGGCCATCGATGCTAGTCGGTGCAAATCCGGTGGTAAATGAGAAATGATCAGCACCGCAGTAACGCATCATATCTGCAATAAAAGATATTTGGGATGCCAAGCCAGGTGTATGAAGGACACATCGACACATCGTATGATTCGAATGCAATGAAGCCGGTTTTAAAGGCGGAAAGCTATCGTTCGTTTCTCTAGGGTGTATCACGTACCTAAGTAGTAGTTCCCTGAGTGTCGCCTCGTCCTCCTCCGTCGTCGCATATCGTGTCAGCTTGCCTCCGGTGTCCCTGCCCACATGGTCAGGTACCACTGTGTGAAAACTCTTCTTTTTAGTCTCTAACTTTAACCGTTTTTCTTCTAATATTCTAAAATTTTTTATGTACCTATTTTGTTCATTAATTTAATTACGGGTTGGCTAATTTCTCGCGTTGATCATTTCTATGTTAGTTAAGGTGATTTTTGTGTTTTTTAAAAATACTTTTGGTGCTGTGACAAGAAATGCTATCTAAGTGGTCTTTTGGAGAATATTCCTAAATATTACTAGTTTTTAAAATGTAGAGCCACCTGTTTCGGGCTTCGATCTGTGCGTTCTATATTTGCAGTAGCCGCTACATTTCCAATGCAATAGCGATTTTCGGTTTTGTTTAAAACCTGTATCAAAGGGGATCCACGTTTGTTTTTCGGAGCTGCAGCTTTTGATACATCAGAGCAACCGAGCACCCAGAGCGCGGTAACATCGCGTATTCGCGTACAGTCAATATGTTCGGACAAACTCGGCCGTGTACACCGGGCCGTGTTCCACCGCTCCGCCAATTAGCTTCAATGGCCACGACAGGCAGTCTAACCAATTTTGAAAATAAGCGTTCGCTGGGCACATACCGATAATAAAGGTCCATTCTGATAGCATCTAACCTGCGCGCAAGCGTATGATGTTCTGCGATAACATGGGTCACCCTCCACTTAATGCCTGCGGGATAAGGCTTGTTCGGAACTAATCTAAGAAATTACGTAATAGTCGTACGAGTTAGATTTATTCTAGTATCTGTTGTTACATCTGCGGTAAAGATGTTTGTTACAAAAGAATTCATAAAAAACTAACTGAAACTTTATGTAGGCGCATACAATCTCGTAGATCTACTCTAATAATAAATATTGTTTGTTGTTCCACTTCAACGTTCTTTGATGGTCATGGGCTCAAGGTTCATTACTTAATTTGTAATGATACCATGGCTAAGTAATAAAAATAGTTGATTCAATATTAGAAACACGCTTCGAGCTGTGTGATCAAAAATAGATTTAAGTATATAACGCCGACGATTGAGTTACTACTCGTATTCTCAAAATAGACGTCACGAAATATCGAGTTACTTTAATGATATCTTGCGAAGACATTTTCAGAAAAGGTAGGTACTTAGTGGAATATAAAGATTAATTATATTGTAATCTGTAAGGCACTTTCGTCTCTCGTTATTGTCATTGCGTGGGTAAAATCTACAGGAGTTTCTTTATTGGATATAGACTGTTACCTACTAATAGTTTCCACAACTTTATAATAGGGCTTTTTTTAGTCTAGTTTAGGCCAGTTTATAGCTGTCAATAATTTATATATATAATACAGAACTGCGTGTATAAAGGAGTTAAGATGATCTACATTAACTCGCAATCATGATCGTAAGTTATGTGCTGTATTTAAACTAAGTAAATAATTAAAAAAATGTTCCGAGAACATAATAAGCAGCATTCATGTCCAAAACCACTTTGTTTGGTGTCCACTGAGTGGTGCCAAAAGGTGTCTTTTAATTTTACTTTCTTTTCCTATTCTCTGATTTACAGAGTCATTTTATAGTACCTAAACTGCACCGTGCAAAATACAACATTTGTTGAATTTGCATTGTAAACTGCAGTTATACCTAATTTTGAATATTGAATTTTGTGGAGGGATGACACATGCCATCATATGCAAAACCCATAACATCTCATTATGACATTTAAATGTTCTGCCTTAGGACATTGATGCAGGATGGTGCAAGAACATGCGATACCCGACAACATAAGAAGCATTACCAGTGCAATATATAGAACATAAACACAAATGTGGGTCTTACTCTAAATATAACATACTTATACTTATATAACGGCAGCAAATCTAGAATACAAATACACATCGGTTAAATAAACAGAATCCATCAATAAAACCGACTTTAAAAAACCGATGTTATAAAGATTCAGGCGAGTTGAATGATTGCTGTTTTGTAAAGTCGGTCTTCTTTATTTCGATTATAAATAATGTTAGTTCGTTTGGTTAATGTTTAACTACAGAGGTTTAGCTAGGTATTTACGTGGTTGGTTATTACATATAAACACAACTTTAAAATTCTTTGGTGAAACACGTCTGATTCATTTTAGTTTAGCTGTCAAAATATTAAAGATTTTTGAAGTACGAATGATGTCATGCCTATCATTCGTCCGGTAAACGACTAATGGGAGTTTCGACCATTGATTTCCGGTTTCCCCGATAGACGGATTTCTGCCTCGAATGGCTCCCCGATGTCTTAACAGGGATTTCCGCCAATCAGGCAGGTGATCGCCACCTTTTCCGGAGCGGTTTGTTTAATAGCCGGAAGTAAAGGTTGTATTGTAGCCACAACGAGAGAAAAAGCCTGCACAATGCAAAATACAACATTTTTATGGGACCAACATTGAAATCACAATCTAAAATGTCTGCCCTAATTAAATTAGTTTAGAAAATTTGCTCTTAAGGAGCGTCGGCGGTAAGAGGCGCGTTTACGCAGATCTCCTCTGACTGTCAAGTCGTCATTCTTGCCGAAAACAGTGTTTATTACTAGCATAGCTAATATATTTTTTGTATTGAATGTAAAAAAAAATGAAAAATACTCATCGGATGCAGTGACTCGTATAATTATGTACGGTCAAACTTTACTCATTATGCTTTTGTCATGAAAGCGCTAACCAAATTCAGTAAATTGCATCTTTAATGCTTGATGCTAACAGATGATAAAGCCTTACATGCGTACTGCCCAGCCGATGCTCCCTTAGCCACTCTGTCGCGCTATATCGGACACCTTCCGTTCGGATGACCCCAATTAAGATCGTCTAATTACCTCAAGATGGCACCCTGACCACCTGTTAGCCGTTTAATAATCTAGATCAAGCTAATGAGCTTGCACTAATCAATGTCTTGTTGATGCTGTTCTGACTAAATTTATCCATTATCGATTTACGTTAAATGAACATTCTTGTGAGTGCCATTTACAGCGGATACGACATACATTTTTGTTGACTAAATTGCCAGTTTTGTATGTCAACTTTCAAATAGTTGTATCTAGCTTTACCAAATCTACAAGAGTTGTTTTGAAGTAACGCCTTTTCAAGCTATAGGTAGATTCAATCTATGGCATTTCAGTGAATCTTATAAGTCTACAAGCTAGTGTGGAGTGATGGCGGTGGAAAACCGCAACCCCTTTGTTTCCACGGATTCATCGAATAAACTAACACAGGGAATTCCCATAGGGACATCAAGTAAGCTGCATTTCGATGCAATATAGAATTGCACAAGTTTAATTCCACAAGTTTCTAAGTAAGAAGCGCCGCCACGTTTTGACTAGGGAATGCTCGCCGCGCTGAAGGACGTTGGATTCTCTAGAACTTATTGTTATAACTTAAATAGAAAGACACGGGTCTTAACGCCCGTCAAGTACGAATACGGATACTATGAGTGTTGTGTGTCGTGGTAACATCACTAGTGGCAGTGTAACGAATGACAATTTTGAGGGTAGTTAAAAATTTTCAAGCCCGCCCGAACGGACGACGCCGCGAGCCGCCAGTCCGCTTGTGACCACGGCTGCAGCATAGCACAGCCGAAACGTTAAGCCGTGAGTACATAACGTAACTCATTAATAAACGTCGCGTTAAGACCCGTGTCTTTCTATTTTAGTTGAAATGGAACGCGAAAGTTAAAAAAAATAATTGTTATAACATATTGGATAGAAACCTCCTCCTTCTGGGACTGTTGGGTAAAAACTAGACTGATTTTAAAGTCCGCTCTATGATTGTTATTTGCCGTCTCAGTTTTATGGTGTAAATATGTATAGTGGATTGGTAGGGCCCAAAAGATAAGGAGACATGTAAAGTGCTCCATAAGGGCTACCTTTTCTTGTTTTATTATTTACTAGCTTTTGCCCGCAGCTTCACCCGCGTGAAATTTAGTTTGTCACAGATCGTCATAAATTATAGCATATTATGTTATTCTGGATTATAAAAAATAATACTGTAAAGTTTCATAAAAATCCGTTCAGTAGTTTTTGTGTGAAAGAGTAACAAACATCTAGACATTCAGACATCCAGACATCCAAACTTTCGCATTTATAATATTAGTAAGATATTTTTGACGTTCATAAGTGCCACTTGTGGTCTAAACTGAATAAATATTTTTGATTGTGATTTTGGTTTTTTTTTTAATGTAAATGTAAACCTTCATGGTTCACTGGAAAAAGATGATCGACACAAAATACGTCATCCTTACACCAAATAAAGGCTGTATTATAAAATACTAATAAAACATGGCACTGACTGTATATGGTTATTCTGTTAAATGACAAGTACTTGCGACAGAGTTAGGTAATTTTTCCAGGACTTTCCAAATGTCCACAGAATCTTAAAAAAAACACCATTAAACTCCAGAGAGCGTCTTTAAAATGCAGCCTTAAATATTTGTCCAAGTAATAGCGTATGAAAATAAAAATAAATCGCGTGTGGACGCACAAAGTTGGTGCGCCGGGGGAATCTTTTATCCTGCATTGTCGTAAATGGGTCAGACTTTCAGACAGTCGGGATCCGTGAGTTTAATGGGACTAAAGTTTTCTGTAAAATTTAAATCTGCTTACAGTCTGCGCGGAAACCTGGATTAAAGGGCTCTAAAACAACTTCGATAGTTCAATATTTACCCTATCTGCTGTTTATGAACTTTTATTTTCTCCATATTTCTCACTTGAAGCGTTCTTTAAATAAGCAATTTATATCTGACTAGCTTTCCGCCCACGGCTTCGCCCGTTTGAAATTTTGTCTGTCACAGAAAAGCATTGTATTGTGGCGCGCGTCCCAGTTTCAAAAACTGGGATAAAAACTATCCTATGACCTCCCGGGATTCAAACTATCTCTATGCCTTTCATCAAAATCGGTTCAGTGGTTTAGGCGTGAAAGCGACACAGACAGACAGACAGAGTTACTTTCGCATTTATAAAATTAGTAAGGATTGGCCATATTACTTCAGTATAGCTTCTACAAATGCATAGCTTAAATAACAGAAACCAAATAATTCTACGAATAAGCAAACGTCGCCTGCTATTACAGTTTCGCAATGCGCTTTTGGTTCTCCGTAAACTAATATTATTGATGTAATTAATGGTTTTCAAAGGGTATTAATTACTTTTAGTTGCGATTGAACCATGCGCAAAATTCGATTCAATTTAATTTGTTTGGTTTGAATCATTAGAAGAGAATATGTTTGGCGTTGTTTTGTAATACCACACTCAATAAATTTATTATAAGACTAGCTTTCCGCCCGCGGCTTCGCCCGCGTGGAATTTTGTCTGTCACAGAAAAACTTTATCGCGCGCGTCCCTGTTTCAAAAACCGGGATAAAAACTATCCTATGTTCTTTCCCGGGACTCAAACTATCTCTATGCCAAATTTCATCAAAATCGGTTGCGAGGTTTAAGCGGGAAAGCGTAACAGACAGACAGACAGACAGACAGACAGACAGACAGACAGACAGACAGACAGACAGAGTTACTTTCGCATTTATAATATTAGTTGGGATTTTAAACTTTCGCGTTCCATTTCAACTAATTGTAAGACACGGGTCGTAACGCGACGTTTATTAATGAGTTACATTATGAACTCACGGCTTTATTATGTACTCAATAATTTATTGCTTCCATAATGTTACAAAAGTTGGTATTGGTAAGGTAAGATGCAATTATGCTTGTCGGGCACTGCATTTTAGGTAAAAAGAAGATTTTTAGATTTTTTGCATTAATCCATGATTATTTATCAAATTAATTTTTAATCTGTATCCATATAACTAATTAAATAACATTTATACTTATTAAGATAATTACATTATTAATATTTATTATTACATAGTACAATAATGAAATGAGTAGTACTGACTTTTCTCTATTTCACTCATATCACTAATATCTTCAAACAAACTTAGAACTATAACTGCATAATTTTCTGGTTTCTGTGTCTGTGATTGGTCTATTAAAATAAATGAATCTATTTTTGAGTATTTTCAATGATGCACGAGTCATACTCTTTTATTTTTTGTTGAATGTTCAGCTTTCTAGCTTTCTCACACGAGTAGTCAATAGCTATTACTCTGTTTGTAAATACTAAGAAACCGAACCAGCTGTCAACTGTCATATTTATATTAAAACGGGGTCAAAGCGTACTATTGAAGCGTACGTAATGCAACGGCCAGTGGCAAGGTTCCAAAACTTAAGGCAATAAGTTTTGATACCCGAGGGATAAGTCCCCTCTTGGCAGTGATCCGGGCCGGGTAAAAAGCGGGCCAAGCTTCTGGTAAACTGAATACGGTCAGTGGGGTATTCTAAAACAATGAGGCTGTACATTTTATGGCCGTTTTACTAGCAGATGTAGCAGGCTTAGTTCTTGCTGGGAGCATACCGGGTGAAAATTTTCGCTCTGGTTAATATTATGAAGTTCATATTCCTACTGATTGCTAGTGGTATGAAATGTGATAAATAATTAAAATGTGATTAAGATTGATATTATAGAATTTAAGCCATTTCAAGTTAGAATAATATTTTGTATTGCATTTTGTCTTTTTAGTAAGAAACTGATTAGCATTTAAATAATTAAATAACCCTGCGTATGACAAAGGACCATGTCTGGTTGGAATAATGCATTTCTAGATATGAATTAGTCATCTAACTAGAAGATCATTATCACATTGGAATGGTCTAGTGAAATACGCACTGTCACAAATAAAATACCAGTTACAAGCTCATTAAATTCAATTTTATTTATTACTTTAAAAAGCTAGATGTGATTCGATTCAAATTCACTTGCATTCCAAAATTTAGGCATGGCCTTTATGAGCACACATGTTACTTTTACAATCAGCGATCGGTGATATAACTACTTTTTAGAAACTGATTGTAGTGACCACAGATTGAACACCGCACACGTCAAACGCGGCGATTGAGTGAGTCGCTTTTCAGAAGTTCGATGTGGCGTCACGCGACAGCAATCGATCAAACGCGCAATTCCGATACCTCGTCCAGACCAGGGATGTTATGCATATCCGTAACCGTAACCGAAACTATCGGATATCCGAAATAAAAAAATATCCGAAACCGTAACCGTAACCGGTTCAAAAGTTTCGGATGTAGGTAGGCAGTTTAAATTGTTTTTTGCCGAACAGCCTGATTTACCTTTACAATGCCATCTAGTATTATTTTTTATTTACTTTTTATTCGATGTAAAGTGTGCGGCCATGAATGAACCGTGTTGGACAACTATTGCAAATTGCATTCTAAAGCACAGATATCCGTAACCGTAACCGAAACTTTCGGATATCCGAAATAAAAAACTATCCGTAACTGTAACCGAAACCAGTATAATATTATTCCTATATCCGTAACCGTATCCATAACCGAAACTACATATCCATAACATCCCTAGTCCAGACGCATGAAGTCACGAAATCGCGATGCTGTATCGATACAGTCGCAAAATCGCTGATCGTCGACGTTAAAAGTCGCATGCCTGCTCTGCCCCTAAGAAGTCCGAGTTGCAATTTAATTTAAATGGTAAGGTGTAATGGAAGGTGAGTAAAAGTAAGTTTTACCTGAAATTTGATCGATTGGTGAGTAAAGGGGGGGTTCGTCTCCGCCGGCCTGCTGGTGCTCAAGCAGCCGATGACACGATTGTCTCATGAGCGCTCCCGACACTGTCGACAAAATACACCCTGTATTATATCACAATAATAAAATAATATGTACTTATTCTATTAAGATACAGTTCATGAAAAAACCTACTCAAAAAGAGCACTTATTAAAACAATAATGCTATTTATTTGGACAATTATATTTAAACAAGCAGAAAACAGCACCGAAAATTTGCCGTGGAATTGACACAATATAGTAAAATCGAAATACGAGAAACATACACCCTGTATTAAAATTACATGTATAAGAAAACAAGCCTTCAATCGTATAAAAATATTGCTTGCCAATTTAACAATATTGTCTGATGATGTTCATGAAATGGATGAAGTTCTTATTTATTTTATTTTATTCGTTCTGTTAGTTTGCAAAAAATATTTATAGAAACCTTTAAAATGTTGTCCTTAAAATAACTAGTCTAGGCCATGGATTTTTAACCCAAAGTGTAAGGTACTAATGCCAGAAAAACGCGTATCTAAACTACCTAAAAATAAAATAACTGCAAACGAAAGGTCCGTTTTAAAAACCTGCTCTCATGTACAGGCGTGTGATTTATCCAAATATTCGAATTCCACCAAAAAGTCTGAATGCATAGAGCTTGAATGGAGTTTCGAGCTTTCACAAGGGGCTTACAGCCATCGGTTGATTCTTGCTGGTGTAGCTTGACTGACGCCTTTCTTTTGAACCGTTTGGATCGGAAAATACGCCTGATGTGGCGGATGGCCTACATTTTAGCTTATTGCGACATCTTGAATGGAGGTTCTAAAATCTACCTCGTCAAAACTTCCTCATCTAAGAAATTCTGAGGAAGGAAAAGTGGTTACGTTTCAATTAGATGTCTGATATGTTTACGTTTTAGGTACAAGTTAATTAGAAAAAAGTTAATTTTAAATAAGGTACAAGTTAATCTATATAAATAAAAATGAATTGCTGTTCGTTAGTCTGATTAAAACTCGAGAACGGCTGGGCCGATTGAGCTGATTTTGGTTTTAAATTGTTTGTCGTAGTCCAGGGTAGGTCTAAACAGTGAGCAAATAAGGAAAATTGCGATGGCTTATTTATTGCCTTTAAGGCGGAACAGAGTTCGCCGGGTCAGCTAGTAAAAAAAAAGTACTATTTATTTCTTATAGATGACAAAATGCACAATTTTAGTAAAAAGTAGTCATTTCTTAAGGATGACAAAATGCGCAATTTCAGTCTAGCGGTCTTTCCACTAAGATAGACCTATAAAGTGGTAAATAGCGTCATTTTAAAATAATAAATTGTGCTAGGATAAATGCAAATAATATGATGTAAATTGTGAAATCTAGAAGCTAAAATAAATGTATTTAAAAATGCAATGTAAATATAACTTCCACGAACATAAACCATAGGTAGGTAGGTACCTACTGTTTTTTTAATGCTCTACCAAAGTGTGCTCTGAAATCAAAACTATTTTTTTAATTGAAGTCAATGATAGCAGATTATTGACATTACTATTTAAAGATAAGCTCATCTGTTGCTCGTTGATTGGGTTTTGTCGTTTTTAAGTTTTTTTTTCATACCTGTTTAAGTGTGTATTACACTTATTTCAGTAATTTAGCTGTAAACAAAGTACGACTCGTTACTAATTCCAGCACAGAAAACCAAAAAAACTAACAATGTTTTAAAAAGCTGCAAAACACTGATACCAACTGGAATAATTCTTAAAAATAGCCATTCCACTTTAAACGAATACAGACGCCCTGTATAAATCTGCACATTAACTTACCCAAAATGGGGTTACTGACATTTGCCGGGTGCATACTACCCTCATGACCCGGATTCGATGCCAAAAAGAAGGTAATGTGTTCGCAGATGTAGGTACCAGCCATACGTTATGGTGAAACCGCGAATGCCTCCTCATAAATATGAAAGCTTAATAATTAATAGCAGATTTATGACAGTAAGGGCTACTTTTTCGTAGTACTGGAGATTGCAAAGGGGTGTATGTTAGATTGTACAGCGCCTCTAGCGGCTACTTTCAAGAACTAAAATCTTCATAGATTTTTTTGATGCACTCACTAGCGAGCGCACCGAACGTAAACTCATAGCGTGCACACGTCCTATTGAAGTTTCGAAGGCAATAAGTCTAATCCTACGAATTTAAAGAGTTGTTTCGAATACATTTTATGTAAAAAATGGACTTCAATATTATGAAATTGAAAAATACAACCTGCTTATTAGTTTGTCACCAATCCCGTCCATACTAAGCTAAATGATAGTTATTTACTTAACGGTCTCTCTAACGGGGTACAGTGTAATTAAATCAACGTGATAGTCTCTCGGACTATACCTTCGAATGCGTCACAGTCATTCCCCACAATACCCGACGCGGGCACTAAGCTTCTTGATTCAAATTGACACTTGTCGCACCGCGTTAGCGCTCACCCGCCTGGGATGGCTGCAGTGCGAATGCACGTCAAATGCAATGTACGATTGCGTTAAAACATTAACATTGCCTCTGTCGGCTGCACGGCTGCGTCGCCTCAGTGAGTAATCAAATCACGGGACCTCTGACATCTAGTTTGAATGGATGTTACATGGAATTCTCCCTTGGTATTTTAAAAAAAGTTCTTTTGTGATTAGTGTCGTAAAAGACAATGTGCTCTTTCAATTATAATGTGTGCGGTCTTATTAACCTACGACTGATGTCCGACTCAAAACAAGAAAAAATAAATAAATAAACCATTAGGGAGAGTAGGTGAAATCCAAAGTAAATTAGAGAGCCGTGCTCCTGCAATGGAGACTAAAATGACTTGATAATAAAATTACTAATTAAAGTAAACCCTTCCATCTGTGCTAAATAATACCTAATTTTGTTAGGGGTGGGTTTACTACAAAAGTTAAGGCTGAACTGCACCACCTAACTTTGACCGCAACTAACGACAACCGGTGTTTTTTGTATGGAGTTTGACAGATTTTTGATGTTTGTCAAAGTTAAAGTAAGATGGTGTAACCCAGCCTAAGTGGTCAACGGTTTAACTAGCGACCCTCGAATAGTCATTGTCGCCTGCATGGATTGCCTAATTGGACAAACCAGTGACAAAAACTTGACGTTAGTTTCACAATCGATTACCGATTATCATCGATTAATGCATCGCGTTTGGCGACTTCTACGTTCGACTTTCGTATTCAAATTGCGCGTTTAAGCGAACATCAAACGGCACCGTGTATAGGCGGGGATTTTCTTTTTTGCATTCGGAATGTCACCGTTTTGGTAGTTCCGAAAGGGATTCGATCGGTACCACGACGTATTATAATCGCACGAGTGGAGTATTCGATCGTTACATTACCTCTGATATGACTTCAAGTTCTTGTTAATTCCTTTGTAGGACTTAAAGCAATTTAGTTTTAGGATGAAGCACCATGTTATTGGCTTTATTGTTAAACAAATCACTAATAGACCCCTCGTGTCAGGTTATGCTTGTGTCTTGAGTGAGTTCACCACAATAGTCCAGCGGCGGTGTGATTCAAAACTGCTTTCCTCACATCTCGATGCGGACAGGCCAACACCGACACCATTGGTCTATAGTATTGTCGCTTGTTGTTTCAATGCTACTGAATGTCATCATTCGTCAATAAAAAAAATTTACAACTGAGGGCGTAGTGTGAGTTTCCATCGAACGTCGTCACTAGCGAGCGCGTTAAAAATATATTAAGATTTTTTAGCTCTTGAAAGTTTCCGCTAGAGGCACTGTACAATCCGCCAGATATTAAGGCTGAGTTGTTTGCACCACCTTACTTTAACAGTAACTATGACGATAACCGGTGTGTTTTGTATGGAGTTTGACAGATTTTTGACGTTTGTCAAAGTTAAAATAAGATGGTGCAACCCAGCCTTAATGTCACTTTTTTACGCAGTCGACATCGATTGCGTTTGACGTAAACTTACACTACGCCCCCTGAAGGTTACAAAGCTAAGTTTTAAATTCACCTTGTCACAAGTCTCTTACTTCCGTCCTTCGAATGCATCGTTTGATTAAACACTAAGGCTAGGTTGTACCATCTTACTTTGACTGTAACAAATGTCAAAAATCTGTCAAACTCCGTACAAAAATCACCGGTTATCGTTATATTTACGATCAAAGTTTGGTGGTGCAACTCAGCCTTAACTAATCCGTCTGTTCTCTGGATTTTGGATTGAAATTATTAAGGAAGTTATTCAATGGGAGATCTCATGTGTAATCCAGATGCATAGGATTTTGAGCTTTAGCATAAGGTATTACGTGTCTTACTTTGTGTAAGTAAGACGCTAGACACTGGACAGGTGATTCCAATATTCGGACTATCGGAATTGTGGTTGCGGTATCGGATCTCACTGGGGTGACAAGCTTTTGTCTGGAAGTCTATGAATACACTGTTGTGGCAAGAGGGGTATCTAGGTAGTGCCTCTATGCACAAGTCGTATCCAGTATGCAGCTAGGTAACTTGGTGTGACAACGGGCAGATTGCGGGATTATATAGCCTTGATCACACGTACCGAGTAAACGGGCGAGACAGTAAAATGTTTACTCGGTCGAGACAGTTGGGTGAGCGAGTCACATACTCAAGCGCTCGGCCGAGCACTCGGCGTTCACACACCGTTTGCTCGGTACGTGTGATCAAGGCCTAAATTTCGAAAATCAGTAAAGGTTCAGCCAAACCAACGCGTGCGGCCGGCGTGCACGATGGCGATCGCGATTGCGATCAGACTTAAATGCATTGATCGCTATCGTGTTCGCGATTGCAGGCTGATCGCGTTGGTTTGGCCGATCCTTATGAAAATAATTATACTTATAATAATTATAAAATATAATGTACAATTAAGTCGTCAATAAATTAATACCTTAATACCTCACAAAGTATTACCTTTTATAAAAGCTTTAAGCTTTTGTTAACGTTTGCAGCAAAAGTAGGTACAATTTATCAATTAACAATGTCTGTTAAAAGCACCTTATTTCGAAGCCATAATTCTTAAATTATTCCAACGAAAATGATTTTAATTTAATTTGTAGCTATTTGGTAAATGTATAGCGGGGATTGCACACTAATCGGCTTACGTTTTTATATCAGTCGAAAACAGCAGCCATACAGGTATCACAATACTGATTGATTAAAGGGAATATTAACTAGCCTTTTTAATAGACGAAAAGCTTTATTGGTTTGGTATTTGCTTTTGATATTCAATTTGCCAAAGCAATATTAATATTTGTAATTGAAGCGAATACATACAAATTTTTGGGGATCCGCACGTAAAATATTTTTCCGAACCATTATGAAATCATACCTGTCGGTCTGAATTTTCGTATAAAATATACTGGATGTATATTGTGAAAGAGGTGAGAGTCTTAGTCCCGTCTTAGAGAGCATCTACATTCTAAAAGCAAAATTAAAGACACCACACTTGTAGTTTCTGAGATTTCGTGACGAGTGAGTGAGTGAGTGAGTCAGTGACCTTTTTTGAGTGGTAAGGTTTGGAAAATAACCGAAGGTGAGTGACTGTGGGTGTGATACGTCCTACTCGTTTTCATTCATAAGAATGTAATATTCCGTTCCAAATTTATCTGCCATTTTATTTTCTCATCCCAAAAAAGTGAGCTAATTCAATATTTGTTAATACGTTTGTCGCCGATCTAGACCATCGCTTAACGTGGTACGGAGATGTGTCTCTCGTAGATACATCTCAATACTAGTGTTAACATAGCTCATCTAAGCATCCACTGTCGCTGTAATTAGAGCCGGACGTACCATGATGGACAGACTCTAATTAATAAGCTCTCATTAACGTTAATGATGGTTTAATTGAGTTAACTGCGTACATACATGCTGTAACCATATTAAACTGGATTCGCGCTGCGATTCTTAATTGGAAATCAGTGTAGTTTCCCAGGAAATTAACGGTGATGATTGATAACTTATTCATATTAATGCCATCATATTTTCATCCATACTGTAATAAATCCGAAATTAACTATCTTCCATATTCGTTTTACGATTAACCACTGATTAAGATGGATGTAGTAATAGTTTTCGACGTGGACAAAAGCTGATTTATATATTCTTATAACAAAGTAACACCGTTTACAAAATTATATCTCCGGTAAGTAGCGGCGCCCACTGTATTTATTAAGTCATATTTTGTAAACAAATCATCAGAATGGTTAGAATTTTTTATGTCCAATAGACGAGCAGCGGCCTAGTGATTCACAAAGTACAATGGGTTTGCTGGTTCAAATCCCAATGGGAACTATTGTTGCACTCGCTCCACTCCTCGAGGTCAGAGTCAATGGAATTTGTAATTTACCTTTACAAAAAGCTAGAAATGTTAAATAGTGACACCCAAAGTAGCCAAAAAGTTCACAACACGGTTTTTTCTAACGAGCAAAATTTTTCTAATCTTGTTTTTGAAACAGTCATCCCATCACACATAGTACTCGTACGTTCTGTCAATACTCGTACATATTTAATTTTAATTAATTTTCGAAATATCGTCAATACTATTATTAGTAGCCGTTTTCACTTACTAAGTCCACTTAATAAAGCAATAACTTGAGACTTCATAAGCGCAGTCTGAGCTTGTTTGACTTAAACGACTGAGACTGGCCAACTGTACATAAAGCCAAATACAACACAAACTAACTTGTATCTCAAGCTACCTGCAGAACTGATTAGTTCTCGACCGTGAAATATGAATGTCTTTATTCAATCTATACTAATATTATAAAGCTGAAGAGTTTGTTTGTTTGTTTACTTGAACGCGCTAATCTCAGGAACTACTGGTCCGATTTGAAAAAATATATTTGTACTAGCTTTCCGCCCGCGGCTTCGCCCGCGTTGAATTTTGTCTGTCACAGAAAAACTTTATCGCGCGCGTCCCTGTTTCAAAAACCGGGATAAAAACTATCCTATGTTCTTTCCCGGGACTCAAACTATCTCTATGCCAAATTTCATCAAAATCGGTTGCGAGGTTTAAGCGGGAAAGCGTAACAGACAGACAGACAGACAGACAGACAGACAGACAGAGTTACTTTCGCATTTATAATATTAGTTGGGATTAGATAGCCCATTTATCCAGGATAGCTTTAGGCTTAGGCATCATTCCTACACCCAATAGGGGCGGAGCAGTAAAGAAAAATGTGTCAAAAACGGGAAATATTATTCGAACTAGTTTTACGCGTTTGTACGTGGGAACAGCTAGTTTTGTATAAGATTTGACACTAATGGAGTTTCTTTACAATCCTCTCTATCCTGGGTCTACCACTTCGAAAGAAATATTGACAAGTGCTGACATTCAACGCCGGAACAAACCTAACCGCCTTCATAATATCATCATCAGCTTTAGAAGTTCACTACAAGAAATAAACAGTATTTAAAGAACACCACTGCGAACGATTCTACTGGGTGGCGCAAAAGTAAAGACCCTATTTGGTTCAGCTATAACATTTTTTCTAAATTAGAAAACTAGATTTAGGTTTTTTTAAATGTATATTTGTGCCATTAAATTTCGTACCATTAGGATTTAAAGATGATGTCTTTTAAATGGTGACCTCCAGAGTTGATACACATTTGAGCCCTATTTATGACATTTTGCATAACTTGCCGTAACACTTCCTGCGATATGTTCGTTATTTCTTGACGAATGTTTTCTTTTAGAGCTGCGAGAGTCTGTGGCTTGTTCACATACACCCGAGATTTCAAAAAACCCCAAAGAAAGAAGTCTGGACTGGTCAGATCGGGTGATCTTGCCGGACGGTGGGGAAATCGTCGACGAAATTCACGTTGTGTTCTTATCACAGATGAATTATTCCGTAAGAACATTGACACAATTATTCCACGTTCTTGGGGAGTAAAACGGCCCATGTTTACATATTTTCAGTGTATTTTACATTTGTTCACTACATAATTTTCAACAACAAAATGACAGAAAATGTCATATTAAAAAAAAATAAGTATTTTCTTTAGTGCCAGTACTTTTGCGCCACCCAGTATATCTTTTGCATACTAGCTTCTCGGAACCTTAACTAGGTCATCGGTCCACCGGGTCACAAGCTGCTACACGCGACTATCGAAGCTAATGAAAACGCCAGCCAAACTAGCTGTTTGCAGAGACACCGGCTAAGAAAGCTACACTCGTTAAGTCGTCTTAACCAAGGGTAGAAGTACCAGTTTCGGCCATCTCTATAATGACCTGTTTTATAAATAATATGTAAAAAAAAATGAAATTTATCTTTATATTATTAATTTCTCAGTCTGCAGTAATTAAATGTGAGATTTAATACTCGGTCGTTTCAGTCAAAGACTTGCTAGACAAAGGGTACTTTTCGATACTAATTTACCAAAATACATTGACCAAAATCGATACCTACTTTTAGTAGGGTACTCCATGCTCGTTCAATAGATTGGTGTATATTAATAATTGTGATTTATATTTACCTTTAATCTAGTTATTGTCATTTGACTACGACCGATGGCAGTCTAATCGACGACATCGTGTCTGAAACAAAGAAATGCACACATTAATTTAAAATTCTGGATAAAACATTAAACCTAATAAATAACTGTATTTTAGGGTGAAGTAATTTAAGGCTTTTTTAAATAATATGACGAGCTTACATTATAATAAACTTTAAAAAAAGGACTGTTGGTTTTAAAGGTGTTCACTACTATACACATTTCCGTTGTGTATCAATTTATACAAAAACAATGAAAACGTCAAAGTAGTAATAAATATGTTTAAAAATATATACTTTGATAAAAGCAGTTTAATTTCGAAAATCGTTGCAGAGCCCGCATCATTTCCGGTGTGGTATTGACAGTGAGGGACGTACGAGTACCTTAATACGATCCAATAAACATGCCAGCAATCACACTAGTAATTAACTGTCTTTGCTATACATATACCAGATTTAATATGTACATTATTATTTGCTCACCATCATCATCATTGGACTAAACTTAGAAAACAACTTTCTGCCTAATTATACGAAAATGAATCAAACGCCGGCAATACACGGACCGCTTGAAGCAGTCAGCTGCGTGTAATACAATTTTTTCTAAATATCTGAATTACATCTAGTTTTCCTCAACAAACCATGAGTCAAGAAAACTTTCTAATACAAAGAACATCTGCACCGACCGAACAATAAGCTAACTTTCATCGTATAACATTTTTCATCTGACTCCAATGAAACTCATTCATCTAAATGATGCAAAATTCAATCGCCTATAATCTGAAAGGAACAATGCTTCGGTTTATAGAATTTTAGAATAGGTCGAACTAAGAATAGCCGAAGAATGTTAACAAAAAGGCTTGTCGTACGAATTATGGATCCCGACTGCTCATTGCCGGTAGCACAGTTCCATGATTTCAATACACGTCTGCGTTTACTTTCCCACGTTAGAAAAAGTGCCAAGTAAACATAGAGATGTGTATTGAAATCGTTTTGCTGACATGGTTTCGTGACTGGGTGGTGTGTTACAGACGCTACAATTGTATTTGAATATTGTACGAGTATCAGGTGCGGGCGAAAAGGAACTGCGAAGATTGGTGTAAGCTATGCCACCATGCCAGAAGTCGTAAGTTCGATCCCGGTACAATACAAACATCTAGTGGGTGTTTTCTTTGTCTACGTATAGTTACTGTGCCATGTTGGGAGACCGTATGAATGATACACGGGTTGTAGTTAGTCTCAATTATTAATCTGTTTATTAATGTGAACTGCGTGACTATTTATACGATATAGATTAAAGGTAAATGACGTCACAGCATCAGCACTATACGTGATAAATGTGCTGACACTGTGAACGTGATCAAGACAAGATATGAAGAGATTTAGTATTGTGCATACCGGCACAGTTACCAAAAAGATATAGGTATGTATTTAGATTATTAGATTACTGTGGAACTGGACGGCGCAGTTTACCAAGAATATATTTATTTGTCTGAGCGTGCTGAGGTTTTGTGGAAGCAGCTTTTACGTGCTTTTGTAACTTACTAGCTTTTCTGCACGGCATTGCCTGATGAAAATATGGTCAAAGGTTAGCTTACAATATAGATTTCCCTTCAAGTCTTCCCTTCAGTGTTTATTCCTCTCCTTATATCATAATTATGTTGAATTTCGAGTAGATTACCATCTCCGTGCAGGAGCAATTAGTTGATGCACTCGTAAAAGTATGTCTACCAAAAGTAAAATAATTACAAACAAAAGTAACTTGTCTACGAACAGTGCTACGACTTGTCAACAAATGAAGCAGTTACGAGTAAAAAATTTGAAACGTTTCAAAGCATTTCAAAGTGATTTACGAACTTAAATATTCCATTTTAACTGTCTATTTGCGTTTCGACGTCCAGTTGGCATGAAAATTACGGTTCATATGTTACGATGTCATTGTCTACGTCGTTTATAATTGTCGACTGATGTCCTACCGTCATTTTGTCGCTGACGTACAAAATGCATAAGGAAATTTTCCAAGAGTTCATGGTAATATGTCGCGGCAATTTACAATAATGATGAGGTAAAACGTGACGAATGATGGGCGGTTCTGGGAATGGTAGATACACTATTAACTTGTATTATCATAGAGTCAGTACGTATTGTAGACCAGTTCTCGCTCTTGGGCGGAAAACGGAATTAGGCGGCAACTTTTTTAATAATTAAAATGTAAATGTCCACCCACAAGGTGGAGCGACGACATCATAAAGGTAGCAGGAAGGCGCAGGACGCAGGCCGCTACCAACCGGGCAACATGGAAAGCATTGGGGGAGGCCTATGTTCAGCAGTGAACGTCCTATGGCTGAGATGATGATGATGATGAAAATGTCAACAAATTATACTTTAAAAAGTATAAAAGTACCCATCTTTTACTAATGATAAAGAATATTACAAGAGGACATATGAATTGCACATGCAGATAATATATATTTAGTCAAAATTGCACTGATTACTAAGTAAGTATTTTATAAAATGTACCGCTGTGGGGTACAAAATCGGTTATGAGCTGTTTAACGTTTTTCTTGGCGAATATTAGAGGGAAGAAAAAAAAACCCTGATTAATCACATCGTTATTGATGCAAATAAACAAATGGGTTTTTAGTGTTCTATGTAAAAAAGCTATAAAATTATAGAGTTTCATCACAACATTTCACTCTTAAATCAACCTTAAACTTATTTTTTAACTGAGAAAAAATAAAAAGCTTGTATTGTGATCATGAATCAAAAATTCTCTTAAAATGCCTGACCTCGGGCACAACTCTATTTAAATTGTCAAAGTAGCCTTGATGCGGTGGGAACCGCCACGTTGCACAGAGACGTGGCACGATGCATTATAACGGAGAATATGCTGCTAATGGTGGAACCGTGAGGTAATTAATAGCTTAGTATGGAAATTACAATGTAGCTTTATGAAACACGATAAAAGTCAATAGCTCAATTAATGCTTACTTTAATTTTTTATTTTTTTGTTTCTTAATATTACTCAAAGGTGACGTGACTGACTTACTGACTGACATAGTGATCTATCAACGCACAGCCCAAACCACTGGACGGATCGGGCTGAAATTTAGCATGCAGGTAGATGTTATGACGTACGCATCCGCTAAGAAAGAATTTTACGTAACTCCACCCCTAAGGGGGTAAAACGGGATTTACGCGTACGAAGTCGCGGGCGGTCGCTAGTTTAGTAATAAAAGAGAGCACACCACTATCTACTTTTATTGTATTGACCAAATGTTAGTTCGTCAAAACTGGATATCCTTCGGTATTCAGAATAAACGCAAGTACGCAACAGGTAGGTACGGTTCTTGAAAAAAATGGTTTGAAACGAGCTAGACTGATGATAAAAAGAGAATCTATTCAGTACCAAAAATATATACTTTTTTCGTTACACTTTTTATAACACCAGTTGAACCACCCAATTTTAAACTACATATGTTGAGTTCCCAAAATACACAGTGAACGTTCCTCGAAACATGTCGAAACTAAAAATTATCGCTTCAATTTCCGATGTGCAATGTTTGGAAAAACACCAATGGGCTGGCGAAGCAAAAACCAGCGCCCCAACGAAATATTGACAAACGCCAAAAAAATATTAAATTTTCACCACGAATTGTGAGGCCGCGAGGAATAGCACGAATTCGTATCTCGTTTTGGATGTTTAGTACTGTGAAGCGATTGCTGGGATCCATGACAAGATAAATATCGAAAGACATTTATTTTAGATTGATATTCAATCTAAATATATATAACTCAAAGGTGACTGACTGACTGACATAGTGATGTATCAACGCACAGCCCAAACCACTGGACGGATCGGGCTGAAAGACATGCAGGTAGATGTTATGATGTAGGCATCCGCTAAGAAAGGATTTTATGAAACTCCACCTCTAAAGGTGTAAAACGGGATCCACGCGTACGAAGTCGCGGTCGGCTGCTAGTATTAAAAATTTAGAGAGCTTTTTCTAAAATGTTTGAATTTGAGAAAATTATTATAGTAAGTGCTTGTATGATTGTAAATTATAATTAAATTATTATTAAATTAAATTATTCACTGTAGAAGTCTTTTCGAATCAAATCAAATGTCATATACAATTGGATAGTAATACCAGTAGAGTACCTAGTATATCTACACTTGATCTGAGAACAAAACTCAGAATCTCCGGATCAATAAAGAAAGTCCATCTCTTACCATAAGACTTTGGTTAATGAGGGCTATCGTTTACTTAACAGTTGGCACCCCTGGCGATTGACAGGACCTTACTCTACAGTGGCGCCATCTTGATGACTGCAAATGCGATAGTCCTCCTACCACTTTAGCACTCACCAGTTGGTGCCACTGTCTTCGCTACTAGCAAGTGACAGGACCTTACTCTACAGTGGCGCCATCTTGATGAGTGCAAATGCGATAGTCCTCCTACCACTTTAGCACTCACCAGTTGGTGCCACTGTCTTCGCTACTAGCAAGTGACAGGACCTTACTCTACAGTGGCGCTAACTGGTGAGCGCTAAAACGATAGCCCTCATTGAAACTCTACTCGTATAATGTCTTTTGTATGAACGAGTTGTGTGAAAAGTCCAAACATCTGAATATCTCAAAATGATCCGGACACCTCGAGTCTGCTTTCGTAAACCTGATCAATGATAAATCTAACCGACTTAAAACTATCGGAGTTGCACACAAACTGACATTTTAAGCCACACCGGTGAGCTAATCCTAGATGAAAGATGCACTGAACTCTAGAGATATGCAAATAAAGGATTCCCAATTTCCAATTCCATTCGAAAATTATTCATTCGCGTCCAAAAATTCATATAACGATACTGTATTTTAATACCTAGCCCTTTGTACCGCTAACCCATTGCATCCCGAGCGCTTCAACACGGTGTTTGATAGGAAGGGTGGAAGCCACCCTCTTTCGACCCCAGTCACCCCCCACTCATTCGGCTTAACAGATACAGCTATGGCTGTGTGACGAACTTATTTAATTTTTCCCTTTGT